TGCGTAGGATGCACGGGTTATGGGCTTGGCTATGGGCCCACGATTATGAGAACGACAGAAATATGCAGGCAACAGACTTCTATCACAACAGTATTATATTAGCAGGGATAGCGCTGAGGGAGGCACTGTTAGGACATGACATGGTGGCTCTTGACTAATGTGGTTCATCACGAGACAGATTAGTTGGCATGTTTCCTTGGCCAGCCTGGAGCTGTACGTGAACGAAGATGTGGATCATGAATTATTCGTGTATATTGCAGATTTTTTTTTTTCTTCTTGTCTATTATTCTTGTTTGGAATGTGGTGCGGTGCATTGATTGCAGGGGGATTTATTATTCTGATCTTATGACATTTAACGATATAATGACTTGACAACGGTTGATGCTGTTCCTTCTGTAACTCATACAGTCTAGTTGTATTCCTTGCTTAGTATTCTTATTCTGATTTCAAAATCTATTCCTCGAGACGTCTCTCTTATATTCTTGTCCTCGTGCATGGTCCTTGGGCTTAGGCTCTCACTTTGCGGCTGGATGCATCTGCGAGTCATGTCGACGTGGTCATGGACATTCACATCCATTTCCAGGTCTGGTTCCAGACCAGGCCTTGACCCTGACCTTGAAAACCCCAAGATCAGGCTTAGGGCCAAATGAGGCGGGTATCTCATGTTCCATTGCATCCCTTCGTTGTCCAAGTCCAAGCTTCCCCTGCTCGGAGGTCGGCTTTTGTACGTAGCGGTCGATCACTCGACAACAATCCCTGTCCTGGTGTGATGGATTGGACTGGGCATGAATTTGTGCATCCGGGATTTGGCGACAAGACTTGAATCGTCTTTTTTTTTGCCTGGTTTGGTATATTCAGTGTGGGAAGGAAGAGACTTTGTCAGGTGGCAATTTGCTATCTGCGTTTTACCTAGATCTTACATTTTACATCTGTACTTTGTAAGTTCTAGATTTTACATTTTATTTTTACATCTATATTTTGCACGTTGTATTAGCATGAGTAGCTTCGGGGGAGGAGTTCAGGCTTAGGCGATGAGATTTGAAAATGGACTGGGTGATCGTGGAACATTGCTCCACACGTTCGTACCTAATGATTCACGATATGCTGTAGTATGTAAAGTGTCCACTCCGATTGGGAATCCGATTCCTTTCAGGCTCGTTCACGTCGACGCAATTGGTCTCGCACTCGAACAGGGGTAAGGTAGATGGCTGGCTGAGTAGAGTAGAACGGCATAATGTAGGCTGTCTGCATAATTTTGAGTGGACGAGATGGTCATTCTCTCTGGAAAAGTGTCTCCAAAAACTGGATCGTTCATTATCTTCATATGTAAGGCTCTTTTTCGAGGTTGATTCCTCCTGCGCTGCTCCGTTGGCGATGCATAGACTACTTTCTTTGAGACGAGTCGAGTGCCTGACCAGGAGAGAGGGAGCAATGGTTCGTGGTGTGGTGAGGCGCATCCACGAGCCAGGGTCGGTAGATAGTACAGCTGGTTTACTTGGGTATGGTGGAGGTAGCAGATAAGGCGAACGGTCCACGCTAGTGCACGTATTGAAGAAGCACATGTCGGTGATCGGGAGGCAATGTGCTCTAGTGAGCTGTACGCCGTGATGGGGGTCGAGGTAGGGGGTTGGATCACGATCTACAGTATCAAGTTCCTAGATTTTCTACGGGACGCGTCTCGGAGCTGTGGAATCCATTGGCTATGGATGAATCTTTTTCTGGTTGACTTATTTTTATCACGGCGCCAACGGTCAGCTAAGTGGGAACGGGTGGTTGAATTGTGGAAGAGGGAGAGTTATTTGGGTTTAGGGTATAGTTCGGAACCATGGTTCGAGGTTGGCACTAGAGTATGTGATACCGAAGTTATCTACAGTAGTGTGCTGTAAGTGCGTCAGGACAGAAGAACCTACCCGAACAGGTGCAGGGCAGGGCATCAGGGCATGGTTCGATCTTCTGCCCTATAGCCCGTCCAAGTGTGTATAGATGCATGGTATGCATGTATGCAAGTCAACCACGTCAGGCGCGGGTTCGATGCCTGAGGGACCCTTGGCGGTTACTGTGGTGTTCGGGCCCATTCTCCCGACTAGCTAGGTAAGGCTGGTTAAGCTTGATGCGGGGGCGCTTACCCGGACTGGAGCGGGCCCAGCCCCCCGAACCGGCTCGGCTCTTTCTTTAGTCTATTCCTCGGTGGCTCCCAGTTTCCTTTCCCAAATTCTGCCCCCCCCCCCCCCTTCTCGCCACCTCGCCACGAGTCCCATCTTATTTTAGCCGCATACTCGCGAACCATGGAACCATCACGTCCGCCGTTAGAGAATACTTGACAACTTCTTCTATTTTTCACTGCTACCAGACTTGCCCCTCTGGAATCTATGCACCGTCTACGTGGCTGCATGTCGGCCTTACACTTTGCAGATACTAATGCCGTCATGCCCAACGATGGAGGCCAGATGGAGGCGAAATGAGTTACTCAGAGGCCCAACCGCCGGGCCATTGGCGATGGTGATGCTCACTATGCACTATTGCTTCACTCTCCATGGGAGGTCCGGGGAGTGGAGGCGCACTAGAGGGAGGTGTGTCCCTGGGGCCGAATGGGGGGGTGGGCGGTTGGTGGTCGTTGGACAATGCGCAACGAGGGCGGTTAGCCACCCCCACCCTCCTTCCTCACCCCAGAGGGTGGCAGTCATGAGGCGAAGCTACCGATGGGGAGAGAGGATGTCATGTCGGGGGGAGGCTGCGAACCGGGGTTCTTTTGAACCAGCATACTCGGGTTGAAATGCCGTTCATTGTCCGAGTTTGACTGGCTCTGATTGATTGTTGACTTTCAGCTTCGTCAACAGCTGTTCATGCTGCTCTCTAGGGATTGTTCATGCAATGCGACCCAACACCTGGCTAGGCCTGGGATTAGAAATGGGATAGGAAGAGGATCAGGAGCGGGAAGGGGGGTGTAGTTTGTAAGGAACCTCGGGGAGAATGTGAAAGGCTCTGACAGATCCTGGGTAGTGTAGCGACACGAGACGGAAAAGAGAGGAATGACGGATTAGGGACTATGATCTCATCATAGGGTCCACGATGCGCTGGCATTGCTAATATCGGAATCTGAGCGAGTCTAGCGAGGGCAATAGCAGCCCGATGGTTGAAGTGCATCCATGTTCATAGAAAAGTCTCCGTTACTTGGATCGGCATTGTATTTATCTTAGGGAAGTTTGTAGTAAATTGTGGCTATTGAGTGTCGAACCTACAGTAAGATACAACCCGATCTATACTAAATCTCAATCCTCCGGACATATTCATCTATGCCTGGGGACAAGCCCTACTCTCAGGATACTTTAACCTTGGGCACTGATCGGCCGTCCACTTACCCAGAAGGAGCTTAGGCGGATAAGACAACGACACACATACACAATGCCTGCCAACCTGCAATCCATGCCGCATTCCCGCAGGGTTTCTTCCAGAAGGCTTTTCCACCGATTTGGTTAACCGTGTACTGCACTAAAGGCAGTTCTAAATTGAGGATCCCTTAGCATCAGTCTAGCCACTCATTCTGAGCGACGGCACAGCTCGCTAGGCATGTCATCAGCTTAGGTACTTTGTTTCCCGAGGATCCACGCAGCCCTTGCCTACCCGATGTGCGCCTGGCCGATGAGGCATAAACAGGGCATCCAGATCTATACCATTGAGATTTTTATTTTCTTATTTTTTTTTTCTCTTTTGATTCATTGGTAATGCTCGCTCGCAGGTCCGGATTTGGGAATTGTCACTGTGGGGTGGACATGGTGAGTTGTTCAGTCTTCTTTTGTTTTCTATCCAATGGCCATCTTCCCATCTCCCCGGACGAATTGGATTTAGTAGATCCGGCCATTTAGGAATCAATTTTGTGAACTGTATTTTGTGTCTATGAATTTATTTCTCTTTTTTGTCCCTCCGATAGATCCTTCTTGGTAAGATGTTAACAGCTTTTCAATCTAAGTGCAAATCCGAGAATTCCCCTTGCCGAGATTCATGAACCAATAGAGGATCATGAATTGAATGCGAAATTGTGGATAGAGTGGATAGCATATGTCCGTCACATTTTGGGCCAGGTCTGCTAGTGAACGGATCCAAACGAAAAGACCAAGGGCAAGACTAGCAGCCCCTCTTCTTAACGTAGTAAGTCGATCCATTCGGTCTCTCTGCAACTGCTTTAACCGTTGGCTTCCCCCTTGCCCCATCTAGTTGTTTCTTCAAGGACTGGCCTGGTCGCCGTGCGCCGGGCCGTTCCAGTGTGCAGCCTCATAACTAATGATCCGCATGTCCCATCCCGCCCCGGTCCTTGACTGGTGGATCACTCTGGAACGGAGGGAATTTTGGTATCTGGCTGACATTGTTGCCCTGTCCCAAATCATCCTGCATAAGTCCGCTCCGCTAGGTTTGATGGTTTGGGCTCCATTTTTGTCAGGAGAAGGAGGAAAGAAAAATTCGGAAAGGCAAAAATCAAGAAAAGAAAAGCATTTTGTATCATACTTTTGGCTTTCCACCCCCCTTCCCAAGAACGGGTTTTTTTTCGATGAGGCGCTTTTTATTCTATCAATTCTGGATTTTCTTTTTTATTTTCCTATTATTTTTCTCTATTTTATTCTTATTTTCTATTCCTCATTTAACGGAATTGGAGATAGGCCCACCGTTTATATGACCTCCCCGCTTCCCATGTCGATTACCGTTCGAGATTTAAAAAGGTCGTGCGAGAGTTCCGGATCTATTAAGCTGGGTATTTATCCATCATCATTCGTTCTTGACGCTATTCTTACTGTTCTCCTTTGACATCTTCCGTGGGTGGATTCCGACAAACGACCACTGGGAACTTTAGAACTTTTTGGAACTACCTCGTTCTTCTTCTACCTTGCCCTCCTCCCCCTCCCCCCACAACGCACTCTCCCCAAACAACGTCCTATCGACCACCGGCGCCTCCCTCAGAGTTGATCCTCCTCACCAATTGACTCCACGATCATATTCTACAGCCCACCATGTCTCTGCCGAATAGCCCTCAAGGAAGCAGTACCGCAGGACGACCGACCTGGCAAGAGCAGCTTCAGGGTAAGCCATTGGAAGACAACCCTATCCCCCAAGTCACTTCCCAAAACGCCACGAAGGACCCTGAAGAACCATTGACTTTGACTAACGTCTTGGAAGAACACTGCAGACGAACCAAGCTGCCTCCCCCTGTCTTCAACATCGTCTCCGATCGGCGAGGTACCCTCCCCCGTTTCCATTTCTTGCTCTCCTTGACCCCATCCATCTCCCGCCGTCTTTTTGCTTCAGAGAGAGGGAAAATGCCTCTTTCCATCTTCCTTCTCATTCCTGCATACCCGTCTTCCCTTGTCGTTTCCTTCTCTTCCCATGATCCTTCCCTTCTCTTGCCCCCTCGACGTGTCTCAGCATTGCAGAAAGAGAGCAGAGTGGAGCTTGCAGAAAACCAAACACCGTACACCGACTTTTAGTTCCGAGCTTGACAGCGGATGCTAATTGCCCTTGCGTCGGAAAATGCAGGAGGTCGAACCGCCTGGTCTAGTAATGTCACCGTTCAGGGCCAAACTATCTCCGCTCGTTACTGGTACGATGGCCAGTACATCAACAATGCCAAAGAGGATGCCGCCGAAGTCGCTCTGAAGACCCTCAATGAGCAGCCCCGTTCGTCCACCGTCTATCCCGGTCAACTCTTCCCTCAGCAAACCGCTGGTTACGGCCGGGGTGCCGGTGGGTTCTGAGAATTCTCCTTTCCATCTTTCTTTTCTCCCTTTCCTATACGGTTCGAACTCTTTTTTTTTTCTTTTGGTGGGTGGCTATCTCTGCTTCATTCCTTGTGTTTTTACTTCTATTTGGGATTGCCGCGGTTTTCCTCTTGCGCCGCAATTGTGTGGGTTTGAATTTTTTTTTTCCCTTGCTGGCTGCGCGGGCCCACAGCAACACGCGCGCATTGCTGTTGCTGCTCATATGGTCTCTGGATGCGCATGCAGAAATTGGAAGGAAAGAACAGAAAACAGGGTTATAGGTCATTTTCCACAAAACCGTCTCCGTCCAACTCATCCTGCATCGACAGAATCGACTTGCTCTCCTCGAATCTCGGACGCGCGAAGATATTCCCCGGCCGGTGGGAATAAAGACAGCTGGCGATCTGCAATACTGGTGCAGCGATGACTGCTCACCAAGTTGTGATCCGGGTGGGGGGGAAAGATCCTACGGCGCCGATGATACAAGCTTGAACGCCTGGGCTGGACTTGGCCGGGCTGATCATTGGTGTTACCTACGCCCTTCTCACCTGCTACGAGTTATGTACAGCGGCCCTGGATGACATCGAGACTAGACTATGGCCAGTGGCCACTACCTTGCACCCGGTTTAATGTCCGTGCGACATGCCAGCGGAAATGTACTACCCGCTCAGTCCTCACGGGCCCAGGAACGGCACTGTTCTAATTCTCCGGCGCACGCTTGCAGGAGCGGCAAATTTCGGCGGGTTTTGGGCACAATCCATGTGGTCGGCGCACCCTGATATGCATTCACGCCTGATACCAATCTTTCCGACTCCTGGCGACCACAAATTTCTACGAGGACATCCGCATCACGGCAATCACAATGGTTCTTCCGATATGTCGTGATCCCTGTCTTTGGTACTCACTCCCCTCTAGCTTCCAAATTGAATTAGTGGAGTGTGTCTGTGGGGCTCTGCCGTCGAGATACCCGCCTCGAACCGCGGATACGGAAAACTCTGTTGCGGGTGCCGGGCCAACGGTGTCGTGCGCTACAAAGGGCACCCTCTCGGCTGTGGCTGCGCCTGGATGTGGTATTCCGCAATACTGCTACACCTGTGTTCCTAAGAGCCAGTTCAGCTTGCCACGGTATCGTGCATTATGATTGCCTTGCTCTTGGAGACTCTTTGTCTCGGATCCCTGTGTTACCTTTGGGACGGGAACCGAACCGGTCGGCTGAATCTGATGAGGGGAGAAGGTTTGGGAAGGATTACTAATTGATATTCGAGGAGCGTTGAATCCGAGTCCAATCAGGAACTTATAGGAAACACACGGGGCAAGTTGGAATAGTGGACTTTTCTTGCCCTTTGCTTCTTTGTCTGGATTAATCAGCTTAGATCTATGGGATCTTGGATCATCTCAGGATAATTGTTTTCACAGTTTAAGTGGGAGTTTTGCTTTTTGATTTGTATGGACAGGACTGTATGCGCTGGTCGGGGGACCTGGAGCTGGGCTGGACTGGAATTGGATTGGACGGGACCGGACTGGGTTTTTTTTCCAACCCTGTGTATTTCTTTCTGCTGTTCTCTTTTGTGCTTTTTTTTCATATGTATCCGGGCTTGTGATCGTTGGGTTCTATCAGATTGGCTGGGAATTTTCGCTGTGGTGGACCACAAAAATATCGACAGGACGTATCTTCAGAGAAATGAATCGCCTTTTACGAGAGAATTTGGTGTTTTAAGTGTCTATTTTGTTTGGATCCGGATGACCATTTGCTGATTTTAGCTGCAGAGCAGGCTTCTAGCGGGCGAGACTTCCAATGACCGTTGATATAGCCGTTACTTTGTACCTTTGTACCCGCCCCATTATCTATACACACTTTCCACGAAAGATACTGGCTTTCAATTTATGTTCGAAGCATGCTATCTCCTGACTTTTTCATAGTGAAGGCTTTTCGTAGACTCGTAGGCATTCTATATCCAATATCGCAGGTCTACCTCGACCATCGATCAAGTCGACTGCCTAAAACCTATCGCCAAATTTAGAACTCATCCAAGTCGCCGATCGTCCCTTCCATTACTACATAAAGTAATGAGCCGCCCCCAACCTCCGATGCCATCTCTGGTTCTGTCTGACTGAACCTAATGACAATGACGAAATCTGATCGAGCCGAGCTGTGGCTGTGTAATTTGGGGCTTGGTCCAACGCCTTATAACGGGCACATCGCACCGAAAATTAACACTGATGCCTGTCTATGAATGACAAGCCACTTTTTGGAAGTATAAGATTCAACTTTTGTCCTGATTGACTTGCGTGATCATATATATTCAAAGCATCTTTATTCAAACACTATCAGCCGAATCAGCCATACCTTACCAGCCATATAACGTAATCAGAATAAACGCTCAGACATCTATCACCATGTGTTTCGGCTCTTCATCCTCAAAAGAAAAATACCCACCTCCGCGACGCATCAATTACGGCAATGACTACAATCAATATATCCGAGACTATGACAACTACCAGAGATCAAACGCTCAACGTCTCAAATACGATAAGAAGAAAACGTCGCGAAGGGCCGCCGTGGTTGCTGCGGCTGCTGGAGCAAGTGGAGGGGGTGGGGGTGGATGCTGAGAAAATTCAAGAGACGGAGACATATGGATGATACATTTGATTACTTTTTATGGCCAACAAGCATGTTATTGGCATCGCTATCTTTGGATGTTATTCGAGTCTGAATTTGAGATGGATCACATGAGAGTCTCTGACGAGACGAAGGCAGCGGGTCATTTTCTACAGCGCTGTACCTTTTCACCTTGTATACTCGAACTGGTAGATTTTTGCCAAACACATAAATTCTCTAGATTTGTCATTACTCCTCGACTTATTACCACGCTAACGAGAATTTGTCATGGCCCTTGATACCACCCACTCCACAGTGGACAATGACATGTCTATCCCCTGCAGCACGAAGCGCGTCATGCATAATATCCATAAACCTCAATCTTACCCTCTCCTCTTCCAAATCAAATCACCCCACACCATCCGACCCATCTGAATTGAGGTATCTAGTATGCAAAATTCTTGCCCGTTCCATCACCGGAACCCCGACTATTTCTCCACCCATAATACAACCTCAGCAGTACACATCCAGCCGCGACGAACAACAATAGTGCTGCATTTGTCCAATGGCCCGTTGGATACCCCTTTTTAGCCTCGTTGCTTTTATAGATCCAAACGCCGACAATTTGGCCCGGGGCACCGAAGGATACGTTGAGGGCAATGGCGAGACCGGCACCGGCCGTGGAGCGGATGTTTGAGGAGAGCCAGCCGAGGAGCGGGGGGATACAGGCGAATGCACCGCTGGCGGCGACTATGAGGCAGCCATAGCGGTGCTAGAATTGGAACTGTTAATTTGTGTCTTAAGGATAGGAAGGGTTTATAGGGGTTGCTCACTAGGTATGCATCGGCGGGAAGGACAGCGGAGGCTAGGAAGCCCATTGCTCCGATGAAGGAGAAGATGGCCGAGTGGAGGCCGCGGCTGTAGAATTATAGATCAGTGAATGGCTGCCAATACCTCCCCGTTAGGTTTGACTGACCTATTGAAGTGGTCTGCAGACCATGCTACAGTAATTGTCACGACATATGCAACGGCATACGGAGGCACGGTCATGAGCTGAGCACGCAAGTTCGAATACCCCAAGCCAGCCGTGATTGCCGGTGTGAAAAGAGAAAGACTGGAGAAAGGCGTTGAGATGCCAAAGTATACCTGTTAGATAAGTCAGCCCAAGCGTAAAACTACCATACCAGAGTGTGATCACATACGGCGTAGTGGGCATACAGCCGCCAATCAACCAACACTGCTTTCGCATCCGCCCAAGACATAGCACTCGCCGAGCCCTTTGATCCTTCTAATCTCAACCGACTGGCCGCCAATTCCTTCTCTTCGGCAGATAGCCAATTCGCAGTCTCGGGATAGTCTGGTAAGAAGAACCAGACCAGGACAGCCGAGGCGCAAGACGGTGCACCCTCGATAATGAACAGCCATCGCCATGCAGAAAGCCCGTGGGCACCATTCATATGGCCAACCCCAAATGCAATCGCGCCGCCAAATGCACCGGCCAGAGTCGCAGAAGCTAGAATCAAGGCTACTCTCATGGATCGCTCGGAGTTTCGGTACCAGAATGTCAGATAGTAGACGAATCCTGGGAAAAGGCCTGCTTCCATGACGCCCAGCAGGAAGCGCAGTCCTGTGACTTGGGCGTAGTTGTGCACGCCGCCTAGGCCCATTGTCGTTGCGCCCCAGGAAAGCATGAGAAAAGCTATCCAGCGCTGTGTTTATGGTAAGAATTGGCTTTACACTTCGTTGATCGCGAGAGACGTACACTTGGTCGGAGTTTCTTTAAGAAGTAATTTGATGGGACTTCGAACAATGCGTACGCAATCAAGAACACCATCAACGCAATCCTTGAAATTGGTTAGAGCTTCACTCCAGAACCTCATGGATTTGACTCATAGAACATAAGCACAGGACTTACGTATACTGATACGAAGTCATATTCGTCTCCGAAAGCAAATCATTATGAGTGTTCTGATTGAGGATCTTGGCATTTCCTGGACGATATCAGCTTGGTAGCCCCGCCCAGCCATCTGAGCCCCAGGAATACTCACCAATATTAGACCGATCCAAATAACACAAAAGATAAATAGCCGCACATAAAGGCACGATCCTGCGATCCTGTTTCCAAACCAAAGCCTTCTCGCACGCCTCACGCGCCGGGTCAACAATATCGGACTCGGGGTACTACCCTCGTTAGATCTCAGTTCACCTCCACACAATGGACCTCGAATCCGATCCGATCATAAAGAAGAACACTTACGTCTAGCGTATTCTCGACATCGCGAGCAGCCACCTTTTCCGCCATGGTGCCGGGGAGCCTCTCGATCCGAGAGCGTACAGCAAAGTGCAATTTTCTGACTCGGATGCTAAGAGAGAAAGATTTGCGCTGTGAGAGGCACTAATGCCCCCCCCCCCCTTTTTTAGTTTCTCTTTTTTTCTTGTCTCTCGGCATCGGTCTAGCTGCACCTTGCCCGGGGAGAGGAAATGCGCCCCCGCATTTTGGTCCTTCCGCACTGGCCAGGTCGGGCATTCTCCGAGGGCCGAACCCCCACGCGCGGGTTTCCTTCAGTCATAGGTCTGGATTGGTATATAATGATGAGTCAGGCTCAAGCTGGACCTGAGCTTAGCTAGATCATTTGACTTGTAAATATGCAGAATTTTGAATCTTCGAGTTGGAATGAGGTTCATGCTCGCCTGGGCGTACAAGCCCTTGTAGATCCCAGCCATCTTTCGGACGGGGAATGCGGGGCTGGGAGGAAATCTATGTACTATTGGAATATTCATGCAAGCATAGCCTTTCCGATAATGCTGTGCACTGGTACAGGATTGTCACTTTTTAGGAAGAAAACCAGTCATGTATAGCAAATAATTCTTCGGATTGAATACGTTCTACACATCGTGATTCTAGGGCTTTTAGTTTTGGCTGGCGGGAGTGGCTTCAATTAGCTTTTCCCGGTACTTTGCTTCTTTCCACCGGGACACTTTACGACTCAAATTTACATCCAGGGAATACTATGAAGCAGACCAACAGTTTATAGTGGTTGTTAGCACTAGTACGTAGAGAAAATCTGTTCTACCTGCAATTTTCGAGATTGAAGAGTGACTTTTCATAAAGCTCTCCCTGTATATGGGGAAGTGTAATTTCCAAATACCTCCATATATTTTCAAAAGATCTAATTAGTCCGATGTCAAGCTGTTCTTAATATGGTATTCTCTGTTTTCATTGAATTATTATTTCAAGTTGTTGTCCTCGTGTACTCCATACTCTCGCCCACACTCGCATCGGATGCAAACCAGACAAACACCTTATCAGCTAGATTGTGCCTGAGCGCATCGCAAACGCTGCCACCACCACCACACCCCACGCTCTCCATGCAATGCTCGGTTGCGTTGACCCGACTCCGACCTAGATTGATACCCAAGGCATTCCTTGTGCCTACCGCAGCTATGTCAACCGCCACTGAGCCCGTCCGAAAGGTCATGCCTTCTGCATTGACATTTGATCGTCACGCGAAATGTTCGGTAGGTCTTCGCCAAAGCCATTTGGGTCGCAAAGGAACTATGACTGACTCGAATTGCGCCTTCTTTGCTTAGACTACGAAAGCCCGGGCAAGCACCCTCCACCTTCCCCACGGCTCCGTCCCTCTGCCGATTTTTATGCCTGTCGCAACGCAAGCGTCTCTCAAAGGCTTGACATATGACCAGTTGCGCGAAACAGGGTGTATGCTCTGCTTGAACAATACATATCATCTTGGCTTGAAACCCGGACAAGAGGTGCTGGATGCTGTGGGTGGTGCGCATAAGTTCCAAGGATGGGATCGTAATCTTTTGACCGATAGTGGCGGGTAAGAAGTGGCGTATCATTTCAAGAAGAATTTGGCGTAGCTGACGGGATAAATTCGGGACTTTTAGTTTCCAGATGGTTTCGTTGCTCAAGCTTGCTACTGTTACCGAGGAAGGTGTGCGCTTCCTAAGTCCTCATGATGGCTCGCCTATGTATGACTCTCCGCCAACTGCTTTCGTGATCCTGCGCGAAATGGTGAAAAATGAATTAATCGCTGACATTCCTCCAGGCTCCTTACTCCCGAACACTCTATTTCCCTCCAAAACTCGATCGGTTCGGATATTATCATGCAACTAGATGACGTGATCGCGACCACATCTCCAGACTATGCCCGAATCAAGGAAGCTATGGATCGTTCAGTACGTTGGTTAGATCGATGCATTGATGCGCATAAATACCCCGAGAGGCAGAACTTGTTCTGTATTATCCAAGGTGGTCTTGACCTGGAGCTTCGCAAACAATGCTGCGAGGAAATGGTGGCTCGAGATACTCCTGGAATTGCGATCGGAGGGCTGTCTGGAGGTGAAGCTAAGGAAGAGTTCTGCAAGGTGTAAGTGGTGCCTTTTCACCTTCAGCGTATCCTAAACGTCCCTTGCTAATATTTCGAAGGGTCGATACGTGCACAGGGCTACTGCCGGAGCATAAACCCCGATATGTGATGGGAGTGGTATGTATTTCTCATCGGAAAGTCTCAACTCCTCTGTCTAACCTTCCTTCAGGGATACCCCGAAGATATCGTTGTAGCAGTCGCTCTTGGTGCAGACATGTTCGACTGCGTGTGGCCCACACGCACAGCGGTAAGTCTCTACTATCATTGAACCTCGAGATCCCTATTGACATCAGATAAGCGTTTCGGCAATGCCATCGTGGATGCAGGCACCCTGAACCTTCGACACCAAAAATACGCAAACGACTTTTCGCCTATCGACGAAGGCTGTGACTGCGTTTGCTGTCGCCCGACTGATAAAGGTGGCCTCGGCGTCACCAAAGCATATATACACCATGTCACCGCAAAGGAGACCGTCGGCGCTCATCTGTAAGTTTACACTGTTACCATGTGCGCTATCATAGCGAGGCTAATCCTAGAATACAGGCTTACTCAGCATAATGTGCATTACATGCTGAAATTGATGGGATATGTACGACAGGCTATCATGGAAGACCGATACCCGGCTTTCCTTCGCAAGTTCTTCTCTAATATCTATGCTGGAGATAAAACAAAGTATCCTGAGTGGGCTGTCGGTGCTCTTCGTCGCGTTGGAATGGATCTTTTGGAAGATTAAATGGTATATGAGCCGACTATCTGCATTTACGCACGGTAGCTCAGTGTGGGCCTATTACGATGATTTGCATGCAAAGAAAGCGTTTGCATTTGAGCGGTGTTGGAATTGGCTTATTAGATTCATCCCATATCTACAGCGAAAATCAATTGCTCCAGCCACGCCAAATATTAGCCAAATTATTAGCATGAATATCCGGGACTAGACCATCTTGCTCTTAGCGAATCTCCCAATAAACTGTATCATTCGCTTTTTGCACGAATTTCTCGTCAAATCTGAATATTCGCAAATCAACAGGGCCCCACTGCATACATCAACGACCACGATAAGATAATCATCACGTGATAGCGCGTCGCGTTGACGCGCATGGAAATCCCTCCGCTCCTCTCCTCCTCCCCGCCAGAAGACGAGATCGGGGCAAATCAGCGACTACCCTCGTTTCCTAATTTCTTCAGCGTTCCCGATCAAAGTTTTGCTATTTTCTAATTTCATCATTCTCAACATGACACAAGAACAAGTTGCTCCCGTGGCGACCCCCGCACCTGCGGCGCACAATCCCTCGCACGAAGAGCACCAATACCTCAACCTCATCCGTACCATCCTTGCCCATGGAGAGCACAGGCCTGACAGAACTGGCACCGGAACACGATCTCTATTCGCACCACCTCAACTTCGCTTCTCGCTCTCAAAGCCCAATCCCAACGGAGGCGACCCGATCCCCGTTCTACCTCTTCTTACCACGAAACGAGTTTTCCTCCGCGCCGTGCTCGCAGAGCTTCTCTGGTTCATTTCCGGCTGCACATCGTCACTGCCCCTCTCCGAGGCCGGAATCAAGATCTGGGATGGAAACGGCAGCAGGGAATTCCTCGATAAGGTTGGACTTGGACACCGGGAAGAGGGCGACCTAGGCCCCGTCTACGGCTTCCAATGGCGACACTTTGGTGCCGAGTACGTCGATGCGAAGGCGGATTACACGGGTCAGGGTGTTGATCAGCTCAAGGATGTTGTCAATAAGATCATGAATACGCCATTTGATCGCCGTATCATCATGAGCGCGTGGAATCCCGCTGACCTGCGCAAGATGGCACTCCCGCCTTGCCACATGTTTGCGCAATTCTATGTGTCTTTCCCGCCGGGCATGAAGCTGGACGAGAAGACGGGAAAGCCTACTGAGAAGGGTACCTTGTCTTGCCTTCTTTACCAGCGTTCTTGTGATATGGGTCTCGGGGTGCCCTTCAACATTGCCTCGTACGCTCTTCTCACGCATATCCTCGCTCACGCTGCCGATCTCCATCCCGGCACTTTGATCCACACCATGGGCGATGCTCATGTCTATCTTGACCACGTTGATGCGCTGAACGAGCAGTTGACTCGGGAGCCGACCGAGTTCCCAGAATTACTCATTAAGCGTGATGACCGCGGCAGTGCTGTTATCGACGGTTGGAAGGAGGATGAGTTTGAGGTCATTGGATATATGCCTCACAAGACCATCAAGATGAAGATGAGTGTTTAGTGTACAATACTCCCTTAGGAATTTTTCCTACGTTATAATATTTAGACGATACCAGTCTCTTTTGTTTTAAGAAAATAAATGCCATGAATTCACAATTTGCAAAAGCGATATATGCTAGTATTCCCTAGCCCAATGTTCCATACACATTCAACGCCAAGCAAACCGCTATGAGGTATTATTGGGATAAGCAACGCTTCCAGATGTAGATGATGGCAAAATGAAGCAAATAAACAGACAACGCAAGCAAGACAGCGAGTATAAATGCATTATGAGCTCGCAAGAGCCACACCAGCACCTCGCAGCAACACGATAGTATCGCCAGACTTGAGTTTCCCACTCCCTATCGTATCCGAGAACTCCAAGAAATCCCCAGACTCGACGTGGAAGATTCTCAATCGCGCCTCCTCTCCACCAACACGATTGTTCAAGTTCTCGACCTTCAGCCTGCGCGCCGCATCGTCCAGCACTCGACCAACCTTCCATCTTGAATCGAAGTAAAAGTCTCCAGCCGGTGGCTCCGTAGCCTGGGTATCCGCCGTTCCCACCGTGTGCAGGTATAACCGCTTATCGGCGGGAACACCTGCATCGCCCTTTGCGGACCGCTTCATGGCATTGACACTAGCAATGCGCGCCGCAGGACTGTTGGGCTTAACCTTCGGCTTCGGAATAAGATTCGAAGTCGCAACTTGCGTGTCTTTGCCCCAGGTCCTCATGCGCGAGAACATCGACTTGATCGTCTCATTCGCGCTGCTGCCTTGCCGTGCGCCCAGCGGGGTAAGCTTGGCGCACTCGTGCTCCTCTCGAAGCCGATGCTTGAGGCAGTACTGGCGATTACAGTTCGGGCAGCGCACGCCAGGGTCTTTGAGGGTATTTATGAGGGTTTTGCAAGAGACGTGGGCGCACTGGTCGGAGTTGTAGATGTTGGGCTTTTGGGGCGCAGTGCGGTTCTCTTGTTGGTTTGTTGCGCCATTGCGCCGGCGGGCCCATTCTCCAGCGTGAGGGCATTTGTGGGCTGTTTCGGAGCGGTGGTCGAGACAGAAGGTACTTCGGCAGGATTCGCAGCGGAAGGGGAGGAAGTCGAGTTGGCCGCAGTATTCAAATTGGCAATGGCGGCCGATTGATTCGAGATCTGTGTCGGCCATTTGGGTGTAGGATTGGCTGGGTGAGGAGACGGCCCCTGTGGAAATGCTTACGGGAGACATGATAACGAGCGAAAGTAAATGACAAGATAAGAGGTTCGCCGCAACAGAATGAGGGAGTCTGGAAAGAAATACACGAAAGGAAGATCGGAGATCGACCAGAGTAGAATGCGATGGCAACCAGTTGACTAATGCGGAGAAGCTTCCAGGTTCCGCCGAAGCGGGCTTAGCTAATGGGTGCGCGGAGGCTCGGCGTTTAACTAAGATGATACCCGCTCGGCCACCCAAGATTTTATCTCCATTGCCTATGCACTCGTTTGCAAGTGGCAAACCTGGCTCAGCCACCAGCCCAGTTCCACTCCTAGCTTCCCCTCCTGATCATACATCACTAGATGACCCGCGCCCTCAATAAGCACCACGTCCTGAGCATTTAGCTGCGTCTTCAATCTGGCCGCCGTTTCCACAGGAATCCATGCGTCCTCCTGGCCCCAGATAATCCGCACCGGCATCTTTCTTCCCACTTTCGAATAATGATGCTCCACCTCTTCGGTACGGCGACTATTCGCTTGCACCATTTGCCTCACAAACCCTCTGCGCCCCTCCTCCGTAGATATCCATTGGCTCTTCAGCATCTCCATAGTCTCCATATCCAACCCTCGATACGAGGCCTCACGGATATACGCCTCGACAACCCCTTCAAATACCGGGCCAGTCAGCGCGGTGAAAACACTCGCATTCTCAGCGACCAGTTTGAATAGAGGTTGACCGAATGGCCCGGTAGCAACTACATTGATCAAGCATAGACTAGCATACTCGCAGCCGTGAATAAGATGAGCTCGTAGAGCCATCAAACCGCCATGATCATGCGCAACAACGTGTGGTTTCTGCTGCCACTCTTTTGCCCAATGTTCTATCAGAGCGACAAATACTGTCGACTGTTGCGAGAGATCTGCATCCAAGGCGAGCTCATTGCTGATGGCATCTTCCTTGCCTTGGAGAGGCCGGCCGAGAGGACTTGCCCCGAAGCCGGGGTTGTCGAAGAGGTAGACATGAAAGTATTTTGAGAAAGACTGGGCGTAGTTAATCCAGACCCGTGAGGACCATGGCGTACCGTGTACGAAAAGGAGAGGTGGTGCTGCTGGGTTGCCGAGAGATGTCCAGCGGATTTGGTAGCTGTGAGTGGCGGTGGAGTGGTGGAAGGTTTGGTCAAGTTTGATGTCTGGGGATGCAGCCATCTTGCTGAATACTTTTGTTCTTCAAGTAATACCCTCTAGTAATCAGTTGAGAGAGAAAAACAGATATGATCTGTAGAATAAGATAAGTCCCGGCTTTAAATTCATTTGGGAGATGTCTAATGTCCTACTCCGCATTCTCCCTTCTGATTGGTCAAATTGAAAGCACTATATGACCTCAGCACCAGGCAAGGATTACAGCAGGCTCACGCTCCTGCTTGTTTAATATTGACCATATTCTATTCGTAATGATTTACTTCTACAGGGAGAGGAGTTTCAACGTATTGTAGAATTCCTTGTATCCTCGTTCCACCTTCTATCCGAGAGGATTCTTGGCAGCGTATGATTTATACAGACCTCTTCCCGGAACAACCTACATACCACGATCATGTGATGGTACCAAGAAAAAAGGTACTGGCTCGTACCAAAGAGTGAGTAAGCCTTTCTTTAAAGCTTTCTATTGTAAAATCCATCCGCAACAATGACTTTTTTTGATGAGCCTGGTCCTCAGTCCAGCTGTGGGCTATATGATTGACAGTGGCTTAGCTCTTCTCTGCAGATACTGCTCCAGTTATATCCTGGTATTTACTTCATGAAGGAGGCCAGCGGTGTGGATCCATAGTCAGGCCTTCGATGTCTCAGGCACTCTGTTTGCACCCTCAGCCACCAAACCTTAGCTAAGCGTGTTTCCCCGCATAACAAAAGCCGGGGTAAGATTGCCATCAACAACCTTCTTTCACATTCCCCCTTCCCCGCTTAACTTCACATTCCACGACCTTTCCAACTGGAACATATTTTGCCAACATGACGCGAGGATTCGCTACCATCAAGCCCGAGTGCGAAGAAACTTTTGATGCAGTCAAAGAGACTGATGCTCTCAACTATGTCATCTATGAAGCTTCGGCACATGACAAGACTATCTCCGTTTTGAAGTCTGGCAAGTACGACAGCTACGAGGAGGTTGTCTCTCACTTCAAGGACGACGCTCCTCGCTACGCTGTCGTTGACTTCGAGTATGATTCCCCTACCGGTAATGAAAAGCGACACAAACTAGTCTTCATCACGTGGTATGTTGCCTGATCTGATTCCTGGACGCGTGCCTCGTCAAATACAACGGTGCTAAGACCTGATTCTCAAAATAGGGTGCCCGAGACGGCAAGCATTCATGACAAGTCATACTACACGAGTAACAAGGATCATTTGTACCGGGCGCTCGAGGATATCAGTTTGCATGTGCAGGCATCTAAGCCAGCAGAGCTGGCCCATGCTGCTAGTAAGTACTTACAACAGCCCTCCTCTGGCAATCATACCAATCTGAAACTAACTGTATCCCTCCACTTTAGTCCTTAGCAAATTCAAGGTCCTCTGATCGCGTGCCCCTCTGATATCATCATTTGTTTTACGGATCCACACCACCCCCGCTCGGATCCACCTCTCCATCCTCGCAACCCGCGAATTTATCCATATGAAATGAACGAAATCCCATAGCTCAACTAGAGCTTCTGAACTCGCGCGGTCCCCGAACTCTGCAGTCCAGAGCCAGCGTAGTCAATAGCATAGCTGTGCCTCGAATCATAATGCATCGCCCAATAATCATCCCAGATGTGCTTCGTAATCGGGCCTATCTTTCCATCCTTAACAGGCTTCCCATCCAACGAGGTAATAGGCATAATACCCCCAGCAGTAGTGCACATAAATAACTCATCACAATGATACAACATCTCCACGGGCACAAATTGCACGCGGGCATCGATACCATTGGCTCGTGCTATCTCAAGCACACTTTTGCGGGTCACTCCCTCCAGAACCCCGCGCTCGGGGGTAAACAGAACCCCGTCTTTCACGAGCACGATATTAAAGCCAGATCCCTCTGTGAGATTCCCATCTCCGTCTGTCAAGAGCGGGTGCATAGCACCTCGATCAGCAGCCTCCAGCATACCCCGGGTCAGATCTCCCCATTGTAGATTCTTGACGGTCGGGTCCATAGATCCCACGGGAGTTCTTCTGACCGTACGGGCGACGACAGCAGAGCCTCCGGTACGTTGCACCTGTGGCTCCATCACCCAGACGTAGGGCAGAATGAACATGTACAGCGTATTCTTGCGAAGTTGATCGGGGTTAGAACCACGTACGCCGGTGAGCCCGCGAGTAACTATCAATTCGACGTATGCATCCTTGATCCCGCACTTCGCGGCCATCTCATTGAGAATTAGCTCAATGTGTTCCTTTGGGAGAGGTAGTCGCATGCGTAGCTTATGGCAACTGGCTTCGAGTCTTGAGAGATGATCGTCTAGACGGAAGAATCGCCCATCCCAGATCGAAGGTACGTCGTACGTGAGATCGCCGTGTAAGAAGCCCTGGTCCATTAATGGGATTCGAGCTTCGTTAATAGGAACGAGCCGCCCTTCAACCCAAGCAATGCCCTTGGCGAAGGGATTACTGTTGGCTTTGAGAGCGGCTGTTCGGGCGGCATAGCCTGCGAAGACTTGATCCATAGACGACATGTTGAGAAGCCTCGATGAATCAAAAATCAGCTGAAAATATTTTCTTGGTGATATGAGGCTATAATTGCTTCTTATACTGCGAGATTTGGGTAAGATTACACTATTTCACGTCACGGCTATACGTATCTCCTATTATTGGTTCCTCGAGGAATATGGAAACGCACGAGGGCGGGCAGGTTGAGATTTCGGACGCATTTTCCTTGTTTCGATAACCACGATGATGTCCGACCACTTTCCCAAAATTGCAAAATAAACCACCTACCCCTCTTTTGCTTGACAGTTGCGATACACAATACGCTGGTGATATATGCACAGCAATTCAGCGGACTCAAAAATGGGTTGAGGGGTCGAGATCTCTTATCTGTTGCGGCGATCTGCAGCAAAGTGACTCGCCGATGCCGATCAACAATATTCGAGATTGGCTTCCATATTTTCCACAGAGAAGCTATCTCAAGCTCCATTGCCAAGAAGATGATAAAGCAGCGTAGGCTAGATTGGGTTAGGCTATAGATCACCCACCAAACAGATTAAAGTGACTAGAAGCACTGTATTTTTCTTAAACCCAAGCATATCGCGAGATATGGCCAAGATACAGTACAGCCACCATTGCGGTTTGCATTATCGTGAGTCCTTGAGCAATTTTAGTAATTATGTAGCTGCGAAACCAATGAGTATAATACAGTGGAATTCATCACATCAAAGTCTTCGGTACACCAGAACCTCATTCCCGAGATACATAGAAAAACATTTTTCGAAAGACATTTCTCGAGGTCACAGCGGCAGTGTCTGGCCGCTCGTTCTTGAGCAGAACCTTGAATTTCGAGTCGGGTGCATAGTAATTATTCATATACCAGACTAATCGTTGATTGGTCGGTGGAGTGTGGAGCCTCAGGCGTCATAGGACTAGAACATACCCCAAGAATAGCGGCAGAAAAGGGCGGTCAGTGCAGGGGTTCGCAGCCTTTAGTAGTGCCACTGTACCTCCGCGGTGCTGTGTGCAATAAACTCCGGACCCTGAGAGAGATCAGCTCCTTTTAGCACCTGCGCGCAGGACATATTGTACAGATACCAATGAGTTTTTGAGTCAGAATTGCTTCTCATCTTCCATCATTACATTTCTGACGCGCTATACCACTCGCAAGTTCCATGACGTAGGTGCCAATTTACCCCACGTGATCCACCCGGTGAAACGATCGGGATCCGAAATATATTTCACGATAGCGGTGAAGCATTCGATTGAGTCATTCCACATATCCCAGCCGGCCCGGGATATTCAATTGCACCCCTCCTCAATCAACCACGAGCACCAATTGCTCAACGCCATCAATTGCACCACAAAAATGGACACACACCCCTACGCCAAAGAGCTACACCTAGCCAGCCTGGCCGTTCAACGAGCCGCCCTCCTCACAAAACAGCTCCTCTCCGAAGTAGACAAAGGCTCCCTCAGCAAAGAGGACGACAGCCCGGTTACAATCGCCGACTTTGCCGCCCAAGCATCCATTATTGCCGCCATCCACCACACCTTCCCTACAGACCAAATCGTCGGCGAAGAGGACTCCACCGCTCTGCGCGAGAACCCCGCCCTCCTCGAACGTACCTGGGAGCTTGCTACATCCGCACACCTCGATGACGCAGCTAGCGAAGCACTCCTGCACACACCGGGCTCGCGAGACGAGCTCCTCGAGCTGATTGATCTCGGCGCAAAGGGTGCCTGCGGGCCTGGGCGAGTATGGACGCTCGACCCCGTCGACGGCACGGCGACGTTCATACAGAACCAGCAGTATGCAGTGTGTCTTTCGCTAGTGGAAGATGGAGTGCAGCGGCTGGGCGTGCTGGGGTGTCCGAACCTCAAGCTTGGCGAGGGGCCCGTCTCGGAGGAGACGGTGGATCGGGACGGATATGGGCAGCTTTTGACAGCTATCGCGGGACACGGAGCGTTTATTGCACCGCTGGGTACGGGTGCGCTGCATGCTTGCCGGGCGCTGGAGAGGATACCGGCTGTTGAGGAGGCGAGCGCGGTGCGATTCGTGGACACGGGGGCAGCGTCGTCGCATGATGTTGAGGTCCATGCACGGGTCGCGGCGCAGCTGGGCTGTCCGTGGCCGAATACCGTGGACTTGTGGTCTGCGCAGATGCGGTATGTTGCGATTGCAGTCCAGGGTGGTTGTAATGCGTTTGTGAAGGTACCGCGCCGAGAGAGCTATCGGTCGAAAATCTGGGACCATGCCGGCGGTATGTTGTTGGTGCAGGAGCTGGGGTGTATAGTTACAGATTTAGAGGGGCAGGAGGTCAATTGTGGACTTGGAAGGACATTAGGTGGATGTTATGGAATGGTTGTCGCTCAGGCTTCGATTCATGGCCGGGTTTTGGAGGCTGTGAGGGCTGCGCGGCAGGTATAGTCTATGATGCACGATTTATGGTACATGTTTCTGGATACAGGGTATTATGGTGTACGGTTAGATATATGACTTTGCGAACATAAAATGGGATGACTAGAACATAAAACTTAGTGGAAGCTTTCGGTTCCAAAGAATAAAGGAATGTTTTGAATAGCTCAATTGGTGATCGCGGGTAGTTCAGCGAACTCCCAAAAAAACAAAAGTGCAAAAAAGAAATGCCCTCGTCCAGGTTCGAACTGGAGACCTTCGGATTACCACCCTGTTGAGGCAGGGTCGTCATAAGATCCATATGAGACCGACGTCATAACCAACTAGACCACGAAGGCTTGTTATGTTCATATGGCCAAAATTTATAATACATGATGCTGCTGGCCAGTGTTGATCCATGAATGTGCCTGAGGATCAATCTACGGCCCGCACCATTGAGTCGGCGATGGTCACCACCTCACAACTCACAGAAAGATGCTCTTTCAAAATAATATCAATGTAACATACCTCAAGTCTCCCTCTCCTTTGCAGACATAAAATAAGGGAGCCTTGTTTGGTGGTAACTCTCAACTTGGTGGTGAACCTGTACTCACTCGCAGGGTGTGTACCATAATATATATCAGTGTAGCAGCTGTAGCACATTACGATTTTGCTTGAGGCGCAAGTATTTCCCCGCCTAAATGACAGGCCGACATTAGAGGACTCGAATCGTGCTCGCTCTCCCCATTACCATTTGCCATGCCTTTCTCACTTCTCCCGGTCGCTAGTCTGCTTTTTTCTCACAAGTGCCGTATTGCCTCGTTTTGATCCAGGGGCCCCGACTTCCCATCTGTATGGCGTCGCAACTCGCATGAAAAGGAACTTTACTCTGCGCCGTCGTCTGTATGGAGTACGGAGTACTGATACATTCCTTTTTCTCCAGGTTGATCTACCTGCAGGGGCCGTGCCCTTGGATCGACATCCCCAGCATTCAGTTGCGCCATTAATGTTACAGGTTGGGTGCGACCCCCTGCGGGGGAATACTCCTTTCTTCTCTATTCCCTGCCCTCCATAGCTTGAAAGGCTTTAATTTGCAGAGAGTGGGCCACTGTCCAGCGCCTGCAACGAGAAGGTCGAGAACCTCGTTTCGCCGTGCTCGTCGCAAGTACTGTGGTTCGGGCTCGGGTGAGAACCGGCTTTACAAGCGGGGAGTGGAGCCGCTAAGATAACCTAAGCTGGCCTGACATCACCAATGATAATCTCGGGGAGATCCCAGAACGAGGGGATTGACCTCATCGTGCTGCAGCCGGATTGGCGCCACCTTGGAAGATGCCATTATTGTCTCGGTCATCAGACCACGTCCGGACTTCTGGGCGGCAACTGCAGCAGCTAATGGCACCAGTCGTACGAGAGCAACCGAGTGAAGTACCAAGGTACAACGTTGCTGAGTCTGGGTCCCCGGACGATGAGCTAGTCAGAGACCATATCTACTAAAGATTTGGTTATTCGCTCCGTGTCTCCATATATATTCTAATCCTCCCCCCCCGCTTTCTGACACCGAAATTTTTTTATGTTCTGCCCTTGATACGTAGGCTGGTGTTTCAATCTCTCCGAGACTCCTCCACTCTCATTCACAATCCATGGCGTTCTATAACCCTTTCGCCCGTCGAGAGACGCATAATGCCCATGCTTTGAACCTGTACCGGGTCTTCGTGCCCCTCACCTGGGCCCTGGTCGTCGTCGTCGGCATTTACTACTCCTCCCACTCGCCCGACGATACCAAGGGCAGCAAGAAGATCTGGAAACAGGCCAACAAGCATAACACACCCTTCAGCCAAAACACAACCGTGACCGGGGTGTACTGGTAAGAACAATCTCTCTCTATGTACTAGGCAAATCAAATCCCTCCAGTCCTTGGCCTCCATGTAGCACTCAGCCTATTTCTCTTCAAGGAACATGATCACAGCAACTAACTCTCCACTCCAGGATCCTCCTTCTCCTCTCCCAACTCAGCTACGTCTGGCACCTCTTCTCCAAAGAAACCGCCCTAGTCGCAGCCGCAGCCAACGTCGCCACACATTTCATTCTCAACAACCTATTCGTCTTTGCCTGGATTCTTCTCTGGACCCGAAACCACTTCTGGGGCGCCGAGATCATCCTGATCGCCCACTTTATCAACCAGTCCATCACCTACTGGCGTCACCAAGGCCTCCCCGCCTTCGTCCATCTACCCGCCGTCGCCGGACCCTATGCCTGGACTCTGACAGCGCTCTTCTGGAACGGAGCCGTCGCCGTTCACAGTCATAATCTGCCAGGCCGGATCGTTGCTAATATCTTTATTTGGGTGATCCTGCTGGTGGGTCTGTTTGATATTGCCGTGCGACAGGATTATATCCTGGGCTATTGCCTCAGTATTCTCACGCTGTGTAAGTCCATCAATTCATCCCGCATTATGTCTCAATTCTGGAGAAGGGATACCATGTGCTAATCTGTGTTTTGCAGCGCTCGCACTCCGCCAGATTGCCATCAAGATCATTGCTTTGCAGTGGATCTTTGCCTTTGTCGTCTTCGCTGTCTTCTTGGTTACTTCGATCTATATCTCAACCACCAAGTACTATGGTCGTGACAACTTGTTCCGCAGTGTTGCCCACCCCGACGCGACGGACCGTGAGCGCCAGCCTCTGCTCAATGAGGAGGCATAAGCAATAAGATTGGGCTGGGGGTTGAATATGTGGATGGATGCGAGTGTGGTGGAAGCTTGGTAGGATGAAGCATAGTCATTGAAAGGGAGAATGGTAAAGAAGGGAAGGCACGGGTGGTAGTCTGTCGATGGAGAGGCATTGATGAAATTTGTGGACCGGTTCACTCCAACTTATGCGTGATGGTTTAATGGATATGCGAAGAAGAATGATTCCCTTTGTATTTGGTTTTGGTTTGGCCTTTTCTCTATCTGGTATCGATCTGTGATATAAATGCAAGATGATTCCATATGAGTGATCTAGGTCGAGAGCGCGAACTAGGACAAGAAGTAACGCCGAAGTAGATAAATAGGGGTCAATTTCCACTTGGTTACTGTTTATGTCCATCGGAATATTTTGGTACTCGATTATTGAAGAATTTTTAGCTACACCAGAAATTGACAGGGAAACATCTAATCTACTTGTCTCCTCCTTGCGATTAGTGAGCGTATTTTATTATCCGATATCGCGTGTCTTCGTTCTCCACGGTAAAGGCTCGATGGATGTTGAAATGGATATCTTCTTACACAGTTGATCATCATCATGGAGACTAACGCAATCTATTGAAAGAATCTACTTCATTGACATATGTTCATTATGGGCTGGGGGCCTTTGCGTTCTCTGATGGCTGGACCCACCTTGGAGTGGAGTCGCGGAGTTGGCGATAACATCCCATATCAACAACCACGGTAGGCGAGCGGAGAAGATCTATAGAAGTGGGATATGCATGGATACATCCTACTTGCACTTTGATCGCGGCAAAAATCGAGTAACCTGCAGCCAAGATTGAATTGATTTGAGACCCGTGCAGCATCAAGGTCGAGGAGGACAGATCCCCCTGCAAATCTGGAAGCCGGAGGGGTTGCCCCGACAACCACAAAACAACCTCCGCTTTGTTGACTGCGCCCGCGGATGAACCGGCCTGGACTTGTTTGCAGACCACCGCGCTTGCACGTCAGCCCGTCCTCTCTTATTATTCCCAAGACTCTTCCATCGCTCTGTCTTTCCTTCATCCCATTGTTCCTCTTCTACCAGGTCATCATCAAATATCCCTAGTAAGTAACATCACCGGCATTCCTTCGCGGGACTCCACAATCCAGCTGTCTTCCAAACTATTTACTAATGCGACAATCAACCTGTCAGTCCTGCCACTTGCCTTGTCCCAGCAGCGGTACCCGCAAATCCGTGACCTCAGGGCTCATTGCGCATCCATTCTCGTCTACACCGATCGTGTTAGGCCCTAATATGAGGAACTAAAGCACTCCAGCCTCCTCAATCACGAACACATTCCACGTTCACACCATGAGCCTTCATCCACCATCCAATTACGGCGATGCACCGCCTGCTTACTTGGACCACGACGCTTCATCATACCTCTCCGACAACGAGTCTCCCAGCGGTCCGCCGCGACAGAATGGCGCGACCATGCGTCTGCTTCCAACGAGCGGTGACATTGATGGGGATCTGAGTGGTGGTGCTCGTGCGCCTTCGCCATTGCAATATCAGCCAGCCTATTCTGACTCTACTCCGTATGTATAGCGCTTTCCTTTCTGCCCGATTATAAGAACTTTATTCCCAGACACATTCCTGCGGTTGCTACTGCGACGAGGCCACATGCACACTGCGTTCATCAAGGCTTCTCCCTTGACACAAGAGCCAAGATGCACGTTGAAGTTTGATATTCTGTCAAGGGATAAGCCTGCCTTTGGATGTGGGGCATTGACTCCTGGTAGCACACTACCTGTCGGCCGGATAAACATCCATCTATGGTACTTTTTACTACATCGTGTTGCACGCCGCATGTCCAATTTCATCCAGCACTCCCATCTGTTTCAGCATGGAGCACCCTACGCGACCGCGTGCTAACATTCGCACGCGAAATAGAACTGGACAAGCACCTGCATACGATAACCGCTATTACAATGTCCCCAGCGCAATATCACCATCGCGTCCACCTTCCAGCATTGGAAATGCCCCAAGCATCCCAGCACCTACCGCCAGTCTGGCAGATACATCAATCTATCCGTCAATTCCACCCCGAACGGGATCACCCACCCGCCCTTGGAGTCCCGGTCACGTTCGCCCTCCTTCAGTGTCAAGTGTGGGATATGAGCGCGCCGATATCAATGGTAGCCCACGCCCTGGGACACCCAGTTCAAGATACGGAGGCAGCCCAAGAAGACCTTTGCCTCCGGCTCCCTTGTTCTCTGGTCCGGCCCCGTCTTCCTCGTCGGGTATAGACTCGAGCATCGATATTGGAGACGGAATGGCTGGAGCGGACCCATTTGGCGGAGGTGGCCGAACTATCAACCACACATCTCGTGCCAGTGTTCGATCTTTCATGAGCGAGTCAACAGTGATGGGAGATGAAAAGGATGAGATGGCTAAGGTTGACTTGGAAGAAGACGACGATGACGAGTCCAGCATGATAGACCCGAACCTTCACTATGGACCTGCGCCCGATAAGCAAGGTCGCCGTGGTGTTCGCGAGACTCAGATGGCAAAGAAGGAAGTCCAGCTCATCAACGGAGAGCTGATCCTGGAGTGTAAAATCCCCACCATCCTGCACAGTTTCCTTCCCCGCCGAGATGAGCGCGAGTTTACTCACATGCGGTACACGGCCGTGACCTCCGATCCCGACGAATTTACGTCCCGCGGTTACAAGCTACGCCAGCAGATTGGTAGCACTACCCGTGAGACTGAGTTGTTCATTTGCGTGACAATGTACAACGAAGATGAGATTGGCTTTACCAGAACGATGCACGGTGTCATGCGCAACATTAGCCACTTCTGTTCGCGTACCAAGTCCCGTACGTGGGGCAAGGACGGATGGAAGAAAATTGTGGTCTGTATCATATCCGATGGTCGAAAGAAGGTGCATCCCCGAACTTTGAATGCTCTGGCTGCCCTGGGTGTGTATCAGGAGGGTATTGCGAAGAACATTGTCAACCAAAAGGAGGTGCAAGCCCATGTGTACGAGTACACGACGCAAGTGTCGCTTGACTCGGATCTAAAGTTCAAGGGTGCCGAGAAGGGTATCGTGCCTTGCCAGGTTATCTTCTGTCTCAAGGAGCACAACCAAAAGAAGCTCAACTCACACCGATGGTTCTTCAATGCCTTTGGTCGTGCTCTGCAGCCCAATATCTGTATTCTCCTCGATGTTGGTACGAAGCCCGAACCGACTGCTTTGTACCACCTGTGGAAGGCATTCGATCAGGACTCGAACGTTGCTGGCGCTGCTGGTGAAATTAAGGCTGGTAAAGGTAAGGGCATGCTGGGTCTCTTCAACCCGCTCATTGCCAGTCAGAATTTCGAGTACAAGATGTCCAATATTCTGGACAAGCCTCTCGAATCCGTATTCGGCTACATTACCGTGCTCCCCGGTGCGCTGAGTGCCTACCGCTTCTTCGCCCTACAGAATGACGCCGATGGCCATGGTCCACTCAACCAATACTTCAAGGGCGAGACACTGCACGGCCAGGATGCTGACGTATTCACTGCCAATATGTATCTGGCCGAAGATCGTATTCTCTGCTGGGAGCTTGTTGCTAAGCGAGAAGAGAGATGGGTGCTCAAGTTCGTCAAGAGTGCCGTTGGAGAGACTGACGTGCCTGACACGATACCTGAGTTCATCTCGCAGCGTCGTCGTTGGCTGAACGGTGCTTTCTTCGCGGCTGTGTACTCGATCTTCAATGCTAAGCAGATCTGGAAGACGGATCATTCCCTGGCAAGAAAGATTTTACTGCACATCGAGTTTGTCTATCAAACTCTCAACTTGTTGTTCACCTACTTTGGTCTAGTAAGTTTTATTCTGTCATGGAATTTTCTCATGAATTTGGACTAATCTCCATACAACAGGCGAACTTCTACCTTGCTTTCTACTTCATCGCGGGCTCGCTCACTGATGAGAAGCTTGATCCGTTTGGTCACAACATGGGCAAGTACATCTTTATTGTGCTGCGCTATGCCTGCGTTTTGGTCATGTGTCTGCAATTTATCATCTCGCTGGGTAATCGTCCTCAAGGGTATGTTCAGCACACCTCAGCCAAAAGAATTCTTGCTAACGATACGTTCCAGTGCCAAAAATCTCTATCTCTCCGGAATCATTGTTTACGCTATTATCATGTTCTACACTGTCTTCTGCGCCCTCTACCTCGTTGTTCAGGAGCTCATGGCGCGAGCCGGTGTTGGCAGTTCTGACCTGGACGTCGGCGATTCGCTCCTGCTCAATATTGTCATGTCCATGCTGTCCACCGTCGGTCTGTACTTCTACAGCTCGTTCTTGTACCTTGACCCGTGGCATATGTTTACTTCGTCTGCGCAATACTTCCTGCTTATGCCCAGTTATATCTGCACGTTGCAGGTATACGCCTTTTGTAACACGCACGACGTGACATGGGGAACTAAGGGTGACAACGTGATCAACACAGATCTAGGTGCTGCTAAGGTCATCAACGGGTCTACTGTGGTTGTCGAAATGCCCTCCGAGCAACTGGACATTGATAGCGGGTACGACGCCGCTCTGCGCAACCTCCGTGATCGCCTTGAAGTCCCCGACACCCCTCCCTCCGAGGCTCAGATGCAAGAGGACTATTACCGCGCTGTCCGCACGTACATGGTCTCTATTTGGATGGTTGCTAATGTCATTCTCGGCATGGCCGTCTCTGAGGTCTACGGCGTTGACTCGGGCGGCACGAACATCTATCTCGCCATCATTCTGTGGTCTGTCGCCGTTCTAGCCGCCGTGCGCGCCATCGGTTCAACGGTCTACGCTATCCTGAACCTCGTCCACAAGATCGTCGAAGGAAAGACCAAATTTGATGCCGGTAACATGTCCAACTTTGCACCCAGTTCCTTCGGCGGGAGCAGTGTTGGTGGAAGCAGTTCCGAAGGCAGTAGTTCTTCAAAGCCTATCCGGTACAGTGGTGGACCCAGCTTCAAGGACCGTATTGCCGAGGCTAAATGGACTGCTGGTCGGACTTTGGGCAAGGCTATGTTCTGGCGAAAATAGATGTGCCTTTGTTACTTGTTTTCGCCTTGCTTGTCCCACTAGCATTTGAGGCCTGACTTTCATTTATGGAGTTTTTACGATACGGGATTTTCCTTTTTGTTTCCCCATTTTTGATTTTCTTTTTCTTATGATGGAAATATTTGTTATGATATGGGCCTCGTCACTGGATTTTGATGATTAATGCCCTGCCCCTTTGAAAATTGGGGTGATGTGTCTATGTGAATAATGGAATGTACTTGGGCGCTTGGATTGAATTGATTCTTTTTCTATTAAGGATCGAGTTCTTTATACTTGTAGTATGCTTTTATCGTAGTATTTGCTCCGGATGCTGTGAATAGTGTCTTTACTGGACTTTCGTCCTTGGGTAAAGCGCATACTCAGCTGCATACTCGAAAACTATCAGAATCTAGTAAAAACTTTCATCCTAGTATCAACTATTGAAGTACCTACATTCCTCAAAGAGTACGCGCATCCAACAGCGTCATCGCCTTCGACACCCCTGTTCCCTCTAGACAATTCAAATACTCAAACCTCGCCTCACTACCTTTAAGAACGGACACCTCATGCCACGTCCTAAATTTCCGCTCATCCCCAAACCTCTCCCCATGCTTAATAGCACCAGCCCAGATCGCTAAATGGGACGGATGTCGCGCAGCCCATCCTTCGAGATCGGCCATGTTGTTGAAGAATGCCGTTACACAAGCTTCCTTTGTCTGGTGAACGGTTGACACGGAATTATAGCCGGAATCGTCGGAGAGAGGTTCGATATTATGCAGATATCTTACGCCACTTGAGCGAGTCTCCTCGGGGGCGTTCCATAGATACGATAAACCGGCACACAGTTTTGGCTCCAGGATGTTCAGGTATGCGTTTGCTTCTTCGTCGTTGCAGTTTCCCCAAAACTGCCCTGAGCGGATGTGTACCATGTTATGTGTGTTTGTGCCGGTGAGATGTGTTCCAAGGGACCGTGTCTGAATCGTGGTATTTGACAGACCCTCAGGTAGATCTGACTCACGATTACTGTCAGATGGAGCCTCTTCAAACGAATCCTCTGCTGAGCCGGGGATTCGGTCTCGTGCTGCACCCCAGTACCCGGTATGCACATGGTGTGCAGTCGATGTACCCGGAAGAGGGGCTAGACCTGGTAGATAATCCGTAGCCGAGTAGACTGTCTCAAGTCGTGAGGTATCACTCGCAAAGTGCTCAAGCCATAGCCCGATATGAGTCTTTGAGGGAGTGTCAAGAGCGTGGTAGATCCCTGGTAAATTGAGGGTTTGCAGGCTGGCTTTGTATTTGGTTTCATCGGTCCAGTAGCACACCCATATGAGAGATTTTATCGCAGAGATTGACTTTATTGGTGAATGGCTGCTGGAAATTGCATTTCCGCGAGAAAGTGCATGGGTCGTGCTGTCATCGAGAAGCTGGAACTGCTCCGTTGAGACCGGACTAAATTCAGGATTCGCAAGCCATTTCTGGATTTGTGCCGCAGGCTGTTCCAGTAAGCTCGTACTTTTCTGAATATCATTCATACTTGTGCTGTGAAGCTGGATACCAATGTATGCGGTAAACACTTCTTTCAAATTTTCTGGAAATTTAAGATGCAGCCTCGGCGGCGGATTGTGACCGGGCGGTTGGCGCAAAGGGAGTCTTCGAGTACACATGGCCTCTTGTAGCTGTAGTTTGGAAGATTTTGAGAAGGAAATAATTGAAAATCTGGACTTTCTGGATCAAAGTTCTTCGATTCTGTTCAGTGTATGGAAAGATATCGGTTGTCTGGATGATATTATTGAACGTTGATCGGGAATTGCGGCTAGAGTGGGACATGAGTTTGCCGAGGGAATAGCAAAGCGGGGTGCATTTTGATAAAGTTGAGCCCCAGGATGTTAGATCAGGCTCACTATTAAAACCTCAAATGGGAATTGACTTGCTTGATGTAGATCATTATATCGGTCTATCAGAATTACTATTCTCCATTTTATGGCCGGGAGATGTACGTCTAGAGGACAGTGAGCAAGAGGATGATTTTGCTGGAGTATGTGCAGATTTGAGTATTGTAAGATATCTTGATAAAAAAGGAATCTAGAGAACATGGAAAATACATTCTCGACTGTCATTCCTTCACCTTGAGCAGGCCAAACCCCCTTGCCCCCATCTGGATCTCCTGAACGTTGCCTCAAATACGTGCAACGAACATAACGTCGGAATGCAGGGTGATACAGACCAAGTGCAAAGTACCCAGTCATAGTAGTGAACAAAACCCCAACAAAATGTCCAATATAAAGTCATCGTCTTCCGCATCGATGTCAAATCATTAAAAATAGGGGCTGCAGGATTGTTTGGTTTCGGCAATTCCACCCTTGGGCCAGTTCACTTCGCGGTCGACAAGACCATTGGGAAGAGCCCCAACAAGACTGCCTCGCCGAGACAGAGACTCCATATTGTAAGCGACCAACAACATTCGCATTGGAACGACCAAAAGGGATGAATTGTTTCAGACTGTACCACATTTCTGGCCATTGCTACCTGAGAGGTATCACATCGGGGCCGATATAGCACTCATTGATGCCTATGTTCGAGTACACCAGCCACGGTACTTTCTGTCCCAAATCTCCCCAAATCGGTCCAGAGAATCAAGTCTATACACAAGATACCGAAAAGGATTGACGGATTGAGATTCTCAGCATGAGATGTTTCCAATCGGTTCGGCTGGTGAGAATATTGATTAATTCAGCACTCTGGTGGTCTCGACCTCAACCTGATCTATCTGGACGTGGATATGGACTTGGACGTGTACGACTGGCATCATGGGCCATAACCTGACGTTTTTCCATTTGGCTTGGCTCATCATGAGGTGGTACGAATGGATTCATGGCGCGATATCTCTTGAAGGGAGAAGAGCAACGGTGAAGGGCATTTCTCGGGGAAATTCGCAAATACCCGAAGTAATATGAGGACAGTCCTCATATGGACAGAGATGCACGACTGCCCGTTGATCCCCACGGCAGGGATGGTCAAGCTTATCCGAACGTCATATCATGCCTGAGAAATTGTATAGAGTACGCGTTTGATATAGCGAGATGCCATTCCGGATGATCTTTGTTCGAGTCACGGTCATGCTTTTTCGCTTTGAAAGGAAGAATCATTCTTGATACAGTGGTTTGTCAAAGTAGAAGTTGAGGAACTGGTGATTCTGCCGGGTTTGTCCTGGAAGGGACCATCTCGTGACTCTCTCATTTTGGAAGGGCAAGTTCCAGGTCCATTAAGGCTTCAGCTCTGGTCTCCTCTCCCTCCCTCCTTCCTTCTCTTTTTTTTTATCTCCTTCTCCTCCCCGCTCCTTCTTCTTTTTCCAACTCCCTGCTCCTCAACCTCCGGCCTTTTCAACAATTTCTCTTCCTCAAGCTCTGTGCCTTCCTTCTGGAAGTCAGTCACGGTCTCTCGTCTCTATCCTTCCTCTTGTCCCAGCCCTCCTTCCTCTTCAATTTTTTCTCTTACCTTTCCAATCATCTCCCCCGTGGTCTTTCCTCCCTTTCTACTTCTCCTCCCATCCTACCTCTCGTCTTCCCTCTCACACTTTTCTCGCTCCTTCCCTTGTTCCTTCCCCCCTTCCTCTCCCCTTCCACTCCGTCCCTCTTCCCGTCTTCTCTCATTCGATCACGATGAGTCTACTCTCGCTTCCAAATGAGGTACTCCTCATGATCGCGGACAAGACGCAGTCCCAGAGAGACATGAACAAGATGGCTCGGCTCAATCGATTCTTCTACACTCTCATCAACAAACGCCTTTACGCCTACAATGCCAATCACCGGGGCAGCTCAGCCCTGGCCTGGGCCACATTGAATGGACAGCTCGCAACGTTTCAGCACTTTATCAAGGCTGGCGGGGACATTACGAAGTCTTCCAGCCCCATTACCCATGGCCTTCTCCACCTTGCTGCCGAACACGGAAAACTCGAAGTCGCCCAGTTGTTGATAGATCATGGAGCCAAGATCAACCGCTTCAACAACTCGTTCAAGACCCCACTGCACCTTGCTGCAACATACGGACATACAGCCGTCGTCGACATGCTCCTGAAACATGGAGCCTTGCTGAACGAGAACACCAATCGTTATGTCGACGAAAACCCTCTTCACATTGCCGCGAAATATGGACACACCGAGGTAGTTCGTCTTCTGCTTCAAGCCGGATGCAACGTCCATCGCACCACCTTCAACACCCGGGAGACCGCGTTGCACCTGTCACTGAAGACCGTTCAATATCGCTCGCGTCGCAACAACGCGCGACTCAGCCACAGACGTTCGCAAAAGGGAAAAACGGCAATAGTTCTCATCGAGCACGGAGCGAACATTCACAGTCGACATGCAATGGGCCGTGGCCAAACCCCCCTGCAATTGGCAATAGGCTCGGACTACGTAAAGGTCGTCCAACTCTTGCTCGAAAAAGGCGCATGCCCCTGGGATCGCATCGACCCGTCTCATCCGCCCGGGCCTCCCCGCGGTGTCCCCGGTGCTCGGCTATACGGGCCACGCTTACCCTCGCGCATTGAGAATGCAATGGACCTGGCAGAGAGCCGTGGCAACTTCGAGATCAACCAGCTCATGTTCCGCGCAATGTATCCAAATGCAGCCAGTTGCGCGGAGGCTCAGTCCGTGCCCCAATTCGAGGACTGGGGGAAGGATGAGATCATTTTCGATTCTTTTTGTAAATTGGGAGACGGTAAAAGCCCCAATATGTTCCGTCTCTACTGGGGCCCCGGTGAGGCTCGTGCATTGGGTGGATAGGGGAGGATACCGAGGATGACACTGAGGATGATACCGAGGGGGATTTAATGAGGATTACATATGGTGATAACAATGATAATAATTACATTGGTGACAATAATGAGATATGAGCCTGCATAATTCAAACAGTCCCAGCAGGTTCACAGTAACTTGTTGCTTGATATATCAACAGGGTTCTTGTCCCTTTATTTTCTGCCATTACATGTGGAAAGAGTAAGTATCTTAGACATCGAAGACCAGTCTGAATCATCTGAATAGCTCTATCGTTCCAGAAATGACGCTGTGAGGTGGAAGTCTTGTTGATTTACGTGCTCATCGCGGCCACGGAGCATGTTGAACCTCACCCCGGGGAAATCAAATCAAAAATACTTCGTACAACGGCTATCACCCTCTTGTATATTTTGTATACAGGAGATCAACGCTTTCTGATCGGAGATTGAGGTTATCTGCAATCTTATTTTGATTCAAAGTACGAGCATCCTTGTTGACCTGCTTGTCAGTTCTTGGGAGTGTACAGCCCCTCATTACGGTGGCCGATAGAAGCAAGTTGCTCAAAACTTATTTCAGTAAGATTATCTACCGCCTTGTTAACCGTCTTTACCCTAACACCTTATTTCTAAGGCCTATACAGCCATCCCAATCAGGCAATGTAGGCCAATTCGAAACGACTGCATGAATTAATAGATCTCCCCCCTAGTAATCTCTCTCTGCCAATCTCTCTACACCTATCGCCGGCGTAGGGCCTTCGCCCCTATAAGATAAGACCTCGAATCCCTCTCGATTCACATAAGGAGGAGACTATAGCCCTAGCGCTTAAGGGGAAATCGGTCTAGGTAATTTATGCCTTTCTTAAAGAGACCTGAGGGGTCCCTAGACGGTCTTCTGGACGGTCTTCTGGACGGGTCCTCGTTACCAGGCCTACGCTTGACAGGCGTATAGTAAAAATCAGATCTGCAGTAGTTGGCCTTAGCTAAATATTCTGCCGGTCTTTCTGCCTAATAAAATGGGGTTTGAGCAACTTGCTTCTATTGTCCGCCGTACCCTCATAGACTTCTTGATGGGGCACAACAAACTCCCCATCGCCTTGCCTCCTCAGAAAAAGTCAGTGGGCTTCAAGACCACGATATCATGATCCCGGAACTGTGATTAACTGATGCAATATTGTATCGGAACATTGTCTACAGCTCATACTTCCCTTGGGCGTTCCTGACCACTGATATCGCCGTGATCACGTGTAGTCAGCCACGACGCGACCTTATTGATTCGCTTATTCTTACGCGATTCGAATACGAGGCTAATTAGCTTGCGCGACAGACTGCTTCGGCAGCTTTCTGCCTCGGTTTTCGACCATCATGGCCCCTGATCGACAATCGTCAGGACGCTAATTTAGGGAGAGGATTTCCTGACACGAACACCAAAGTCATGGACAATGGAACCTCGGCAACCGACATCATCACCTATATTGGCGTTCCCCTTGCAGTGCTCGGCGTGCTGCCTATTATATACACGTCTTTTCGAGCTCTCTGGACGCAGCGATCGATCCGGTCAACTTTGAAACGGCATGGACTGCTAGAATCCGCGCTTACACGCGTCAGTCTGATTGGGGGTCTCGTCGAGGTGGAACTACCACGATGCACCGTCACCGCGCTCGATCGCGAGGCTGATGCCGATTACTGGAAATTGAATGCCCTTCACTTACCGTTGAAAGGTGGTAGCTGGTCGCTCTTTCACTGGAACCGCTTGGTCACAGGGAGGGTGCTTTACCGCTGTCAGTTCAAAGACGAATTGACAATTCCCCAGGCGGACGTTGACTTCGAAGACCTGGTTGCGTTCCTGCTCGATCGTGGGGCTGTTCCGGATGCCCATGGATGGCATATACTGAGGACAGTCGGGCTCTGGGCACCGCCCGGCACTGTTGTGTTGCGCCCGCCACAAGGCATGTCTGGTGCGGTCCTTACCGTTGCACCTCCGGATGACTCTGATGGTGTGTTGAGTTTGCAAGTCAATTGGAAACCGCAATGGGACTTGAGGAGCTCGGATAGTTTGCCTCCTTTCTGGATGAGACTCGAACAGCCGAGGCTCGCCAAGATTCGCAATGATGGGGAGAATAGTTCTGCATCGGTACATGAAGGAAAGGATATCGTCAGGCCGGAAACGGCGCAGGAGAAGCCGTTGAGTCGCCAAAATACGCTCGTTGCTGATTCGGTTGCAGAGCCTAGCTCTCTAAAGCCGGAGTCGCTTCTTGCCAAAATCGAGCGATTGAAAGCTCTTACTACGAAGGCTGACACTGACAGCGTTCGATTCAAGATTGAGCACGAGCATGTCAAGCGGGTCATCTTTGAGAGCAACGGTGGCTCTACTGGTGAACAGCGAGACCTCTCACGTCTCGGGGATACCTTTGATCTTTGGTTTGCCTGTGTTGCATCCGCGTTGAGCCAAGATGGATACTCCGGGATTTGGAATTTTGCCATACCGAGCCACATTACCAAGTTTGCCCGGCAGAAGTCGGTTCCCTGCGGCGTAATGGTTGTGCTTGGCCATATGGGTGAAGAAAACGTTCCACCATGGGCATCACCGCCGCCAGCGCCAGGCGAATCCCAGTCTGAGATTCAACAGCGACTACAAGAAGATACATTAGCTCGACGAATGGAAAGTACCATGTCACCAGCGCAAGCTGCAGAAGCAAGACAGGTTAGACTACTACGCGAGTCACAGCGCTTTCACCACAGCCACATCAAGAGAATGCATGCGCTGGAGGAGTATCAGCAACGACGTCTAGTCGAAGCTATCCAATCGCCACGGCTCGACAATCTGGTCATCGCACAGGCCAATCTCACCTATCTTGTTGGTCAGGGTGTCGTGCCTAGCGATTGTACTCTTGATGATTTGGCACAGGCTGTGCTGTATCTTATGATACTTGACGAAGGCCAAGCGAGGCTGATTGCGGATATTCTTGAGAGATGGATGTTATGGTGTCAATTTGGAGGGATGCAAGAGGTTCAGCTCACGTTGCTGATGGAGAACAAGATTGCTTTTTGTTATGCCTCCGTACTGGTCGCTGTCGTGCAGCGAGCGAATTCGGGGGATGGAAATTTGTCTTCTGATATGCTTGACTGTATGAGATCGTGGAGAAGAGTGAGGCTGGGTTGATGCTATGTCTCCCATGGTTTCTAGCTAATCGATACGAAGAGAAGCGATGTACATGTCCAGCTTGCACTATTCGTTAAATTTGTGTCTACCTCTCTAGCAATGGCGGTAGGGGGAAAAGGCCGTCCATAATTCATTGTTGAGTCTCTCATGAAGAGGAGTCACTTCAATCCATCACATGCCTGTCTATCTTTGAAACCCTGAATCTACCGCTAAAGGCAGATTCCTGCGGCAAATTCCCACAAGTCTGCTTCCTGCCTCCCGTTGCTTTCTCTCCGTCCTTCTCTTTTCTCCTTCTCTCTCCTTCTCTCTTTTCTGCTTTCTCTCTTCTTCTCTCTCCATATCCTTCTTTCAACATTCCTGACCAGATTTATTCTCTTCCTCTCCTTGTCCTCTCGGAATTGAAGACAGGATCGGATAACCAAACCGTCGTCTTGGACCCTTCTCAGAATCCCTCACCCGACCTTCCCTATCAATTGCCCAGCCTTAGCCGGATCATGGGCTTCCAAAGTCTACCCAATGAGTTGCTCTTCATCATCTCTCGACTACTTAACCAGCCCGACCTCAATGCCCTCATTCAAACTTGCCGGCTGTTTCACACGGTTCTCAACACCACTCTGTATGTCAACAACGTCAAGCACAACCGTAGCTCGGCTTTGTTCTGGGCAGCATCAACAGGAAACATCGGAACGATCCAACGCATCATTTCTCACGGGGGTAATGTGCGAACCAAAGCTGAGGGGCCATTTATGAAGCAACGAAGTCTTAATGTCTTGAGGCAATGGAACGGACAATCCAGGATGAGCCCCCGGACAACACGCCAGACCAAACGTGCAATGAACTTCTCAACCTGTGGTGAAACCCCTTTACATCGGGCGGCGGAGGAAGGTCAAGAAGCAGCGGTGATGTGCCTACTCGACCACGGAAGTGATATGATGACCATCGATACGTACGGATACTTTCCCATTCAGCTCGCAGCACACAGAGGCCACGAATCCATCGTCAACATTTTCCTGGAGAAAGGCTTCGACCCAAACACGCTCGGCTGGTCAAACCCTGACGCATCAGTCCTACACAGTGCAGTATGCGGCGGCCATGCTAATGTAGTCAAACTGTTACTCGAGCACGGTGCGCAAGCCGGCCTGAAAAAGAGCTCTAGCCCCCTACATCCTTCTCCCCTCGATATGGCGCTCTCGGTCAGTATCTGGCAGCAAAACCTCAAATTGACAAATTTGGACTCTTCGCTCGGCTTGGAAAAAATACTGAAAGGGCAAGAGGACTGCGCAATGCTGCTCATCGAGCACGCAACACAACTCGACACGCTGGAGGAGAACAGATATATGGCTTGTGCGGCCCGGCGGAATTATGTCAGGGTCGTCAAGGCACTTTTGGAACTTGGCATTGACCCAAACCTGCCTGTGCAGGGGAAAACTGCACTGGGATATGCAAAGAATCTCGGGTGCGAGGAGTTGATTGATCTCCTGGAACCGCTTGCCAGTCCCAATGGCAAGTCAAAGCGCAAGAAACGCAAGACTGAGGCTTGAAAACACAACGCTTGCACGTTCGATCCACTTGAGAGCCTGGGGTATCCATGCCTTGTCCTGTGCAGGGGAATGAGCGTCGGCCGAGGGAAGAAGGGGTACATCACTGCTAGACAAGCGAAAGTCGAAATTAACCAATTTTCCATCTACTTCCACTTGAGTAAAACCCCTTCTACCTAAGGAGTACAAGCTGGAAATAAGAAGCAGTCCATGAATTTTATTCAATCAATGTACACTTAGAACTATCCTGGTGAACAGAACGTGGTAAACCAGCCAGTAGAATGCTAGGAATCGTTTCGGAACAAGGTAATTTAGAGTTCTAGTATAGAAAAATGGTAAAGACATTCGTAAACACGAGTTGCCAACTTGAGAATTGCTGACTATGAGAAGATACTAGGCAATCACTACCTCACGGCCAATTACCCTCAAAGCTTAGAGTTCCTCACATCACCCTTTATAATCTCCTCAACAATCTTAGCAGCAGCCAGAGTCTCCTCATCCTTGAAATGCCTGCCTGCAATCTGCAACCCAATCGGCGCACTCTCATACCTCTGCGGACTCTGGTACTTATTCCACTCCCTTTCATCAATCTCGTTCCGCGGAACATACTTCTTATCCTGTGCGGTCAGTGCATCCAAGCTGGGGTCCACGGTAATCCCAGACGGGAAAACGGCAGCGGGCATATCAGTCAGGTTCCAGATCGCAGTGTAGTTCCAGTAATGGGATTCGCCCATGACGGCGGCAGCAGCAGGATTGGCGGGAGAGAGAATGAAGTCCACGCCGCGGCGCTTGAGCAGAGCTTGATACTCGTCACGGTATAAGTCACGCTCGTGTTGGAGGACCCAGGCTTCGGGGTGAGTAAGTGGTGTCGGGCGGCTGTAAGAGAAAGCCCATTCGGTCAGTGGGCGGGCAGGCTCGCCTGATTCTTGGAGCATTTGGCGTTGCAGAGCGGCGGCATCGGGGTAGTAAAGAGAGGACTAGAAGCGGGTCTCAACATAAGATTCAGTTGAACGAGGTCCGCAGGACTCACGATGATCTCCCAGCCACGCTGGTGCTGATACGGTTCCCAGTCAACCACCTTGATCCCGGCCGCAAGGAGCTTTTCCTTTGCCATTCGCAACGCCCGAGTAATGGGTGGATGGGGACGAACACATCTAGTTTGGAAGATGAGTATGACACACCCGGCTATGGCTGATTCTTGACTCACCCATCGTCCCACATAATAGCAACGGTCATATCCCGCGTCGGAGTCACGGTCTTCCAGGGCACAGGCACCAGGGATGTCTCATCATCCCAGGGGTCCTGATCCAGCACTGCCTTCTGGAACAACTCCAGGTCCTCGATTGAACTGCTACCCATAGGACCCACGACACCGAGAATGGTCTCCTGTCCGACGCAGGCAACTTCAATGCCAGCCATGGGGTTGCGCATTGCGGTAGGACGGAAGCCATAGCCACCGCAGAAAGCGGCAGGGCAGCGAATCGAACCACCAATGTCAGTGCCAATACCGAGGGGTGCGCATTTGAAGCCCACCGAAGCTCCTTCACCACCTGAAGAACCACCGGGTGTCAATGTTCGGTTGTGTGGGTTGAGAGTTGTACCTGTGATGTTGTTGCTGCAGCAAAGGTGCTGGGCCGGGTTAGCCAATAATTACCAAGCTGTGTGAACGGTTTCTTCAATGCCTACCATTAGTGACTGGGGTTGGTTCGTTCGAACATGAAAGACGGCACCTGCATTCGCTAATAGTCGTAGCAAGTGTGCATCTTCAGTAGGTACATTGTCAATCCTAGGGATTTGATTAGCAATAGGCTCTCGAGAATGGATTGGGTCTCAACCAACCAAGCCACATATCCGGTATTGCACGTCTTATTCTTAAACCCGATATGCTCCTTAACACTGATCGGGACACCGTGCTGTTTATAAAAACTTGTCAATCAAAGGCTAGTATCTGGCCATGGAAGAGGTTTCCACTAACCAAGGGTCCAACCAATTCCCCCGTTCGTTTATAGTGTTGATCAAGCTCTCGAGCCCGAGCAATTGCCTCGTCGGCTAGGAATTCCGTTGCGAAATTCAACTGCATAGAAAAATCCAGTGAGCTTTTCCTACTTTCGTATCTAAAACCAATTTTGCGATGCTCATACCAGCTGCTGCCCGATAACGGATCGCTTGATGAAAGCAATAACAACCTCCTCGGCCGTCAACTGCCCTTTCCCCATCTCCCTAACGAGCTCTGTTGCAGAAAGTTCAGTGATCATTAATTCACGCTCACTCAGGAGCCCAGACTGTCTCGGAAAATCGATCACATTCTTTTGTGTAACCGATGGAAGTTGAGATTCTGGCAACAGCCATTGTTTGGGAATCGACTGGTCGAGAATATCTCTTCCCTTCTGCGCTTTAAGTTCCCAGCTATTTAAGGACATCTTAATAAGGAGATTTGTGGTGCTATGTTGTATTCTGGTATGGTATAGGAAAAGTGAAGGAGGGGAGGAGCCAAGTGATATTGCCGTTACCCCTCTTCATTTTTAACCCCTGCGCACTGCTTTGTACGACATTGTTCTCGGAATCGGAAGCTGTTGATAAGCGCTGCTCGGGTGGACATGCTCGAGTCTGAAAAGTGGGCCTGAGCTGCAACAGCAGTTGGTTCACCGTATCATTGGTGCCGTCTCCAGAGGGGAAGCGATCTGTAGCGGACGAAATTCCGCTGCTTGGTGTCTAGCCGATTGACTATGCAGGAGTTGTTTGGGGTATTTGACCAATAAGAGAGAGATGGTAGTTTTGATTCAATGGAACGGAGTAACTTATCTAGATGATGATCATGGAAGCTATGTACAAAGGCAGCCTCTGAACATCCAATCACTACCGTACATATTTGATCGTTGGCCTACCAGAATAGCACCGTTTGCATTCTATTGAAGTGGTTAAACAACGAATAGCAAGCGTCTAAAGACGGGAAGCCGTGTGTGCCAGAAGCAAAAAAGAAACTCTCCCTCGGGGAATCGAACCCCGGTCTCCCGCGCTTATCGGTGTTAATGACAAGCGGAAATCATGACCACTAGACCAAGGAAGATAAGATGACCGAGTTACTGCTCGACCACTTGGTGCTGGTTGATGTTTGGAATGCAAATTATTGCTCTATGTTCACCCACAGCAGGTCAGGGCTTCACAGAGGGCTCCGCACACGATCTGGCACTGCCGGCCCTTCTCGCCAGAGGTTAGGGACGTTTCGTCAACCTCGCACAAGATTTCCGGTTGCAGGGTAGCAGAATGAATACCATATGCGTGGAAACATTCGTTGATAGTCTTGGCTGTTTTCAAGAAAGTAGATACTGAGGGGTCAGACACCACAATGTGGACGGATGCAATGGTTTTGCGCTGGTTGAGACGCCAGATGTGTAGTTCATGAATCGAGTGCACGCCAGGGACCTAGCGACCATGAGAATTTTGACAATTATGAAGCGGTCGGACGTTTCTCACCTTCTCGAGATCATGTTCCACATCATCCAGATTTACACCATTGGGGGCGCTTTCCAGTAATATGAGACCCGTGGTCCGTACTATGTAAGGGTCAGTTGGAAATATACATCATGACACTAATGTATTTATTTTCAACGCAGCAACTTACCCAAGGGGATAGATGAAATTATGATCATGATTGCGATCCCCATACTCACGCCAGGATCTGCATAGTAGCGACCATCATATTTTGCCAACCAGATAACCAACGCGGCGGCAATGACCCCAAGGTTGTTGGCGGCGTCGCACAGGACATGCAAAAGGACACCCGCCATTCCCAGATCGCCATGGTCGTGCACATGGCCATGGCCATGGCCATGTCCATGATCATGACAGTGCACGGATACTCCGTTCTCAAAACGTGGATGTTTATGATCGAGATGCTAGATTTTGTCAATAAGCTATGGAACTAGTATTCAAAATCATCAAGTACCTTCAATAGAGAATCTTCGTCACAGTCGCTTGTGGGCGTCAGGCCATCTTCAAGTATTGGCGGGGAGATATGGTCATATCCATGCTCTGGGTTATCTCCATTCAGTTTACCGAACCAGAAATACAATGTCGGATACATACCGTGGAGAAATAGCGCGCTGATGATATTCAGACCCAAGCCAATGCACCCCACAGTGAAGACCATCTTCGGGTTCTCAATACCTGGATCTTAGTTAACAATGTATTTCGATCGAGCCAAGATAGATCAAAACTCACGCTGCAACGAGATGAAGCGTTCGATGGACTGTAGAAAAATACTGAGGCCCAATGCAAATAGAAGAACCCCATTGAAGAAAGCACCAAGCAATTGCGCCCTTTGCCACCCAAAGGAGAGATCTCGGGGAGAGTCACCCTTTTCTGAAACCTGGAGATCGAACGCAGTCAGTATTCGCGCCAATCAAGCGTGTATCGAAGGCACCAACGTTCAATGCCACCAGGGCGATTACGAATCCCACTAGATCGTTCAACTTGAACGTCAATTAGAACCGGATATCATCAATCAGCAGTCAACGGACACATACGTAGTGAAAAGCATCAGCTATCAAGGCGAGAGAATGGGTATAAAATCCCACTATATCCGTTAGCATACCAGGGTCTCCAAGAGCAAGTACCCTGATCCCTACCTGAGATCTCGCCGAGGAAGAAACATGTTGAAATGCCAATAACAACCTTTAGGCGCGCTGAGCGGGAGAGGCGAAAAGGCATGATTCAAGGCCAAACTTCTCGACCCTGCTAAACGGGTCAAGGTCACCGAAGTCAGAACCTTCTGCGAGAATACCAGCAGAGTCCACCAGCTTGAGAGATGTAAGTAAGGTGTCAAAATCACTTTCCAAGAGATTTGGCAGAGGAACACGTGAAGGTGAAGATACAATCAAGAGGTTGCCAATAGAAATCGGCGGACAATATCTGTCAAACAGTCAACCGACTTTGTTTTACCTTGGCAATTGGTTGACATAACAATGGCCTCTCTGATTTGGTTGTGATCACCGTGTAAGTCATGTAAAGTAGAGTGGCTGATGGCTTCCCGGCCTCGTTGTGGCATGCAAGGATGCGGTATGCCGATGCCCGTATCCGCACTTTCTTTGTTGAATTATTACTTGAGAAAGGCCTGAACGAAGGCCAACGAATCTCCTTTGTTTTCCACGTCCCGTAATTCCTGCTTTGCTCTCTTTGATGGTCCAAAAGGTCAATGGCTGTGATCGTACGGCGCCCAACTACAGTATTTTGACTATGGTAAATACCCTGAAAAGAAGAAGCCCAGAAAAGGAGTAGCCCCAGCGGGCGATCATTTCCAAAGGGCGAAACTTCCCCAGCCCTACGTTGACGTGTGGACTCTGCAAGGTTAGAAGCCGGGCTGCAGCAAATTCTGGACCGTGAAGAATGCAAGCATCCTCCCAAGGTCCCCAAAACCCAAACGGACAAGATGACAGCAGCCATGAATGCAAGATTCCACGACCAGGAAATAAAGTACGACGGTATGTCCAGCATAATTTGTTGAGAAATTATAAAATTTCAATTTCAAATTTAATATTCGTCACATCATCTGCTAATTGCTAATATTAACCCAGTTGCAAGATATTTGAATTTCGAACACCACCAACGCGCATTCGTATACATTTCTCGTATCCCAGTAATTGCGATAATTTTAAGCCGCAATTTGGTCGGACAGTCCATCCAGCTCGCGCTGCCAGTTACGATGACGCGAGATATGCCAAATGAACTTCTCCGCCAACCGCTTCGAATCAGGTCCAACGTTGTCAACCTTCAGCGTCGACGGCGCATCACCATATCCAGTCACAACACCATAAGACTCCGCAGAGGAAGTACCAGGTGATGCAACCTCAACCTCATCCAGACCAATTTGCTTCTGAATGAATGGCACAGCCTCATTGAGGCCCGCAATGGGCTTGAGATGGGCAAAGGACTCGGTCACCCAGAACTTGGCCACGCCGTTCTTCGCTAGACCCTCTGCAACGTGCTTGCCACCGGGAATAAAAGTGGCGTCAAACAGTGTCGACCGCATGCCAGTGAAGAAGTGGTCAGGCACGACCGTCTGGCCAGACTCGGAGGTGACACCCTTGCGCTGTGCGCCAATCGTGAAGACGAAGGCGCCGCGCTCAGAAAGGGCGTCTTTCATGGTGACGTAGGCATTGTAGTCGAAGCCGTCAGCGAGAAGGATTGCGATGCGGCGAGTATCGATTATAGGTTTCTCGGGAAGGTACTCAAGTTGACTGAGACCCTTGGCCGTCTTGCCGTGGTTGGACCGTGGAGGCTTGGACGGCAGTTCGCCGCCGACGTTTGTCGCCACCATTTCTGCGAGCTCGCTGCTGACGGCGGCGATACGCTCGGTCATACGCTTGTACACGATGGGATCATCGCAGTGGTCCAGCTCGAAGGAGAATGCCTTGGCCACGTGCAGCTTTTCAATCTTGGACAGGGAGTTGTAGAAGGTTTGCGCTTGGTTGTAGTGCTCCTTGAACTTCTCCGAAAGAGCGCGTGCCTTGATTCCCTGCAGTTTCGCAGGGTAGCTCTGGAAACCTCCCTGGGATGCGTCGGCAGGTGGGTTTGCATGGAAGCGGTTGGGCCAGTAGTTCACCGTGCCCTTGGTGATGCGATGCTTCATCGCGCCATCGCGGTTGACCAGATTCATGTACGGACAGACCGGGCGGTTGATGGGCAATTCCTCCCAGTTTGGACCCAGACGAGAAATCTGCGTATCAAAGTAGGAAAAGTTGCGGCCCTGCAGTAGCGGGTCATCCGAGAAATCAATGCCAGGCACGATGTGACTTGTGCAGAAGGCGGCCTGCTCGGTCTGGGGATGGAACTCGTCAATGTTCCGGTTAAGCTCCAGCTGGCCGATGTATCGAATAGGCACGAGCTCCTCAGGCCAGACCTTGGTCGCATCCAATGGATCGAATTCAAAGTCGTCGAGCTTCTCCTCGGGAATAAGCTGCAGACCAAACTTCCATCGTGGGAAGTGGCCAGCGTCAATTGCATCCATGAGATCTTTGCGATGGAAATCCGGGTCCTGACCAGCGATCTTCAAGGCCTCATCCCAGACCAGTGAGTGCACACCCAACTCGGGAGTGAAGTGGAACTTGACGAGATGACGCTTGCCCTCCTTGTTGACAAGAGAATAAGTGTTCACACCGAAGCCCTGCATCATCCGGTATGACCTCGGAATAGCCCGGTCAGACATTTGCTATACAGGATGGGTTAGCATTCATTATTGTCGTCTAAACCTAGTAAACAATCAAAAACAACGTACCCAGTAGTTCATATGCGTCGTCTCCGAGTGCATATACACAAAGTCCCAAAAGTTATTATGCGCACTCTGGCCCTGCGGCACTTCATTATGTGGCTCAGGCTTGACCGAGTGAATAATATCCGGGAACTTGATAGCGTCCTGGATGAAGAAAACGGGAATGTTATTGCCAACAATATCCCAATTTCCCTCAGCAGTGTACATCTTGATTGCAAAACCGCGCACATCGCGAACCGTGTCTGCGCTACCCTTGCTTCCCTGAACAGTTGAGAAGCGCAGGAACAGCGGCGTCTCGCGAGATGTATCGGTCAAGACGCCGGCGGTCGTGACGTCCTCTGCGCTTTCGAAAAGTTTGAATGTGCCAAAGGCACCGGTGCCTCGGGCATGAACTACTCGCTCGGGGATACGTTCATGATCAAAGCGCATAATCTGGAGGGTGAGGGTTAGCACCTACTTCAACCTGGTTGATCGCAGGGGGGAGTACGGACCTTCTCACGGGCAATCTGATCCTCTAGGAGAGAGGGCCCGGTGTTTTTCTCATTAACCACACGCAACCAGTGGTCTGGATCGGAGATTTTAATGCCATAGTCGGTAGTCATATGTTGCTTGTCATTCAGCTCGACAGTATCTCTCTGCATATCAGCGGCCTTGCCATCCGCAGACTTGGCATTTTTCATTGCCGTTGTAGATGCCATTGTGCCGTTTTGCTTCTCGGAAAAAGAAGTCAGGTAAAGTGCCACAAAAAATTTATGAGTTCCAGCCCAAAAAGAAAGGAATCGACCTTACACCACCTATTATATGGATACCACTGCTTCTAGCCAAGGATGACACTAATACCGCAGTGATGTAATTCCCACATCAGAGCCGGACATCCAATGATATTACCAAGAAAAGCAACCAATTGCTCCATAATTTGATTATCCAAGCTTCCCATTCTAGATCTCTTCCCCAGCAGCTCGTACTAATTAAGTGGAGTGGGTTCAAAAACTGGAAAGTTTAGAAAAAAAGCAGCCTATTCTAATGTTCCGACCAACCACAAGCAACGCTATGAAAATCATGAGCGAACGATGTCCTCACCCCTCTAGGCAATACAGAGCTCAAAAACCTGCCTGCCCTAGCTTGCTCAAGAGAGCATTGCGAATCTCTATGCGCTGATTCGTGGATCCAATTCCATCGTACCTATAAGCATTGCAGCTCACCTCTAACAATTCTCGCCTTCCCGCATACCCGGGGGATCCGTCAGACAAAAAAGCGAGATACCGTGACAGAGGGCCCTGTTTTCATGGGTTTGGTTCCGTCGATCATTGGTGCTAGTTGAAGAAGAATGGATACCTCAACTTAAGCTAGCAGTGCGCGTTTTGTTCTACATTCAGGGAGGATGGGGACATTGTGGACCACCTTCCGATCGCAGTGTTGATGACGTTTGGCCACTGCGAGACTGGATGAACCTTGATCATCAACATGATTCGTGTTGAACATATTACTAATATTGTCAAAAAGATTAGGTGTTGCGAATGGAAGCGGCTGTAAATTTTAGAGCTTGATTTCATTGTGACGTCACTCGATAGGGGACCTTATCGCAACGGTGTTTTATCTATCCGGAGTCTAAGATTAGGGTACACGGCAGGCACGATTAAACCTGAATAATGGAGTCTATAAGATTGGGTCGAATTGATGGATATCCAGAAGACCTGGACCGTAGTTCTATCCGCGAGAGCGCTTGCGAATACTGTCAACCAATATCGGTAGGATCATGGCTAAAATCGGGATTATTCTGGTCACTCATATATCAACTTCGAAGAAGATGATTGAATATTGATGATGGTCGTCCCTTCGAGAAATGAGAATGATAGGCACATAGCTTGAATAGATGTGATTCTTCTTGCAAACTCAATCATCATATTCATATATCCATTTGAACGGATTGCAGATTCTCCAAAAACAGAAAATAATGTTTCTCGATTCCTCCTCTTAAAAAAGCATACTTGGCTCATATCGAAGTCATCAGGAAGCTCACTGCGTTGTAGACGGTGTCTGTGCATCGAGTGATCGGACAAAACGGGCTCTCATGTATGGGGACCAGGTAATTCTTTCTTGACAATATTCCGTTCAGTAGTAGACCACAAAACGATGTAGATCTTACTAACATTAGTATACTTTGCAATCCTCTTAGCACTCGCTAATAATCATAACTTTTTTCTGGTTGCTGCTGATTCACGGAGAAGCAACATCAAAGATGTCCCACACGTTCGTCGCATCGAGAGTTCTGGCTTCGATGCGGGATTTGGCTATGGGGCCCGGGGTTTGATTCTCAAATTGCAACGTAGCGGTAGATTGCAGATCCGCTGCATCGGGATGCTCCTCCATCTTGTGTACTGAAACGGTGATGTGTTGACTCTTTCTTCATCAGCGATATCAGAACTCTTTCCAGGGTCAAACGGTGAGTAACTTTCCACCAGGTCTTTCGTGTCACTCAAGATTTTGTCCCACTAAGGGATTTGGAGCTTGAAGCACCCTGTCGGGGCTTTTTGGGTCATCGCCCGGATATCCGGATTGTAGAACGGTGGGTACCCAATAAGCAATCCGTATAGGACGCATCCAGTCAGTTTGATGCTGACCGATGGCCCACGCTCAACTCGAGGTAGAGGTACCTGACAGCCTTAGCTACCTGGGTTACTACGTGTCTGCTCGTTTCTTCATGCGGCACCCCAGCAGTATTCCATCTACGTATCATGTTTCCTCCTAGCTACAATTTACGCTTCAGTCATCATGTACGTATCTGACTATATCGAGTATAACTAACCGCCAATCAGGCTTTGTGCTTTAAAAGAGTCTAGATCATCAACATCACCCGAGCCCAGTTTCCGACCCGCTACACGTCAATCAGCTTATGGAACTTGAACAATGGTGACCATTTATCCCATTATCCTGCGCCTTTGCTTTAACCCTTGCCGATCTCATCACGACTTTCCCCAGCTGAGCGTAAGTAGGGATCAACAGGCAGAACTAGGATATGCATTCTATAGATAGTACTATCGCGTAGCTCACTGTAGAGCATTTGATGACCCATAGTTGAGACATCAATGCAACCTACTCCAACTTCAAAATGTAAATACCCATTCAGAGGGACCTTCACCAGGAACCTTTCTATAAAAATAACCCTTCTCTTCTGAAAAGTATAAAAAATATGTATCTACACAGGACATGAAGCCTCCGCCCCACGATGATAAGAGGCAAACTCCACTAAACCTTCTCCCAACGGAAGGTACACCCAAACATTCCCACCACCAAGCAACCCTACATATTATCCTCACTCCAATGGCTCCTAGTCTTCAACCAAGCTTCCCTCTCCTGCTGCCCCTCAACATCACTCTTTCCAACCGCCAACCCCCTCTCAACCCACTCCCGACTCCCCATCTCCGACAGTCTCGACAACGCCCGCGCAAACGCGAACCGCTCCTCGTCGCCGCTGAAGATCGACGTGTTTTTCAACGCTTGCACGGACATGCCCAGGTCGTCCATGAGGTTACGCATGGCGTCGGAGAGATCGGAGTGGTCGCCTTCGCCTTTGAGGGAGTCTCTAACGTCGGATTGGGAGAGGAAGAGGTTTGTTAGGGGGACTTCGGTTGTGAGGACTAGTTTTGCCTGTACAGAAGAGGTTAGGGAATGTGAGAAAATTGGGGAGTGTATGGAGGGGGTAAAATGACGGACCCTGCTTTCGTAGACGGCGTCGATGAAGGTGATGAAGCGCCTTGCCAGATCGCGCTGGTTCAGATTCATCCCCGGCACGTCGGTAACGATGAACGCATCGTAATGTCGGACTAGCTCGAGGTAATCTGCTGCGCCGGTGGCCGTTCCGATCAATTGGTCAAATGTGAATAGCGCTGCCTTGCCGCTGGCCTTTGGGACCCGGATCTTGCGGCCCCAGACAACTTGGGTATCCTCATGGGGCGGGTCATTGATCGGATCGCCCAGGAAATCGAACCACTTGCGGGCATGCTGTTCGGCGTCTGCGCCCAACGGGTGGTGGTAGACCGCAGCTGGAGGACGGGGGATCTTCCGATAGTCGGTTGGAGAATTGAGGTTGATAACGTTCAGAGCGGTTTTGAGAAGTGTGATGCAAGGAATGAAGGATTCACGCTGGATGCCATTTTTGTATAGATCGTCCGGGTGACGGTTGGACGTCGTGACGAGAACGACGCCGTGGGATTGGAGGAATTGGAGTAGTCTGGTTGACGATATCAGTATCGGCCAGAGGGCCATCAGACCGGAGAAAACTCACCTGCGCAGAATCATTGCATCCGCAACATCCGTACACTGAAACTCGTCAAAGCACAAGACACTCGCCGTCTCCGCTATATCGGCCGCAACGAGCGGCAACGCATCAAAGTCATTGCCAAACTTCATCTTCACCACATGCATGCGCTTATGTACATCTTGCATGAAATTATGGAAATGAATACGAGTCTTGGTCTTGATATTCGGCGGCAACGTATCGTAGAACAAGTCCATCAGCATGGTCTTGCCGCAGCCCACATCACCATACATATACAGACCCTTGGGCAGACCCTCGGGCGCCGTAGAAGCGGCAGGCTTGTTGGCGCCGGAGCCGAATAACGAGCCGAAGAAGGACTTTTTGGGTTGTGGATCTAGTGATTCGACGCTGGGGTGAATGACGGCGGGTGCATTGTAGTGTTTTAGGGCTTCGAAGAGATCTTGGAGGTTCTGAATGATTCCTGCGTTGAGAGTCTGTATTAGTCTTGACCTAGACTGGGTGGCTCCAATGCTTTTGTCTCTAATTTACCTCGCTGATATGGATCATCTCGTAGTCGACCCTCCTCCACTCGCACATCGTACTCTCTCATCGGTCCATCCAGCGGTGGACCTGACGGTTTCGTCTCCGAGACAGCCTCTTCCTGCAAAACCCCCTCAGCGGTGGTAGCCAGACCCCGCTTCTGCAGAACCGTGTTCACCGGCACCGCGATCAAATTCGCAGGCATGGACGATTTCAACTCAGTTCTTCTAGGCAGCCTCGTCAGAGTCGAGTATGCCATCGGTCGCATACCGAGAGAATTCTCCGTGACGTTTCGGGTCAACGGCGCAACCCGCGCGCCATGAGTTCGCCGCACCGCGCATGGCACGCAGTCGGCGCAGAGCTTCGCTGGAGGTCGTCTCATTTGTACAGACGTTGTGTATATACAGTTGGAGTGGGGAGGATGGGCATGGAGTGTCGGGCAGGCGTTGAGGAACGGCGGGCGAAAGTCGTAGCCGAGGTATCGCCGCAGGAATTGTTTTCTTCCGGAGAAGCGGCGCGAAGTGTAGGAAGTACGGAGTACAGAGAGCGGATAGACAGCAGGGTCTCGATGGGCGACAGGTAGATCGACCGTGCCTTAATACCCGAAGGAGCGAAGAAGAATGCTGGCACAAAAGTTTAAAAGATATCTACAAACGATTCGAAAAAGAAACCAAGGCTAAACTCGAGGAGCCGGCTATTGATCTAGCTCCCGATGAGTGGCGGTTCCTGAGGCAAGAGTGCGACCCGGCCGACATGCCGAGTCACGTGATCTACATCTCCCACAGACAGTTCACCAAATACAAGGACTGATCTTCACTAGTTATACAATTGATGATATTGGTATAACAATGACTGCTAGAAGATATATCAGTCGGGAAACCTTCACTGTATATGCACAAGAAGGAGCATATGTACAAGTCACTGGAGCAGACAAAAGAAAAAAAAGCGCACCCAGGGGTATGTCACCCACAACACGGAGGACGTCAAAGAGGAAACAAGAAAAATGAAATGGAAATCGGTAGCTCAGATGTGAGCAGTACATGGTGATAATCAGAAGCCTGATAGAAATTCAAACCAGGGGAGAGTAAAGATAAAAAGAGAACAGCGGGGATTGGGCATAGGTAATGATGAGAGAATTGCAAATATCAGAATAAAAAAGACATGCCAAACATCACACATCATACTCATAACATCGCGATGATCATCCTCCCCTGCAGAAGAAAACAGAAAACGAAGCTCATCGCTGGAAAAAGACAGGAGGGAGGACTCGGGGCGAGAGCCCTCCCGAAAGAAGAGATGCCGAAACGCCGATGCACCCAGGAACATGGAGAAAAGATACGGAAGGGAGAGGAAGAAAAAGGTCTATCACAATGATCAAACAGAGAATAGCAGAAAGTTTGAAAGAGTCGAAAAGAAGCACGTAGGGAGAGGATCAACCCGTTTATGCAATATTGACAAACAACGTCAACTTGGTGTTGCGTTGCATCGCGCCCTCCAGATCCTGATCTGATAGCAGATCGACATAAGTGCCAGAGGACTCATCGCGATACTGCACAATGATATCCTCCTGGATCTTGAGTCGATCACACAGCTTGTCCTTGAGGTGCTGCAGACTCACACCCGACGGAATGCGGATGGCAATCAGATCGTCCTGGAAAAACACCTTGACTTTCATAGCACTCGAATTGGACGTGCTAGAAACCTGGGTCAAGGAGCTAGCCTGACGGTTCATCGGGGGTGGGCCACCGTTAGCGTAGGCGGCGGGGGTGGCAGCACCTTGGGCGCGCTGCTGCGATGCGCGGTCGGGCCCGGCGTTCATGGGCACCTGTGAGGACTGACGGGACACGCTGCGCGACGGCTCCAGACCGGAGGAAGAGTGGTGCGATTGGTCCGAGTAGCGCGCCTCCTCACCGAAAGCGCTAGGGTCAATTTCAAAGTCGCCCTGGCGCGGAGCGAATAGCTGCCGTACTAGTTGGCAACGGGAGATGTGTGGAGGCATGGAAAGCAGCTTTTTGATATACTCGTCGAGGTTCTGGCGACGACCGTTGGAGATGGCGTCTGTGACGTGGGTGACGGGACCGGGCATGAAGGGCAGGGTGCGAGGACGGCCACGGTTGCCAGCCTCATCTTCGAATTGGGTGAGAAGGGCGATTTGGAAGTCGTAGAAATCGTGGTAGTAGCGTGACAATTCCCAGCATCGCCCATCATCCATCTTTGCCTCGATAATGTACCAGTACTTGTCGTTGTCGAAGCAGTAGCGCGGGATCGAGGCGGCAACGGGCGCGAGGAGGGGTGGCTGGTAGCCAGCTTGGCCGGCTATAGTGCCTTTGCTGGCGTTGCGTTGGTGGTATGCCTACAAGAGAGATCACAAACGCGATTAGTATCGAGAAAACATGACCAGTCATTGCGACATTGTGAACTTCATCCCAATGGTCCCCGACTTACATAGGAGTTGCCATTCTGACTCATGTGGCTGGCGCTCTGGTGCGATCCGCTCATGGACATCTTGTCCATGCCTGCAGTCACCGCGACGACGCCGCCACCAGAGGGTTCAAGTTTGCCCAGCGTGATACTGCTGTTTTTGTACTCCGCGGTCATCTTTTTCCACTCCTCGACCTTGGGGACACCTGCGCGGCGCACTGCCTCCAGCGGATCGGTCACGGCCTGACCACTCTGCATGTCGCGCAATTCGATGAATGAGACGGGGATCAAGCCTGGGCCACCGAGACGACCGATAGGCTTAGCGACAAACCACTCCGGGTTCGACTGGGCGATAACGATGATGGCCTCGCCGGCGCGCGCATCCAACTCATCGGGTCGCTCAGCCTGGAAATCATACTGAACTATGCCGTAAACCATGGCGCCCTGGCCCTTTCCGAGAGCAGACATTCTGAACGCCCCTTGTCGGGTGGTGTTGGTGGGAGAATCGGACGAGGGATTGCGGTCGGAGAAGCCAGAATCGTGGTGTTCCTTTTTATGTAGATCCACGGACCCCCCACTATCCCTTTCGTTTTTACCGATGACCTCGAAGAAGGAGACGGGAACGAGCCCTCGGGCACTAGGGATGAGCGGATTGCAGGCCTCGTACCAGTCCGAGTCGTCCTCCCTGCTGATAACGTGGAAGAAGTCGCCCTTGCTAAAGGCCAATTCCTGGGTGGTGCCGGGCTCAGGAGTGTGGTCGTAGAGCGCTTTGATGACCTGTGCGCACAGTTCCGCGACTGGGTCAGTCTTTGTCTTTGTTTTTTTTGAGGGTCTTGTTGTTTGAGTGTTTGTGTTGCTATGATTTCCGGCGCACAGAGAAGGAACCGTGGGTCAGGGGTATGCAAGTGTAAGGAACCGAAGGGGAGGGCCGATAAGAAGAGGAGGGGGGGGAAAAAGGGCAGGAGGGGAGAGTGGGTAAGTCAGTCCGATTGAATCGTGGCGGTAGTGGGTTGTGTCGCAACCGAGGGGCGTTTGTCTTTCTTTTTTTTTCTGGGGCGGTAGGGAAGGGAGAGTGCAGAGAGAGTAGAGAGAGACCAAGAGTTGGTGGCTGGGAGGGGGCCAAAGGGAAAAGCACAAGGGCTCAAGGGCACAAGGGCAAGAGGGAAGGAGAGAAAAGGGAATGCGCAATTCCATAAAAAAACACTCACCTTCTTAGGTGGCAGGATGGCAATGGCGGACTTTGGAGTGATGGAGATATGGTGATGATGATGATGCCTGGGATCTTTCTCCCCCTTCAAGGAGCGCCGGATGGCCTATATGGGCGGGGACCGAGTTAATTTAACGACACACGATACGTAATCTTTCGGAGGTTGAGGGTCTGCGACACGTCCACAGAACAGAGGGAGGGGCGGGATCGGGAAACTTACCTTCATCGCGACTGGAAGGGAAGAGAAGGATAGAGAAATTCACTAAGGACCGAAATTCCAGGGAAGGGCACGAAGTGTGAAAGAGAAGAAGGAGAGAGAGTGAGAGGAAAGGAGATTGAGAAAGAGAACGAGGAACAGGGTTTCTCTTTTGGGTCAGGTCAGCAGTATACCCAAGGCTATTAAGGTAGTAGCAGACTAGCAGCAGGAGGAGCAGGGTAAAGAGAAGAAGTAGGTCAAAGATGGCGCTAGGTCAAATCACAACAATAACCTCTGGCCACTCATCGAATAAGATAGTGAGAGAGTGTGAGAAAGAAAAGAAAGTCGACGGCGAAAGAGAGTGCGAGAGGCTGCGTATTGTGGTTCCAACCACAGGCTGGATTGCGATGTCGAGGGCGGTTCTTGGAGAGCGATAAGAATAGATTGTCTCTTTGTAGCCAAGTAGGAGCACGTACGGAGGATAGCTATGGACCCCGATGTATAAGTGAATGCGACTGGCGACTATCGTCTTTGGTCGCACGTTCGAGGGGCGGTATAGTCCTTGAAAACACGGTCTCCGAGAGTTTGGGACCGACGACCGTGGATCAGCACGAGGTGTGCCTGTGGCAACTGGCAAGGCCTTATTTAAGCGCTCTACCTAACTATCGAGTATCCCTTATCTAGTAAGTCACCCCGGTGCATATAGCTAAAACGGAGAGGCAGCGGCTTGGGTATGCGAAGTATACTCCCAAGTATGGTTGTTCTATTTCCTCCTCTTCAACAGCCAGAAACAGTCACGTAATATTCGACAGACCACGCGATCTCCACTACGCCGGGGCCACAGCGCCCCGTTGGGCACCGACCTCGTCAGCTTGGGGCGGCTACTGGCCCCTCCAGACTGGTCCTTTCTTTGGGACGAACTAATCAGTAGCACTCTCATGGGATTGTCCCGTGTATAGTTGACATCCTCCCATTATACGGCATATACACACTCGGCAACATGGGCATCTCCAGACCCCGATTTCGTACAGGAGAGTAATAATGAACCACCAAAATAATCCATCATTTCTTCTTTCTTTCCCTTCCCCCACTCTACCGACCCGTGGTCCGCCATCCACGAGGTCCATGGCTTCCGGTGACGTTTCATCCGAAACCAGCTTAGATCAGCGTATTCATGGACTTTTCTTTGAGATTTACGCGCCATGAAATTGAGTACACACAAAGAAAGTGGGTGACGAGATATTCTATAGAGATCAGCGACAAAGGAGAAAGAATGGTCCCTCGCACATTCGTCATTCGTCATAACCCCCATGTCGACGGAGGTTCCTCGAACGGTCTAGATGGTGGCTGGGCTGGAAATAAGTTAATTAAACATTAGATTAATTCTGGGGCGGCCTGCAGCCCTCGATGGGTCCTAGTTGGAGTACGGAGCACCGAGCATACTCAGAGCAGAGTCCTCTGCTTTTTTTGGCCCATACCTTGCTTCTTGCATAGATCTTCATCAATGCCGAGTCTGCTGATACAAATTGCCTTGGCAGAGATTAGATTCCTAAGTCTCTGATATGATTCATAGAGGAAAATCTACGTGTTCAACGGTCGGCTGCCACGCATGTACACACAACCCGAACCCGTCGAGTAATCAGCTGAACCTACCCCGGACATTGTTCCAAAAACGGAATCTCGACGCATGTCCAAAAATCTCTGCCGTAGACATAAAATGCACACTGCAGTAGTTCGCACAACCCCATTGGTGTCAACCATAGCTGAAGAAACTCTCAGCCGCAGCCCGCAGTTCGAAGCACCGCCGATCGCTGCAATGCTATCAAGCCTGCGGCAGCCTGACGTATCGTGTCTCTATGCCAAGTATATTCCCAGCTTGAGGATAATACGGTGCTTACAGTCTCAAAGAAAAGAACCCTTCCCACCCCTACCCATAACCACAGTTCAAAGAACACAGAAAGCATCAATCTCATCGGCGGGTACTGATGAGGGGGCACAAAGTCAATTCTTTCAACCAGTAACCAATGTCCAGCATCATATCCCCATCTAGGGCACGGTACACACTACAGTAACCACACTGCAATTATTGCACTTCCACAGTCTACGCTTGGTTCAACTCCACCCCTCGCCTAGGCAATTTTCTGGAAGCCCTCCGATGGAGTAAACCCCAAGCTTGGTCACGCCATTCACCGCGAATGCTACCGGAGGGGCGTCCATGGGGCGGCGGCGTGCGGGACCCACGTGACGGGGCGGCGAAGGGTGGTTCCGTGGGCAGATGGAATGAATTCTGGATTCTAGAAGATGGGAAAATGGAAGATTTGTGACCGGATGATGACAGCTGAATTAGAGGTTGTGGATGAATAGGATACGACCATGAGGGTGGGGAAGAAATGTGGATGGAGAACCGTAGTCCAGAGGTGACTGTCCGAAATTGGAATGTACGGCCTGAAGAAATGGGTGTCGAATATGACAGCCGAGCGCCTTTAGTCATGGTACCCGAGAATGGAACAGCCAGAGATAGGCATAAAACATTGAGATCACATTGATCATGATACAATATGCGAGATGTAGAAGACTATCGTGTTCAGAAGGTACTTGGAAACTTTTATTGATCACTAGAGCTGGACGTAGTAAATGGGTAGAAAAGACAAAAACCATATCTACTCGGGCACCTTGACACCCAACACATCAATCAACGGTACGCATACCCCATCACCACCTTAACCCAAGAAATCAACAAGAAAATATGCAGGGGGTATTAGTATTTGTTGCGGGGCCGAGTGCGCAGCAAGATCGCGACACAGACTCGACTCCACGGCCCGGACACTAGACTCGACAGGAGACTAGAGTCAGGGCATGGAGGAATCAAAGACAAAGCAGGTATGGAAGCTGCAAGAACGCCTAAGGGATGGACTCCGATCGGTAACGGTTTGCATACACCAAGAACGCAGAGGAAACGATTGTATAAACTCCTGTCGCTTCGAAAGAAATGGATGGACCAACTTTGCCTTCAACGGCAAAGAGGTCAATTCGGATCCACGAGTGTGAAATCCATCGGCAGCCAGCCTAAGGGTGTGATTAATAGGGAGGAGGAGAAAAGGACCTGGAACGGAACGGGTCGAGAAGAAGGGGGCCAGCCCTGGCTTAGATCTGGCCCTTGATGTCGACGACACGGTGGGCTTCGGCCTTGGCTTGCTCAAACAGCGGGCCGGCTTTGCTGGTCAACAGCCTTACAGTCCCGTTCTTCTCTTCCAGAGTGTTCTCGGCCGAGTGATCTAGAATGAAACGTGCGGTCTGCTCGTCGGACTCGAAGCCAAGCTCTTCCGTAATAAACCGGATGTTGACATCCGGTTTGTACCTGACAAGGAGTTAGCAGCGGAACTATAACACTCAGAAGATGGAAGGAAACTCACGCTCTACAAATGGAAGCAAGAGCAGTCAACCGCTCACGATCGACAAACATGTCCATGAGGTATGCCCCCATGTTGGGCGTGTCCAGGTACAACTGGAAAAAGCGGTGATAATTGCCGAGAGCGAGTGCAGAGCGAACTTCCAAGGCATGCTTGACGGCATTCGTCTTCTTGTCCTCTGCAGTCACGTCGGCTAGCGCATCGTTCATGGCCGTCCAATTCCGGGTATAAATGAAATAGAGAATACGATACGCCTTGAATTCCGTCGGATGCCCGCCCAGCTTCTGCTTGTATAGAACGCGAAGCTGGGTCTGACATTGATTATACTCACCAAGGTCCCCCTTCTCCAAGGCAATCCGCGCGTGGATCTCATAGACGACGACCGTGAACTCGTTCCGGATGTGTTGCACCGTAAGGTCCTGGCGCAGCGACTTGAACTGGTCACAGATGTAGGTGTAGTTGCCCTCCTGCTTCCACTTCTTTTTCAATAGGTCCAAGGCCTTCTGGAGCACCGGCAACGGACGGACGGTATCCGGGTTGGGGGCCGAGGTCAGGCGGAAGTAGTTCTTCTCTAAAGTCTGGCATCGTCCAACCACGGGTCCTTGGTCCTGGTCGACGCTGCGCGAGGAGGGAGAGTCCACGGGGGACGAGGTACCAGAGGTTCCATAACTAACACCAGCACCTTCAAAGCGCTTCCTCCTCATCTCCAAATTAGCTTTCGACTTACTAGAATCATCCAGTGTCATTCGTGATTTCTTTTCTGTGGATGGGTGAGTGACACGGTCTTCAAACCGGTTTCGATTGTTAGCTTTTTTCCATGGCGGCGAATCTGTTCCGGACTGCCGCTGCTGGCTGTTGTCTGTCGACTTCCTCTTGCGACTGGGATCACTGGGGGAAGAAGGTTGGCTAGACATCCCCCAGTTTGAGACGTTGGGGTTGGCCAGGATCCTGTTACGTTCATTTTGGATCATGACCTGTGGCAAAGCCAGTCGCTCCCAGTCGATGAGTTGAAGCTTGTTGTTCTCGGCCGCTTCGGTAATGACCTGTCGCAGCTTCTCTTGCATTTCGGAGTGGCTCACGCTGGCAACCTGGTTCTCGGGAGCAAAGCATCGCTGCACGTAGAGGCGAACCGCGGGAGGGAACTCCATGCGTGGTCGAGGAGCTTCAGCCGCAGGGGGCATGGCGGGTTGTGTAGAGGATCCGTTGGAAGGTGGGTAGGTGAGTTTATTAGAAGAGAGGCTACGACGTGCTTGTACTGGAATATAGGCGGGTGTCGCTGGAAAAAGGGTTAGCAAGAGGGAAACAGACATTGAAGGCGGGATCCAGACAGGTGCTCTTACCAGAAGGTTGAAAGGCCACGGGCTTTGAGCTCGGAGCCGAGGCAGTGACACGCCACGGTGGGACGCTTGAGTTCATCCCGATGTCTAAGAGTATGAATGTGTTTGTGGTGAGGGAAAAAGAGAAAGAGAGAGAGAGAGAGAGAGAAAGATGAACAGGCGGGAAGGAGGAAACAAAGGATAGAAAAAAAAAACGGCTACGAGGAGAGAGCTTTGACGTCGGTGTAAATAGGGATCAAAGTGCGGAGAATGTTCCAAGTCGGTTAAATCAACGATGAGAGGAAGGGAAGCAGTGGAGGTGATGAAATTCCTGAGAAGCTGGTGGTGAGGCACACAAGTCGAATCCCTCGCCGGATGAATCCCAACTCGCTTACTCTCTCTCTCTCACCTCGGAACTTCTTTTCTCCGGCCGGTCCCTCCCCCAGGTTATCTTGTTATCGGGTAACAGCTCCAGACGTGCTTGAAAGGGTGATATGTCGCCTGCACCCTCTGCTAGATGTTTTTCAAGTCTCTGGACCTGACCACTGCATTGCGACCCTTGCTGTTACCTGACGAGACGCTTCTCTTTGTCCAGGATGCGGTGGGGCTATATGAGGGGTAAGCTGGGGTCCCCCTGCCTAACAATAGAGTTGACGTTGTATGTACTGATACGACGTGCAGGAAGTACAAGATTCCCGACTACCAAAATGGTCATGCCTACTTGACCTCCCATAGGGTTTGCTATGTTGCAGCGGAAGAACCTCGTAAATTCTCTGTCGGTATTGATCTGAAGGAAGTCGACCGAGCCGAGTACCAGGTAGAGCGTCCCGTCTACAGTTCGTTTGCGGTGCTTGCTAACAGATTCAATCCAACTCTAGGCCGGCTTTTTCAAGTCATCGCCTAAGATCACGCTATACCCCAAGCCCCAGAAGGGAAAGACTGATAAATCCCGAAGTGCGACTGCCAGTCCTGCGGTCTTGCAACAGTCTAGCCTGCTCCCCGTTCATCCATCCTCCCCTAGGCCACAGAGTGTTGTCCAACAGCAAGCAGCTTCAACAAAGCCAGTGAATGCGACCTGGATCTGTCCGATCTGTTCCTTCTCCAATCCTGTGCCTTCGAATTTCGACCCTGCCACGGCCACCGCAGCCACCCATTTACCGCCATGTCTCGCGTGCGGCATTAAGCCGCCATTCACAACAGTCCTCAAGGCGGCGATCAGCGCCGCAACGAGTCGTGATTCTCCCTTGCCTAGCACGGCAGCTTTCCCGACCGAGAACACTACTGCCCAGAAGAATAGTGGCCTCTCGGGATCGTCGGGCCTCGCAGGTTCTGTGTCGTGTTCCCGGTGCACCTTCGTGAATCATCCATCTCTCATGGAGTGTGAGATGTGCGGGGCACCGTTGGCAACGACGGGGCTCTCTATACCAGGAGACGTTACTAGCCGCGCTGACTCTCCCGCTCCATTCTTTGCACAATCTCGCATCACTAATTCAGAAGTCACCGATAGCATCAAGCTTTCGTTTCGAAATGGCGGGGAGAAAACCTTCCACGAGAGACTCAAGGGGGCCTTGATTCAAAGGAAATGGCTTCTCCAGAATGCACCCCCGGTGCCACCGCCATCGCAGGCTGGTGCCTCGACCAGCGGCCCCGCCATTCTTTCTTTAGAGAGTCCGCAGCCTACGACACCACGCACCACAGCTGTGGGAATTGCGGGTCTAGAGCAACGCGGGTTAGAGACGCGGATGAATAATCAACTGGTGATTGGCAATGCTTTTGAAGATCTCGAGGCTTTGATGGCCTCGGCCAAGCAAATTGTGGCTCTAGCCGAAACCCTGGCCCGCGAGTCGGGGATGACGACCAACGGAGGAGCTTCTGCAGAAACTAATGCGGTTCTCTCCGAGTCGGCTGCAGCGTTAGGGATGGTGACTACGAAGGACATGCTGAGCTCTGGGTCCGAGAACCTCTATCTATCAGAGCTGTCCCGCAACCTGGCCGAGTATCTTACGGACGATCGCAAAGGGATTCTACATCGAGAAGGCGGCATTATGAGCCTGATTGACCTTTGGGCGGTGTTCAACCGGTCTCGCAATGGAGTCGAACTTGTCAGCCCGTCCGATTTCCAGCGGGCAGCCGAGCTCTGGGAAAAGCTGAAGCTACCCGTGCGCCTACGCCGGTTCAAGAGTGGTCTCTTGGTGGTTCAGCGTTATGACTGGAGCGATGAGAAGACCGTTCGGCAGTTGCAGGAATGGATGGAGGAATTGCGACGGGTCCCACCAGACCAATCGGTTCCGTGGGATTGGAGCATGTTTGGTCGGGCCGTGACGGCGCAGGAAGCCGCCCAACGATTCAGATGGAGTGTGGGTGTGGCTGCGGAGGAGCTAGAGATGGCAGAAGACAGGGGTGTGCTCTGTCGAGAGGAAGGTATAGAGGGTTTGCGGTTCTGGAGCAACCATATAGTAGCATAGACAGAGAGAAGTTTGCAAGAGCATAACGAAAGAATAAGGTTGAGCTAAAGGGGCCGTTTCAGCTTCAGCTCTGCATTCAGCACAACCAGATACAACTCCAGTACGATGACGAAGGTTGCCTCTCCGCCCTTTTTTTGAGTTGAGACCCGATGAGGTCTAGTGACATCATACCCGGCTGATGTCAGCCGTTTGATTTGCGGGGGAATCAGTGGGTGTGGGCTGTGATTGGTCAACTTCACGGAGGGATCCTAGCAAGAGCAGTCCCCGCGTCGGAGTGCTCTGGTCCTGTCGGATGGAGCAACTGGCATCCTACCTGACCCCTCTGTCCTCCTCTAACCCCCCTCCAATCCCATTTAGCATTCTGAATTTCCTCTTATCCTCCGTTTCTCCTTCAATTTTCCCCCCTTGGCCCGTTCATCCCAAGTCAAACGGGCCTCATCCGACCATCTGCACCCCAGAGAAGCCCAAGCCCCGCTTCCCCAAGCTCGTGTGCTCCCGGGTGGATATGATCGCCAGCGCCTTGAAGCTCTCATCCCCACGCGCTTGATCCATACTCTCCACAACGCTCGTCTTCCTTCGGTGATCGACTCCGCTTCTGAGCCCGTTGGAACAGATCAGTCGTATCTAAACCTACACACTCAAGAACCAATCAATTATGAGTTCCTCCATCGCCATGTCCTCCGTCGCTATGGCGAGGCCAGGTACAGCCCGACCAGCTCTCTCCCAATTAGTGGCCACAAATACCTTCCGAAGCTGCAGAGTATGGCACTGTACTCGCAACTACCATAGTATTCGCGATAAGATGGAACGCATCGCTCGATCCATCGATAAATACCAACTTCATCCCCAAGCCAACCCCCGTCGTAAGACGGAAGCCTGCGATGGCTGGCCTGCCACAGCCCACCGAGACCCCAGTAGCAGCAAAGGCTGGGCCACGCACTGGCCACGCACTCGATTCTCCGAACCCGCCGGTCGAGAAAAGACGTATTGGGATGCCGAGCTGGAGCGGATGAATCACCGTATTGCCCACCTGAAGAGGAGAGTCGACAGAGACCCCTATGAGGCGCTCTTTGGTCGCAGAGTAGAGTCCTCTCATTATATCGATCAGTCTGATTCTGCTACCGCGTGGCCGGGTTTCCTGCGGACCTTCTTGGGTGCTGAGAAGCCCACGACAAACCACCCGTCCAAGTCTCATCTCCAGGACTTCAATTTTACTCAGTCTCCCTCGCAGTCAAGTACTTCTGGAAGCCGAGAGGATCTTGAGTATGATCCTATCAGCGGCCGCATGGCCCCGAAAGCACCGAACCCAGAGCCCGCAAGTGAGGACGCAATGCGAAGCTCGAGCTCAAACTCGGGTGTCGACTGTCCTTCGGGAAGTCAAGTCGAGGCCAAATCCGCTTCCAACGCTCCTATAGTTGAGAACGGCCAGTTACAGCCAGATCTGAATCCTGAAGCTGGTCTGGGCTCCGGCCATAACGTCGAGTGTGCACCTGGTGGCGAGCTCGATGATTTGTTCACTGTCGAGCCTGCTACTCGTAGCGATCAGGGTCGCCCGTCGCAGGGGTCTGGATCCCAGCCGTCGGGTAACGCCCCGGTGGATTGCTCACCGGGTGGTGAATTAGAGGCCAAGTTTGCCTCTGATCTCGACCTGGCTTCACAGTCCACGGAAGCAGCACGTGTTGCTTGCTCCACTGACAGCGAAATTGAAGCAAGGATCGTTGCCGAGACCACTCGTGCTCAAATGTCTGATCCGACTGTCGACTGCGCCCCGGGCAGTGAGCTGGAGGCAATGTTCGCGGCTAACCCGGCAGCCGTTCAAGCTAAACACTATCCACCAATCATGGCTACGGCGGATGTTAAGGTCAAGAAAGCCAACATCACCAGTGACTGTGAACCTGGCAAAGAGCTAAAAGCCAAGAACCTCTCCGATGCTGCCAGTGCCGAGACTCGCGGCGAGAGCGAGGATCTGAACACCCTGCACGCTAGTGACATCCGAGCCCGGTATATCCCACTAGAGAGCGAAAGCGATACCAACGCCGAGTTTTTCGAGCCCAAGGCTATCAAATTCGACGCCTCTAAAGACCGTGTCGACGACTTCCTAGAAAGCCAGAACGCCCCCGCTACATCTCAGCAATGGTCCCAATCCGACTACCGCATCCTAGCCTACGACACCACAACATCTACAGTAACAACCGCCGAGTCAGACTCATTCTTCGATATCAGTGAAACCGTCCAACCCCACGAGATATTCACCCGCCTCCACCACCCAGCCAAATTTGTGCCATTCTTCGCACAAATGCGGGCAGACGGGTATGAACTCGCGACTGGTGGTGGCGATATCCTCGTCTTCAAGCGATGCATCAAAACTGCTGAGCACAGCCCTGCACCGGTTGCTAGTCAACAGCAGGAGACTGTTCCATCGGATGTTCAGGCCGATATTGCACAGTATATGCGCGATGACTCTTATGACTCAACACCTTATGTGCGCCACTACCACCCGTCCTCCACCATCAAGGTGAGTAGGCAGTGACAGGTGAAAACCGTCAAGTCCGACCTATCCTCCATCCCTAACTAGTCGACCTAGCCCTCGACATTCGGAGACACAATGTTCAGTTCCAATTTCAACTCTGCCCCCAGCTCTAGTTCCGGATCCAGTTTCGCCCCGGTCTCAACCATAACTCCCAACTCTTCCACTACAACCAAATCCAAATCGAAATCGACAATCGGCAAGGTCATCCGCCGAATGATCCTCACCGGCACTATCACCGCGGGATCGTGCTATGCGATTGGTGTTTTGACCGAGTTTTTCCGGACCGGCGGCCTAGATGGACGTGGTGCTGATGGATTCACGGCTTTTGAATCGGAGAGAAGGCACAGGGTGTAGATGGTGTTTTTTGGTCTTTTGATACTCACACCCTTTGCGTCTTTGTTTCGGGACTACAATTTTACTCTTTGATATATACCCTGTTTGTATCTCCGCTCTTTGATTATCAACTTTGTTCATTTTCTTTGGTCTTGACATATCATTTTGTGATATGATCCTCGGTTTCCTTTTTTGGCTAGTGAAATGAAGACGGTATCACAGTTAATCTATCTGTTCATCGTTGTGTTAGGACTTCTACATTGGCTACCTACGAACGGATGTGATGAGACTCGGACATTTTGATTTTGATAGATCTCATAGCCTATCCTAACTTACTAATCTCAATCTCGAATGCACATGGTTATCTCCGATCTGGAAATATCTTCCCCTTCCCCCTCGTCTTCGGCAAGTTCCTCTTCTTCGTCATCAGAAACCTCAAGCCCCTCAATCCTCTCCAACCGCTCCCCTTCCAAATCCTCCCAAACGAAATCCCACCACGACCTTCTCAGCTCCCGTGCACTTCTCGTGCGCTGAACCCTCTGCTCTTGCAACACCTCCAAATGACGCGGCGCTCCATACTCCTCGCCTGGAGTATCCATCGCTCCACCCTGTGCCTTTTCCTCCTGCTCCGCCCACTCGGCGTTTCGTTGCCGCCACGCACTCTGCAGAACTTCTAGCTGTTGCATGAGTTTGTCACGCAAGGACTCCACGTCATCACTTTCGAGATCGAATTCGTCTTCCTCTTCGTCAACCTCGTTCTCGTCTGCGGATTGCTGGGTTCCGGGGTCGTCTGGCGGGTACGGGGGCTTGTTGAAGACGGCTTGTAGCGGTCCACAGCGAGCAGAGCCGCTGAGTAGATACAGCTGCAACGCAACGAGAACGTTGACGGCGTCAGCAAAATCTTTTTCTTTCCAGAGATCGTACTCGCGTGTACAGAGGACCCGGAAAGTCCGGGTGTCCATTTCGTTGTCCCGCATGCTGAGCTTGGTGGAGTCGATGTGCTGCTGTACGCGCTCGATGTTCTCGGGCGTGTAGAATCTGTTGCTGTTACTGCGGTTGCGGGTGGCATCAGTAGTGCTGGCCGTTCTGACGTGCGGCGCGTCGTTCTCGCTGCTGTGCTCGATGTGTGCGGCGCTTCCATCTGGCGGGGACGGGGATGGGCTTGGCCGGCTTGCAGGGTGCATAGGAGGAATGGGCGAGGCTTTGTAGGGTAGTTCGCGGCGGCACCAAAGACTCGAAAGCTTGTGGCCTGGGAAGAAGGCGCGCATGATATGGAGTTTGGAGCCATGTTGACCAATTAGGAAGGTCTCTTGGTCGGGGATCTTGTCGCCTGGGACGGGGAGTGGTCGGACATGTTGGAGGAGTTGTGCGAGGATCAGCTTGAATTTGTTCGCGAGGGCATCCTCGAGAGGTTCTTGGTAATTTGTCTGGGATGATAGTTCGTTAGCGTGCTGATGATTAGCTAGATAGCGTTTGGGGGTGGGTAGGGGATAACTGACGACCGCGATTGGAAGAATTGGTATCACGTTGTCACGTCCAGGATCGAACTCAAGAGCGATGACTGCGTCTGTCTCCGGTCCGTCTTTATGCTTCTCACGGTATCCTGTCCAATATTCCATCTGGTAGATCAACAACCGGGCCCTTTTCAAAGAAGAGGAAATGTCAGTACATCAGCTCTTCACGAGAGACAACGCACCACTCACTTCAAGGAAAAGACCCTTTTCGCATCCGCCGTCAACTTCTTCAGACCCATCCCACTGTCAATATCATTTAACAGGGCATAAACCACCTGAGCCTGGGCGCGACTATCGTTCTCAATCAACTCCCTCTCGCAGTCCTCGGTGCCTCCATCCCACAGGCCCGTCTCAATCTTTGGAACATGACGGAGGGCCTTGAAAACTGCCTGATACCGAAGATCAGTCTTGCTCCAGGCCTTGAGATTGACATGGCGAAAGTCTTGCACGGGATTGCGGAAGATCCAGGGTTTGCCATGAACGAGGGCTTTGATGGATGGTGCGTCAGTTGATACTTTCTTTGTACTCATTTGTAGAACTAGAGGAGGGGGAGATGAGCAACTCACGTGAATCTTGGGCCATCCGCAGGTAACGGGCTGGAATCAGATCTTCGGCAGGTCGGTCAAAGAAGAACTTGGCCTTGAGGTTGTGCACGGGAATCTCACGAGCCTCCTCCTTATCGACGGAACTGGTGCTCAGTGAGAACGGGTTGGTCGACTCTGCCCTCGGAAGTGGATCCATGCCGGAAGGATGGCGAGTCTGAGCAGGGTTGGCTAAAGTTGACATGTTGATCAGCTTGCTCTGGTTGGAGCGGAGGGAGGGGGTGTGGGAAGATGGAGTGGACCAGATGCAATACTCGAGGAGGAAGGAGAGTGTTGCGGGTGTTTGGGTCCGAGGAAGATAGAAAAGAGAAGTTATGCGAGATGCAAGCAGGAAAGAGCAGATTTCTGGATTGATACCGGCGAGATCTTTCGATTGGACAGCGCTGAGAGATTTCAAGCCGAGCCGGTGCTGTATATCAGACAACAAACGCCGTGGAAAGATCTTACTGTAGCAAGTCCCGAGAATCTGATTGCTGTCTACTGCATCAAAGACTAGATAGTCTCTTCCAGTCCCTTGAATGTAGCTTGCAAGCCTTGAGCAGAGCTGTAAAGGCCACCATGTGCGGTTAGACTTCACATCCACCGGTCTATCAGGCTACTAACAAAGGTCCTATTCGTTTTGCAACATATAAGGTTGTGCTCCCATATCATCATATAGGCTCCTCTATCTATTAGAAATTCCGAAGCTGCCTAATGGTTTGATAATCGCTTTAAAAGGCAGCCTGCAGAGCAGGACCGGTGGTGCTTTTTTGTACATTTGCATCAACTCGGGTCATAGCACAAAACCTTATCAGTACGTGCTCTGAATGGAAGTTTGTTGAAAAGAGTTCCCAAGATAAAATCACAACTTGATCATCTTCATTCCCATTCGACCGAGAAACATCGCCCGAAGCCTTGTTTCCAAAATTTTGTCGAATGACCATGCTACCATTAACGAGAGATATATCTACGGCCTATCGTCAAGTGTAACTGATGTACATTAAGGTTGTCGAGCATCCTTGAGCTTTACACATGAGTTGTCAACAGCACCAGGCTTGCATATCCATCGTAGGTTACATAACCTCCTCATAGTCAATTTGGCCAGTTCACATGCAGATTCATCTATCCCAATGCTGATGATTTCAGATTCTTTTTGCATGATGTGCTCGATGACCTCTGTGTGGCTATAGCAAGTAGATAGCTGTAGACATTGCTGCCCCCCACAATGTAAGTTAAAGTTGTGCTCTTGGCATATCAAGGAGTACTAGCCTAAGTCATTTCGATCTTCCTCCGCCTTGTGATTATGCTGCTGTGGTCATTGAGGGATCCAAAAAAAAGGATGTAAGTCACGATCATACTATGTGAGCCTCAATATGATTTGTTTAATACATCATGGTATGTAGGTTTCCTTTGGGAAGGTTGTTCATCAGTTCAGGATTCTGGGATTATAGATGTCACTAATGTGCGATTTTTAGACGTGTCAAGCACAATGTCAACGTAGACTTTATGAATCTAGTAGTAACCGCTACCTACCTTGCTTGCCAATTAAACATAGTCTAGATCTGTCAAACTCTTAGGACTAGGTACCTACATTATTTGTAACGTTAGTTTATATCTTCGAGGTCAAATATAGGTCTCTCAGAAATATATAACGAAGCCGTAGTCTCATCAATTGTAAATTGTGAACCATCTATTCAACTAAAGCAACGGACTGTGATACAAAGTCTCGAACCCGAATGGACATTGCTTGCGTCTCCCTCCACTTGATGGCCTAGAATCAATTGTTCCACAGGGCTGACCCAGGTAGACAGTAAACCAAAGCCTTCAATCGGCTCGTCCAGCCACCTCCCCGTTCTAGACCGACACCTGATGACGTGCCACCTCGAAGCACCTGGATCCGATTGACTCCACGATAACCGGCAATGCAGAGGGCCTCCACCTGCAATTAAAATTTGCATGACATTCTTCACCTGCGTGGCTGATCCACGCATTGCCGCACCTTCACCCGGTCCAGGCCCGTACGTGGACTCCACAATTGTTTTGTCCAGACCAAGTCACGTGGTACAGGACATCACAAGTCACGGGCATCCGCCAGGTGGAAAGTCCGGACGCAAGCTCGGTGTGATTACATAATTCGTTTACCGGCGGAACTGCGAAAGTGAGCTCAGTCCCAAGGAAAAAATGTGTGGCTCGCCCTGAAACCCGCCGGTGGATGGGTGGGGCCGGCAGCTCAGGAACAGGTCTAGCGTGGCTTTGTCGCCCTTGGTACGGATCATGATCGCGTTATTTACTCCAGACACGAGCAGCACTGGTCCTGTGCGGAAGGGTTCAGGGTGGAATGCATATAAAGCCACGCAGCCCCAAGGCTAGGGTAGCCCATATTTTGAGGAATTATGGTTAGCATGACCATCACTATGACTCGGGAGACATTTTCAAGACGATGGCGTTGGCTCGAGAGGGCCGAGCCGTGCACTGCCTTGGGCCTAACAAAGAATGGGGCTCATCCCCCGGAGAAAAAGAACGAAAGTCTATAATTACACCATTGACCGGGGGCTTTGCCTGACTGGAGAAGCGACACCGATAATTATGTAGTAGTACATTCATTCGGTCGTCTCTGATGGCTTTCTTTGTTGGATAATTTCTTTTCCATAGTTCTGGATTAGGGATGTTCACTGAAATCGCGACTGCGGAAGATAGCATCTTCGATGCCATGCCAAAATAAAATGTACGACGATAGTTTGTACAGTATACCATACAGTACATTACTACGTATGTATGCAAGAGGGGAAATCTCAAACAAGGGACGAGCCGAGAATCCAAGGCAAACGATGCATCGACAAACATGCGACGAATCTCGATCCGACGCACAACTCAGACGTCTCTCCACAGCACTCTCAAACACGTCAAGAATGTCAAAATGACGAAAAGGCAACTGTCAAGTATGAAAGAAAAGAAGGACTCGAGAGGGGTAGGACGTGCCAATGCCACTATGACCCCTTCATTCCGATCTGTCACTGGACTTTTCATACTCCGTAAACGTGGCGGCGGGTGCGATCGCATCTTCCTTTCGTTTTCTTTGCGCCCGGAGATTACGCATAGAAAATCATAACGGCAACAGTATTCCGTCCAGAAGACACCCTTACGATGGAGTCGTGATGAAAATTAGAATCAATAGCGTAGCGATAGTGTCCTCTTCAGAGACAGTCCCAGGAGTAAAGGTAAATACCAGTCCTCCGTAGTTTGGCACCAAGATACAGTACACCAACGACGCTCTCCCCTTTCCAGTCCAGTCTCCGGTACGACTATTCAATACCGGTACTGCCACGAGAAGGGAAATAAATCCATGACGTTCAGAAATCATGCTTTAAAGCCCTGTACTGTACATGCTCGCATTGGCAATGGGCACCGCCCACCACGGGGTGGCTTACGGTAACCAGCCTAATACACGCCACTGCACCAGACAAGAGGGGAACCCCCCCCAAACCAGTAAGCCAGCGAAGGAAGGAAAAAAAACAGAGTGCCTGGGTAACATTGTATCCGTCGTCGGGCGCTATGTTCAAAGGGAAAGCGGTTAGACGGACTGGACCCATGTTCCAACGGGTCGACGAAATCGCTGATTCGAAGCGCATGTTGATCGCTTACCTGGCTGAGCGAGGCGAGAGACCTGGGCGCGCCGCTAGAGATGCCACTAGCTCTGGATGGGGACAAGCGGGGATCCTGGCAGGTACGGCGCTGCAGACTGGACGGAATTAGATCTTGTTTAGTGTACGGCGGTCCAGCACCACAGCTTGTACAGGACGTAATCCCCGTGTATTGATGTGCTCGAGGGCTGATGAGGCCACGCACAGGATATTGTTACCACGGCCAGGAACGGACCGCGTCAGTGGGCTTGTTCAGCAACCCCGGCCCATATTAAACATCCTAATGTTGACTGGGTGTCGGTGTCGGTCCCTGCACAACGTACAGGACTGGAAACCGAACTTTAATTTGGTCGAGATACGGCAGGTTCTTTGGGACGGACAAGTGCGAGGAACTTGGCTTGGGGGTGATTGCGATGTGCACTCTAAACCTCTCTTCCTACAGTGAAATTTGATCGTGCCGCTCCGTTGATCGACAGCTCACAGACGATTTCGAGCTAGAGAGCCGGAGAAGGAAAAGCCAAAATGAAGTGGGAAATTCTAGACCGGAATCCTGTCCTTCTACCAAGTGTAAAAAAAAAATGCAATTCAGACCGAATGGAATATGTTAGTTCATTGCGACGTAGCTTCTTGTGTAACAAGTATAACAAGCTATGCCTGCTCTTCACTCGTATATCCCTGATAAATCTCGTCCATCCTCCATGACCACTGTGAACTGATTCTGGTTCTCAATCACTAACTTTGGCCGTCCGGCAGATGTGTCGATCGCTATATGATGCTCTGGGTGGCCACTTGCTCCCCTGAAGGGCACAATGTGGGCAGGAGGCTCGGGCTTATCTCGTTTCTTTTTTTCTTATGAAAGTACATGGATGTCATAATCATGGCGGATTCCTGCATCAGCCTTTGTTAGTCCCCGTACCTGCATCTTGGCTAGACTCGGGGAATAGGAGAAAAAAAAAGAGGAATAGGGGATGGAGGATGCTGTGTCACATGGATTGGCTACGGTGAATAGACTTTAAGAGTGACAGAATGTATACGGAGTGTATAGCAACTATGGATATGGACGACAGTTAGAATCTACGAAGATCAGATAGAAGTTTTATTGTAATCGATGGCCTTTTCGACTGCTCCTATCTACTGTATGTGCTCGACCACTTTACTGTATACTCGAGATTCCCGATTTTCAGAGATTCTCCTCTTTAAATGAAAAGTGGATCTCCGGTCTAGTGCGTTGCCTTAACCACGAAATTACCACCGGGCTCAAAATTACTCCTGGCCCATCATAAATTACCCATAATTTACCGTCAGATTACAGGAATTTGTTGTGTTTCCACACGTGTTCCACTCCCGCCCCCATTTCTCTTCCCTTCCCCCCCCCCCCTTCCTTCGCCCCCCTACCAAACCGAGCCACCTTCAGTCTTTAATCCTTACTCTCATTCATTCACCTTATTCACTCCTTTCTGTTCTATGCTTCGTCTTCGTCCTCCGACCTGGCGCCTTTGAGACCTGGGATCTTGCCAATTTACCATTCCCCTTGCTTCTCCCACGGTCGCGCTGGATTAAACTCACCCTCCTCCCTGTTTCTTTGATCGTTTCGACCGTTGCCCGGACATCTCTCTCTCTCTGCCTCTTCAGTAGGCTGCCGCTCGCTCCCTTACAGCTTCAATAAGCCCACACTCGCTCATTTTATTCTGCTTGCAACTTGCTCGGGTCGTTTCAGATCTTCTATCGAAACCCCTTCCACTCGTTACTTTCTAGCTCATCGTGCTCGATTCGGCCCGTGTTTCACTTGCATTCGGTTGCCCTTCGAGACGCCCTTCGATTTCTTTGTCCATCGCCTGTGAAGGATTTGGACAACTTCAATTCTCCCATTGGAAGAAAACGAAAAAGAAGAAGTTTGTTGCGACTGCGTCCCAACATCCTGTACTTTGGAATCAACCCGTGACGAGTCTTGGACCTTTGACGAAGCCGCGATATATCGGATATTTTCGACTTCGACAGCCTCCACCACTCCGCGAAACCTATCTTTGCCTGAAGGGTTGACAGACGAGGACATTGTTGAACTCGTTCTGTACCCTCCGGCACCCGGACGCCCTATCATCTGAATCTTTCTTGTCGCACAGGACCGAACCAAGATGCGCGCCAACACCCTTTCCCTTCTTGCGGCCTTCGCTGTCGGAGGTTTCGAGCTGGCCACTGCCGAGCACGTTGAACACCCCCGTTATCTTCCTCGCGAGGTGAAGCGAATCGTTAAGAACGGCACATTGACAACTCGGACCGATAACTCATTGAGTGCGCTTTGGCAAAGTATCGAGGACAGCTTGACTGCTCAGCCCACCCCCACCATCACTTCTGCCGCTGTGACGCCTACCTCTACCGATGTAGCGAAGCAGGTTATTGTAGTGATTTCCTCGGACGCCGAGGGCCACGTTCACACTCTTACGACCTCTACGGAAATCATTTCGGCTGCTCAGGCTACGGCAACTACCAGCACGGCAGCTACCAGCGCGGACAGCTCTGCTTCGACTACCACGTCGGCTACTTCCGCGGCGGCCACCACTAGCGACTCCCTCCTCGGCGATGTATCCAATCTGCTTGGTCTTGGAAGTTCCAGCGCTGCCTCTTCCTCCGCCACGGGCTCTAGTGCGGTTTCCACGACGGCCACTTCCAGTGCAGCCACCTCTACCAGCGACTCCCTTCTCAATGCAGTTGGTTCCGACGTTTCCAACCTACTTGGAGCTACCGGTACGAACTCCAGCACCACCGCGACCGAGACCGCTACCAGTTCCCAACAGTCGACTACCGCTGCCACCACCTCTTCCCAGGGTAGTCTCCTTGAGAGTCTCGGCATTTCCATCCCCGCGGCTGAAACCACCACCACTCCCACTGGATCTTCCACCATCGCGGTCAGCGTCCCTGCCGTGTCTCCCACAGCTAGCCCGACTGCGACCAGCACCAGTGGCGATCTCCTTGGCTCAGTTGTGAGCGGGCTTACCAGCGGAGTTGCTTCGCTTCTCCCCAATGCCACCGAGACTGGCTCTACCGGTATCGCTTCGCTTCTTCCGAATCCCACCGAGACTGGCTCTACCGGCACTGGTATCGGTGTGATCCCTACCCCGGGTGTGGCTACCACCAGCGGTGTGCCTCATGCGTCGATTCCTCTGACCGTTTCTGGCACGACCGCGACTGGAACCGCGACTGGAACCGCGACCTCGATTGGAATCATCCCCACTCCTCACTTGCCTGGATCCGGCTCTGGCGTTCCTTCTGGCTCTGCTGTCATTCCTACTCCCACTGCCACCCAGGAGACCTCCAAGGTTCCTACAACTTCCGTTGCTGTGCCCACCACCACCGCGGAGCCTGCCACCACCATCGCTGAGCCTTCCACTACCAAGACCGCCGAGCAGTCCAACACCAACAACTGGATTCCCTCCTCCATTCTCGTGCTGCCGACTTCGACTCCTTCCGAGAGCACTAGCACCGGTACCAACAGTGCCAGCACCGAGCCTACTACTCTGCCCGGTTCCATCACGCCGTCCAACGGTGTCTCTGAGGCTCCCTCCGACTCGTTGCTGCTTCAGCTTGGTTTCGATGCTCACCTCCCTTGGACTTTCGTCGCTACTACTCCTCTGTCTTCTTCACAGATCTTTGAGTACATCCCCATGGCCCTGAAGAACGCCATGCCCAAGGTCTCTTCCACCATGTGGGCTCTCGAGCCTTACTACTCGTGGCAGACCACCGGCTACAACGCTACCCTGGCTATCTTCTACTTTCCCCGTGACCAGATTCAGGCCCTCAAGGATCTCAAGCTCAACCCCAACTCCGCTCTTTACCAATCGTCCGATGAGTCCGTCAAGACTCTGATGTCCATGGTCGACCCCTCCATCCCGCTCGAGTTCGCCGGCAACTACCCGTCCTCGGATGGTTCTTCGTCCTCCAGCACTAGCGGTAGCTCGGGCAGCAGCAGTGGTGGCAGCGATGGCAGCAGCAACACTGATGGCTCTGGCAACTCCTCCAAGACCAAGGCTAGCTCCGTTGGCATTGGTGTTGGTGTCGTTGCCGGTGCCGCTGCCTATGGTGCTGGTATGTTCTGGGTTGCCCGCCGTTACCGCAAGAGAAAGCAACTGCACAAGCGCTCCAGCTCCACTGCCGAGCAGATGAGCCAGGGCTCCGCCGCCGGCTCTCTCTTTGCTGCTGGTGGTCGTATGTCCGGTAGCCAGCGCACTGCCCGTTCCGGACAGATGATCAGCGCTCCAGTCATGGCTGAGAACTCCCTGGGCTGGAACTAGATGTTCGAAATTGTCCAAAACAAGACGGATTAGACTTGGCCTTGTTTTGCTCCACCTCTTTTCTCTTTTCCTCTCTCTCTCTCTCTCTCTCTTTTTCTAATCTCCCCTGCCAATTGCCTCCGGCAGATCAGACCTCCGGAGTGTTCTTTGACGGCACGCCATATTGCCTCGTCGAGGTCGAGTCTGTGCTCATCTCCATGGTTGGCCCGCCCAAGAGGCTGGAGGGATTCGAGTGGGGAAAACTGCACAAAACTTCCTTTCATTATCCATCATCCAGGATATATATGTCATACACATATCACGTATCTTTTTCTCTGTGAAATTTTTTGACTGGCCATTAACCTCCCTTTCTCTGGGTTGATCAGATACTACTCCGCGTTCAATCCCTCGAACGCAGCCCCATGTATCTTATCTCATCTCATCTTTTTTTTTTCTTCGGAATATTCCCCCTTTTGTTTCTACCTATACCTTTCTCCTTTTTCTCCCCATATATCTTGTCTTTTTATTTTCTATGGCACTGTGACAAACCTGAATGAGACGAACTGATTTCCTCCCTCCATTAATTCTATCCCGTTCCTGTTCCCTCCCTCTGTGCCACTGAAAATGACCTTTCTCTGCCCATCTTCATTGGCCATAGTCCTATCATGTTCCGAGTCTCCAGTCTCGTGCACGTCGCTCTTGCCAGAGCTTTAATGGGTTGGGTGGCTAGGATTTCTCACGAGCCGACGCTAGTTCCCTGCCTTTTGTTTTTCGTCTCGACAGTCTACCTGGTGGGTTGGCATCTATCTGTTTCTATGTTTTTGTTTTTGTCTCTGTACAGATGGTATGAGGCGTGGCATGTAGAGGAAGTTTTGAGCGAGAATGAGAGTTGTAGATTGTCTATCATTGCCGTGCTTTGTAGAGTACAGGTGGTTGTAGTAATAGTTTCATCTAATGTCGCCTAACCTTGCCCTTGCCCTTGCCTACCAGGCACTGATAGCTCCAAGTATAGCATCGCTAAGACTGCCAACAGTGGAAGTTGCGCTCGAACTTTCTCCGTCCTGTTTTTGTTTTTGTCCCACCCCCCATACATGCGCCGAGTGTCTTAGGAAGGAAAAAGGGGTCTGGTCTGATCATGATTCCTAATGCTGACGGTGGATCACATCACCAGGTAGTGTCTCACCTACTCAAAAGGGCAGGTTCATGGACCATGAGGGAATCGCGCCTAAGGAGGAGATAAAATAATTCTAGATTACATTAGGCCATTGGTAGGTGGCCTTGTCAAGGGTACTTTACTTAGAGGACTGGGCCTCTGGCATAGGCAATCACATTACAGCCGTCGATCATCTCCTGGTAAATCGTATGGGCTCAGTTGGGGTTCGTAGCACGCAATGATAGCCACTCGAGCGTCAAGGATAGAACCCATGGGCAGACACTCGTTTTTCTGATCCCCACTTGCTAATAAGCATCAACTAAGGAAGGTGTAACCATTTGCTATTAGGCATCCCGGAGTCAAAATGTGGAGCGGAGCATCCACCTTCGTGTCAAGCTCGCTAATTCATCCCCTCGTTGTCGGTTCGCGACAGTAGACCAGCCAGCAGAGATACCCTAGCGTAGTGCAATGTTCACAAAGCTCTCCATAGCCGACAGGACCTACCAATAAGCAGGCTATTAGACTTCAACGCCCCTCTACGGACCCGAAGCCACCCCCAATCAGGAACGAGAAAGTCACATTCCTTCTTCAAGGCTGGACCCTGAACCCGAACTTGAAATTCTGGGTCTTTGGACCCTTTTTTTTCCCCCCCCTTTGGCCCCATCCGAGGAACGCCATTCGTGGACCCCCATTTATACAGTACATGCTATGCAGCTATAGTCTGCGTGATCCGACAATGGGCCCCGGTTCGTGGGATTCGACTCAGCCCCGAGTCCGAATTGCTTATGGCCCCCCCTCTTCTTTCCCATTTCTCGCGCAAGTCTGCACACAGTCTTATATGACTATCTGTATCCGCCCCCGGACGACGCATGTGAACAGCATACTTTCACTCCGAATCCAAAATTGACAACCACCCATCACATACCGCAAACTGGAGCGATTGAAACACCCTAACCTTGATTTTCTATCGTGAAACATTTATCAGAAGTAAACTAATTCCCGACCAAACCAAACCATGGCTCTACGCCAACCCCCGAATCCAAAACATACCGACAGACATGAAACGGACTATGAGCGGTGGCTGAAAGATCACGATGACCATTACCAACCCGAGGGGAAACCGCGATACCATCCATCCAACGCCGACTGGGCTAGAAAAGTCGATGATGAAACCCACGATATTCCATTTGCACAAGAAGATACCATGACGAAAAGCAAATCAAAATCGAAAATAAAAACCGCGCATAGTCATCCGGAGAATATCGATATCGACGATGATGGCACAGTCGTACGGGTTTCTCGGTATGGATCGATTTTGTTCCCGAGTAAACATCGTGCTGCGTCTGTGGAATCGGGGCATCATCTCGGTACAAGTGCACGTGTAAGCACGGGGAATACGCATCTGCGAATTGGGGATAGAGAATCGATGATGTGCTGTGGGATTAGCATGTTTTTCGTGGTGATTTTCTTGGTCGGAGTGGGGTGCAGTGTTAGGAGGTACCAGCAACGACAGCGGCGGAGGCAGGATATAAAAGGGATCTCTTGTGATCGGAGTGAGATTGAAAAGGTATGTTCAGTCAGATTGTGAAGTGTTGGAAGAAGGCTTTGTGAGGGGTGCTGACATGTTTTTAGAAGAACTTGATGGATAATGTCTGAGCGGTTTTCTTGATTATTGATGGCGTTTCTTTGGGGAGTTATTGGTATATACCATTTTCACAGCCTGGATAATCTAGGTATTATAGTATTACGGGGATTTCTGTTATATACCTTAGATGCAGATAGCATCTACTCATCGAATCATTTTATACTCTCTCGAGGAGGTCGGTATTCTCATACGTGATCCATTAATTACCGTCCATTGCTCCTTGGGGACTAACCATATAAAAGAAGCGTGGATTACCCCTGGTCAAGTGTACCAACTCTCTAGTAGGCAATGAGTCGCTGGGCTGACGTGCAGTCACTTAGATACCAGGTTTTCACCTGGTCTAGTATTATTGCCCTTGGAGAAGACATTGAAGCGGCCAAGTATGAAACCGCGGTTACCACGCAGCATTTTCATCGGGCTATTATATATCAATACAATATTCAGGAAATGGGCATCAGCTTCCCATAGAATCTACTTCGCACATCTTTGGCTTAGAACTATTTAGTTTAGTAAACCATGCAATGGCTTACGGCTCTGAAGAGAGTCTACTGGCCATCAAGAAAACAAGACTGTCGCCGCTGTCTCAATAAAGGCTTACTTTGATTAAAAGCCGTGAAATGATCAATATTTCCTAACATATTTGGGCAATATGAATTATACATGGAAATTATTGTACGATTCAGAAAGTTGGTCCAATATCAAATTGGAGAGCTTCTTTCTGCAATTTTCATTCTCAAGCATCAGAGTTTACCTGCAAGATCTTGGACCCCTCGAATTAGCCCTTACAACCGAAGTGACTTCGTTCTGTTGCTTGTCCTTCTTCGAAAAGGGCCTTGAACTTGAGTTTATCTGCAATGTGAGAGTCAATCCTTCTTTTCGGGGGTTGGTCGGGGTTTACTTTACTCTATGTCGTAGTTAACTTCGTCAATAAGCCGTACGGATCCGTCTATTTAGGCTCGCAATTGCTCGGGAAACAAATCCATGGAAATCATGACAAGGTATTCAGGTACATGTGAACCTTGAGTTTCAGGAAGCTCTGTGGCGGCTCGGATGACGTAGATGGGACCACTGCACCACACGATGCAGACTAAATGTTAAAAGTAGATATATCTCAGATGAAGTTAATAGAGCTAGATTATTCATATATGTACTATGCACAAGAAGAAAAAAAAAAGAGATGGGGGAGATATGTGTGTATATCCACAAGAGAGGGGAGTTGATATCAGATATCATATCCAGCCGGAGAAGAGCATCACATTAGGCTCAACCATTTTACTCCTTCTTCGACTTCTCAGATCCAGAGGTCCAGCCTCCAAACCAACTAGACAGCGGCTTACTGTCGCTCTGCTCCCGACGAAGCTCACGAGCCTTTTCCCGTTCGTTTTTGTACTCCTCCCACGAGAGCTGTGCGGCAGTTGTCACGCTTCCACTTTCCTCGGTCGCGGTTTTGGAGTGGGTGGGCAAAGGACGGACGGCATCTTCGCCGCCGTAGATGCGAAGGGCGGTGCCAAAGGCCCAGTCAACGGCTTCTTCGACCGGGTGATCGAAGAGGTAGGGAAGGAAAGGTACGACGGCGAGACCAAGCTGGAAATCGAAAAGAAAGGATTAGCATAATTTCTCCCATTTCTCCCAACTTAGCGCATCCAGCCAAAATCAAGACAGGTTCAAAGAAAAGCCGTAGCTATACATACCCCGATGGGGGACCAAGTCCGCACAAGCGAATTCTTCACGCCCTTGACAGCACGGCCCGAATACTTCACCACGCTGTGAATGGTAAAAGCGGGTAATCCCATACTAGCAATGCTCTGGAAAACAGCCCGCTTGACCATAACCATACGATAATCCTCCGCAAGCGAAATCTCCGTTGTCGGCCACGGCGTCAACGAATCCTTCTCCTGCACAGCTTTCCCCTCTTCCGTCAAGGGCTTGCTGATATTCCCCGTCGCCATGCCACGGAGGATCTGCTCGGATGAGGCAGCGCTGGCATCCTTGTGCGCGTCGCCGGGTGGGGCAAGGGCGTGGCGGTTGCGCAGATACGCTTTGTAGCCCTCATGGCCGACGTCGCCGATTAGGTAGGCCCAGGAGATACCGTAGGCAGAGCGGACGAGGTAGGGGTGTGCGACGGGGCGGAATGACTCGCCAATGTCTGAGGTGTAGGCGACGTAGCGGTGGGCGGAGAGGAGGATGGTGCGGATGCGCTGGGCGTATGCAGCGTAGCGGTAGGAGGTGTCGGTGGAATCGACGGAGCTGGCAGGTTCGGAGGAGCTCATTGTTAGCTGAGTCTGCGTCGTAGTGGTGCAAGGGTTGAGGTAGAGCTAGAGCAAGAGCGTGGTCTTTGAGCAGTCAAGTGCAGTCCTGCAGTAATGACGAGTTATGTCATTGGCAGCCGGGAGTTGCACCGAGAAGTGGAGCATAACGGGGAAGACACGGGCCTTCTCGCTGGCTCTTGTCTCTGATCGCTCATATCGGGCATGGGTTGAAGAACTCAGACGGAGTGAAATTGGACAAACACGTACTATGAGGGATAGATATCATCATAAAAGTCGTCTTCCTTGTCAACTAGCTTCTGCAAATTTGGGGAGAGCTTCGCCCGCGCAACGGGCTTATCTGCATCAGCATCAGGCGGGGGAGAGCCATTCGAGTCTTTTGGCTGGCGACTACCCCAAACCATCGTGGGAAGCTTGTATCGGATCTTCGAGGGGTTTTAAAAAAGGGCGTCGGCTTCGAACGACAGTGGAGGAGGCAAGAATGAGGGTATGCGGAAGTGAAACCAGCAGGGCAACACGCTGGAATGCCGGGGGAAAGTAGAAGAGAGTGAAGACGTGAGCTAACACAAAAGTGAAATGGAAACTCGCGGCCCAAGCCTTAATTAAAGAAGAGCCATCACAAGAACCGTCCACGGCAGCCGAAGCAGGCGCAGTGCATCAGTCACTAACCAGACCAGGCCAGAGACATAGCCGGGGCTATACTCGGCCTACAGTCCATGGAATAATTTACTTCTCGTTTCCCGAGCCTGTATTTGTCTGGGGGAAGCAAATCGATTATATCAAGACATTAAAATATACAAATCTTCAATTCTTAGACTTGTCCATCCAATTCAACTCTCGATGGTCTAAATCTTCCAACATTCTCCCTGTTGTACTTCTTCTCTCCCCGGCCACTCGTGACACCTTTCCCGATACAGTCACATGATTCCGGACACACCCGGGACCTCACCTGACCTGCCTGCCATCCTCTTGATGACTCATCACGCTTGCACACTAACCGAATCAGGAAAGGCGGTCTCAAAGCCCGACCTCGTCTCAGAATCCAAGCCTGAGGATTCCGCTTCCACATCGTTGCACTAGACCTTCCTCCCCCCATCCTCACATCCCCAATCCCTCAAGATGGTTGTCTACTACCAGGTTGCCGGCAAGAAGGTCGGCTCTCACGTCGTAAGTGCTCACCATCCCGCCCACCCCGATCGACAATCCTGCCCGCTCGCCATATCCCTTTTTACCTCCACTCCGGCGACAGCTGGAAATGTTACCCGCGCAAGCTAACCGCTTTACTATCATGCCAGCTCTCCATGGCCGTCCTCGGCACAATGTTCGCCGGCTCTTACCTCGCCATGGGTGGTGGCTCCAAGCCCAAGACCGCCGCTGGTCCCCCCATCAACGCCTCGTCCAAGGAGGAGGGCGACTTCATCCAGTACGTGCTGCTATATACCCGAATATCCCCGACGATGCCAAACAATCCTGCCGAACAATTCTCAATTTCTTTTGAAGACGCTTGACTTGAATTTGATCAATGCAAATATACTCATGCTAACTCTCCCCGTACAGACAATTCCTGAAGGAAGTGGACGGAGGCGACAAGAAGTCCGAGAAACACTAAACCACCCTTCCCTCCCCAAACACGGATTTATATCAACGGCCCGGTCCGGCCTTGAGTGCGAAGCCGCGTGATGCATGACTCGAGTCGCCCGTCTCCGTTCTTGTTGCTTCCCTTCCGAGATGTATCGGACCTCACAACATTTTAGTCGCTACGACTTTTGCAGAGCCGGACGGGTTGATTCATTGGAAGGCGGGTGATGAAGATTTTCGTGGTTCTGTACATAAGAGGCGTGTACGCTGCATAGAAGAAATGTTCCCCTTGAAAGTGCGTCCATTGCTACGAGGCCGAGTCGATGTCCCAGTCTGCGGCAGTGATTCAATGAGTGTGTTGATATATTGAACAACCGCCGGCAAGGATATCTTATACTCGACAAGCTCGTCAGAAGCTCGGGAGTTTCTACATTGCAAAAGCTGCCGGGCTATCTTCTCTGCCACGGAGCTGGTTGATCAACCTCGTAGCTAGCCCCTCTCTACGGCTATCCTCGTAGCACAGCTTTGATAACAGACCGATAATCTATCGTAGTAGTATCCACGCCTGAAGATACCCTACTCCCCGGACAAAGCTTCCTCTTGAGAAATTTACGATGAAGCCGTAGCCAATTTCTTGCTTACCCAAAATTGAAACACCAATCAACACGTCAATCGCGTGCTATAGCTCATTGCTCTCCAACTTTTCCCCCAACACCACCCAACCACCACACGCGCTTCAACTTCACTCTCCCAACTCACCACCCCCGCATCCCAATTTCAAGACGCCTCACAGCCACCATACAAACCTCCTCGAAGATCTACCTATTACAGATTTCAAAATGAAACCCCTCCCCTTCCCCCTCGCCCTAAACATCGGCACGGACATCGTTCACCTCCCCCGCATCACCCGCCTCCTCCAACGACCCAACTACCTCACGCGCTTCACACGGCGCATCCTCAGCGACCACGAACAAGTCGACTTCCAGAAACGCTTCAAAGATACTCTCCCAGTACACCTCCACCCATCCTCCCCCCGCACGTCTATGGCCCCGCCCACGCAAATAATTATCACGCCGGACATGACGCGCTGGCTGGCCGGCCGCTTCGCCGCGAAAGAAGCCGCACGTAAAGCCGCGCCGGACGGGGCTGCTTCGTTGGGGTGGAAGGATGTCGAGGTCCGTGTACCGCGTGATAACCATGTGGAAGGGAAAGGGAAAGGGGATGGAGACGATGTGGGGGGGTTCGTGCCAGAGGAAGGGACGAGTCGGAGGCCGGAGATTGTGTTTTTGGGAGGTGGGGGGGATAGACCGGATCGGTTGGGAAGGTTGTCTATTTCACATGATGGGGAGTATGTTGTTGCGACTGTTTTGGCGGCCGGTTGATTGGGTTTATGAGCAATTGGGATCGGTGTCGGCAACAGACCTGGCTCTTGTTGAGTTGGATGGAGGTGTTCCTGGGCAAAAGCTTCCATGTTCTAAAGGACTGGATGTATCTGCTACGAGTTGGTGTGATTGTATGGGCGAGATGAACTTGACCAAGAATCTGGTCTCCCTATGCTCATGTATACCAACTGTCGCGTCTATACGCGGTGATCTTGTGTACTGCCATACTCTACGACAGTCGTCGGAGAGCCAGGGACGGCCTTGGGATTGCCGGCGCCTGGAGTGTTGATACAGAGCTAGGACCCAGCCAAGAGTGATCTATGTATGATATGACTCGGGGTTGATTTTAGGGTCCCTGATTGACAATTGTGTGTGTTCCTTGATGCATGTTGCAGAGGTGTCTGCCGAGGCATGTAGGCAGCCTCTCGCCAAACACAAGCTGACCGCACATGACAATAAGAAAGTACTATATTAATGAGACTATACTAACGAGAATTGTGTAAATATGTGTCATGTAGCTATAATAAGCCAATCCTGTCAATCAATTAGACCCCGTGTGCCCAAACGTGTTAGTATGTGATGCGTATGACTCCCTCCACAAAAGCGGGACTGAATTTCTTATCGGAGCTGATATCAACTTCCTGGTCCTCTCCGACTTGCCTTTCCCCAACTTCTGAAATTGTACATCGTATCGCCCCGGGGAAGATCATAATCTCAGAGGTAAGTTTGGAGATACGAAAAGCTATATAATTGCTCTCGTCCAGTCATCTCTCGCTGGTCTAGCGCCCTGCTAGACCAGCTCACTGATCATCGTTCTTATGAACAAGGCTAACCACGACTCAGGAAAAGAATAATATACGATGCCATTCTCCCACCACAGTCACTCGGGCCAATTCTGCCCTGGCCATGCCAAAGACTCGCTCGAGGAGGTCATCCAGACCGCCATCAGCAAGAAGATGCAAGTCTTCTGTCTGACAGAGCACATGCCCCGCGACGCCGTGGACTTCTACCCCGAAGAGGTACCATGACCCACCATACCCATCCGATATACCAATCCCCTCTATATGCCCACCTCTAACACACACCCCCCAGATCGAAGCCGGCCAAACAGAAGCCTGGCACTCTACCAACGAAGAAGCCTACTTCACCGAAGCCGTCCGCTTGCGACAAAAATACAGCTCCCAAATCTCCATCATAATCGGCTTCGAATGCGACTGGATTCGCCCATCCTCCCAAACCCTTATAACCCGCTCGCTGTCTCGCTTCCCATTTGAATTCTTCATCGGCTCCGTCCACCACATGCACACCGTCCCCATCGACTATGACCACGAGATGTACGTTCGGGCCCGCGATATCGCCGGTGGCACCGACGAGCTACTCTTCGAGAATTACTTTGATGCACAGCTGGATATGTTGAAGGCGCTGAAGCCGCCCGTCGTGGGGCATTTCGATCTGATTCGGTTGAAGAGCGATGATCCCGAGCGGAGTTTCAAGAGTTGGCCCGGTGTTTGGGAGAGGGTGGTGAGGAATTTGGAGTTTGTGGTTGGGTATGGGGGGTTGGTGGAGGTTAATGGGGCGGCGCTGAGGAAGGGGATGAGTGAGCCTTATCCTAACGGGGAGATTTGTGAGGTACGTACAAGAGATTCCGGCGGACGATTAAGAGAGATGCTGATTATCTTGATAGGAGCTTTTGGCGCTGGGTGGGCGCTTCTGTCTGTCAGATGACAGTCATGGCGTTGATCAGGTTAGTCTGAACTTTCACCGGGTGTTGGAGTTTTTGGACCGTGTGGGCGTGGAGACGTTGCATTATCTGTCGCTGGTTGGGGAGGAGGGAGGTGATCTTTCCCCTGCGCCGGATGAGCGGTTCCCTCGGACGAGGATTGCTGCCGTTTCTATGGAGGAGGTTAGGCAGATGGCCTTTTGGAAGGCGTGAGCATTGTGATGGTGAGAATGAAGCATATGTGTTGCGGGGACTTGTCGAATTAAAACTTCAGACAGCGGTATAGTTGGTCTATTGGGTATATAAAATGTAGTCGGGATACCTACTATGGGTTTGACGCCTTAAGTAGATACTAGTACCGAGTGACAGAACATTTATTAATCGCAGTGTTCAAGAATACAGGAAGGTATAAGGACTCACTGATATTAAATGTGCTCCTTACCTATATACTATAAACCAAAGAGAGATCAGCTATCTTATACCTGACTTAATATCGTATCTCCTTCAAATCTATCTCCTTCACATCTATTTCCATCGCCAGCTACGAGGGAGACTCGGGAAAATGCGGCTTGCCCGTGGGGGGATTTGCCACGTTCAGCTCTGGGGAGACAGAGTAACTCAATTGTGGAGGGATATGTGACAAATGGCGAGCCAGGCTATACTCTGTACCACACCCTTCAGAGTGAAACGTGTTAGTCTAAAGATAGTTGAATCCCAATCCCAGTACTCCGTGGAGATTCCACTAGATGCCACCACGACGACCAGAGATAGGTAGAACCCTAAATGGATAGACCCGGGAATCATACTGAGTCTGGAATAGATCTTACATAGAATTCAGCATGGACCTGGCCCCATCCAGCTAGCCAAACATATCTTTCCGAATATCACCATTTCTCTCTCTCCCCAGGGTCTACACTTTGCCCCTCATTGCCCGCCCCTCCGGAGCTCCTTCGCACTCCATCCCCGGGAAGGCGTCATCCAACGAGAAGCGGAGCATAAAGCCCCCATATTCCCTTTCAAGTTTAAATGGGTCTTGCGTACCGGGAAAATCCGATTAGATAGCTCAATCTAACTGGTCTAAAGCAAAGCCAACGAAGTTCTCCTGTAACAACCAGTCCATTACGTTGCGGCGCCTCCGAAACCAAACCAGCACCACCCCACTTGGAGAAAAAGTGGGACCCGAAGTTTGGCTTGCCCCTCGTTTTTTTTAAAGCTTCCCTTCCTCTCCTCTTCTTTTCTGTCCGCAAACTCTCATCTTCAATTGAATCATCCCTCTCTTTTCGCCTTCAATCGCTATTCTTTTCAAAATGGGTGTTGACAAGAAGATCCTGACCCCCGGCAACGGCGTTGACTTCCCCAAGAAGGGTGACAACGTCGCCATGCACTACACTGGCTGCTTGTACGACGCCAGCGCTGCTGCTAACCACTTCATGGGCACCAAGTGAGTATATCGCTCTTATAGGGCATGGTCCTTTTTTTTTGCTATTGACTAGAAACGTCTACTGACCGCGTTGCAACTCCTTAGGTTCGACAGCTCTCGGGACCGCGGCACCCCTCTGGCCAGCCCTATTGGTGTTGGCCGTCTCATCAAGGGTACGTGGATGAGCCCTGGCTGCGCGCGATGAGATCTAGATTCCGCCGCTGCAGATACACGACCATCAGATTACTAGGTTGCTGACTCGATTGTCTTTGCTAGGTTGGGACGAGGGTGTCCCCCAGATGAGCCTCGGCGAGAAGGCTATCCTCGACATCAGCTCGTGAGTATTCTCTTCATTGGAGCTTAGCCAGCTTTCACCGACGCTCTCAAGTGCCACATGCTAATCCTATTCATCTTAACAGTGACTACGGCTATGGACCCAAGTATGTGATAAATACCGACCTTGCATCGCACATAGCTTCGTTCTACCCACACCCAATGCGATATCGATGACTCTGATCACCAAACTAACAATGTTTCCTCTAACAGCGGCTTCCCCGGCCTGATTCCTGCCAACTCCCGCCTGGTCTTGTAAGTTTTTACTTCTGGCGATCCCATACCCAGATCTCCATTCGAACCTTTGACACTGACTGTCCGTTCTCCAGCGAGGTCGAGCTCGTCAAGATCAACAACAAGTCCGCTTAGATTCTTTGACTCTACCAACCAAATACAAAGTTCGGTGGAAGTGCTTCTGGCCTCGGTCTCCCAAATACCCAAGGGGATCCAGCTAGGAGTTGCTCGCTTTGCCAGTCCTCTCTTTTCTCGTACCCTAATCGCCTCGTAGACCTCCACCCCAAACCACACGGGTCCATCGTATAATCCTCTCTTCTATTTCTATTCTATATACCATACTCCCCCCCAAATTCCCAATTCTATACAACGGCATAGCTAACCCGGCTATTCCCCTTACTCCTCGAGATCTTCTTCACAACCGTGCCCCCACACAAATCCGTACTATCAACGTGCGTCCCCCCACAAGGGTAAACCTCCGCCCCAACAATCCTCACCACTCGGAACTTGCTCTCCCCGGGCGCCAACAGCCCCTTATCAGGAAGAAGATGCGGCACCCCCTCCCTCTCAAAGTCCTCTTGCCCCCAAAACTCAATCTCCACCGGCATCGCGCGCGCGATATACTCGTCCACCCGCGCCTGGATCGCGCTCTTGTGTTCGCCGGGTATACTCCCGCGGAACTCGCAGGATGCGCTATCGGGGAAATGCGAGGCCTTGAGCTCGTCGAAGTCCGGGATCGAGGATTCTAAAAGGTGGCGGACTGCGGAGCCGAGGACGTGGCCGGCCGTGTGGAGGCGGGAGTAGAGGAGGCGTTTTGGGGCGTCGATGGTTTGCAGGATGGGCGTGGTGGGTGGTAGGGATTGGAGGGGTGTGGCGGCTGCCGTTGTGTTGGGTACCGGGCGGACGAGGTGGAGGACTTGGCCGTTGTTTGTAGCGTCCATGCGTGCGGCGAGGACTTGGAGGAGGGCATTTTGTGGATTGCTGCTCGTAGTGCTGGGGTCCGTTCCTGCGGGGAAAATGTAGCCTTCGTCGGAGGGCTGGCCGCCTCCTTGGGGGTGGAAGATGGTTTCTTGCGTGACGAGGATCAAGTCATCGTTGCTTGGGGATTTGAAGAGGGTCTTGTTGGCTTCGTCGAGGTCGGCGAAGGGTTGGAGGGATTGGATGGTTGTTTCCAGGTGGAGGAGTTTGGCGTCGTGCTGGTAGGCGAGATAGGTGGGGGTTGGAGGAGGCATTGCGTGGTGGAATCAAGCTGGGTTCAGGCTTGAATCATGCAATTGACTTCTATGAAAAAGAATAGCAGGATTTTCCAGTCGGAGCAGGGTTCAGCACGGGGTTGGTCACCGATAATTATAGTCGCAATCTGGAGCAAAACTAGTCCGCGGGGAGAAATTGGAGCCCGCACGCCCTGTTGATTACAACCCCGCATTCCGGCCAATTACAGTGAACCTGCAAGTGGAGTGTTGTAGCCGGTTAAATGATACGGTACGGTGCGATAATCATTCACCTGGACAAGTCCATGGCTGACAAGTTCCAACGACTAGCTGCAGATACAACGATGCATCGATAGAAGCCCCATAAACACTGTAAGGTGGTATTGTGGTCCACGGAAGCCATTCACTAATTCTGACGGATTATTCTCGAGAAGATCGATCTTGTGATCATAAAATGTACATCTTCTAGACATTTGCAAGTATAGATGTTTCTTCAAATCAACCTAAGCCAGCTAGCCCATTCTCAGCGCGCAATACGATTAATAAACTCCATCCCCGATGCACGATAGGTATCAGCTTCCACATAGCTCTCATTCCTAGAAAGCCGGAAAACAAAGTTTGTAGCTTTGGATGAATAGGAAGGCCACTTGGGGATGTGCGGTACTGCATTCCACCTATTGTTAGTATAATAGACTGATAGAGAGGCCTGCGATATACCAATAGAGGTCGACAGTCAATTGAAAGAACAAACTCACCTCCGTGCCCATTAGGATTCAAATCAGTCACGAACGAAGTCCACATGCGAGCAGCCATCTGTCCGAGTTCCAAGCGTGCAGGATCCGATCCGAGAGCGGTGATATTCTGGACTGGATTTGCGAAGACGAACGGGATCTATGAACGTTGATAGGGTAGTTAAATCAGCATTATGATTCTTGGGTGGTCTGATACGGAATGAGAAGAGTATCTCCCTACCTCTGCAAAATGCTGTACTCCAATTGTCGTCGAAGTATTCAACGCAGCAACGTCCCACCGATACGAATAAACATGATCCTCGAAACGGGACATGGCTTGTGCCAGCATCCGACGGGGTGCTACCATGGATATATCGCCAGCCATGGATTCATACCGTTTGTATTGTAGCCCTTTATCTGGCCATGTCACATTGCCCCAGCCGTAGGGGCAACCGAGGGCTGGGATGTTGGGATAGTAGGTGAGGAGTTTGGTGGCTTCCTCGCGGGTGAGGACCCAGCGTTTGGAAGCTGGATTAGTACAGAGAGTGCTGGTTAATTACACCAGTCGAGACTGCGAAGGATGGAAATTACTCACATATCAACTGAGCAATACAATCTTCATCCGTATTGGTGCCCGTTGTCCCGAAGCTAGTCCCTTCATCCGTGTTCGTGCCAAGCAGGATGGGAACCGTGGCAAATCTCCCTTCGCGGTAGCTTATCTGGGGATACTCTGAAATGAAGATATTGTCAATTGTAGCGAACCATTCTAATCCTTCGTAGGCGTTGTTGTAAAAAGTTTCGTAGGGGAGGTCTCGGAGGCATTGAAGGGTATTGGTTGCATTCACACATCTGGCGCCGAATCAGTGTTTGCAATCGTGATAGCTTTCTTGTACTAAGACTGACCCTGTTCGTTGGACAATTCGATTGTACATTGGCTGATGCCATTCTGTGCCATTATAGGGTGGTCCTACTGCATTTCCGGACTCCATGATTGCTGTAACCAATGTGAGATTCTCCTCGATATGTGAAAAGGAAGGTGTTTTCGTACCAGCTCTGAAGAGACCCTCGTTATCGCCAGTGTTGGCGACAAGGTGCGCTCCCACGCTATAAGCTCCCCTAAAACGCGCAGATATCAGTAACGTTAGAGATAGCATGGTGATCACATGTACTCACGCCGACTCGCCCCAGATCGTGATTCGATCGGGGTCCCCACCGAATGCCTTGATATGCTCCTTCACCCACCGCATAGCAATGCGCTGGTCCCGAAGGGCGAGATTGGTATTTCCCTCGGACTATCACAAAGTCAGGGACTCTTCGAGATCATTAGGGTATCCAGTCACACATACTCTGACTTCCTCCGAATCCAGGAATCCAAATGCCGACAGACGATAGTTGATCGAGACACCCAGCACGGGCTTGCCGTTCAACGCACTCTGCTGGACAATATAGCTCATATTGTATCTGTATAACCAAGAAGCTCCAATTATCATTCCATTCTCAGGCATAGTTTCTCTCAATTGCTAAAAAAAAAAATCAACTTACCTAGGATCTGCAGTAGCACCCTGCGACCATCCACCACCAAAAATCCACAGCATAACCGGCAACTTCTCCTCCCCAGCAGTCCAAGGCCTAATCACATTCAGATTGAGACAATCCTCATTCAGCTTAACTAATCCCATATCCACTAATTTAGTGGTATCAGATCCATAGCCCGGGCAGTCATTTCCATATTCAGTCGCATTGTAGTAGACAGTGTTCGAGTGTGACGTTACTCCTGCCGCCGAGAGATCGTAGACACCAGAGTTACTATCATTCGACGCGTAATGAGATTTCAATTTTGCTGGTGTGAAGCGAGTCGGTTCGTCGGCATACTTGATGCCCAGGAAAAGATCTTGGTCGAACTCGGGGAGTAGCCGGCCCACGAATACGCTTTTGGGGCTTGCATTGCCAGGGGAGAGAGTTGCTGTTGGTGGGTGGGAAGAAGCTCCCGAGTCTCGCTGGGATAATGGAATTGAGGATACTGCTGTGACTAGGGTTAGCCAGAGAGCTGAGCGACGCATTGTAGTTGTTTCCCCTCGGGTGGGAGGTTGAGAACGGGCGATTGAGAAACGAGACACTATTATCGTAGGACGAGCTTGGACTGTCAAGTGTACATATATTCTCCGTGATGCTAGAATTAACACGCTGGAGTAACGGAGGATTTATCCATTTAGTAGCATGCCAAGGCACATTTGATATAGTAGATCGTCTCCCCTAACCCCTCAGTTGAGCTGGGATTCAACTCAAGGGATAGGTCAGGTAGCAAAGCACCCAGCAAAAGTCATACTAGGCCGGGGAAATTGCCTCAAGTAAAGTTTTTGCAAAGCTATTTCAACTTGTTCTGGGCTCTCATCCGCAGAGTTGCGGGAATGCTCACGCTCATAGGTGGGAAAATAAAGCTGGGGTAATTCCGGGATGAAAATGGCGGGGATTGCGAATGTAGTCTGCAGGTAAAGGTAGATCGGGAATTTGGTAGTCAAAGGTCCTCCAAATGAGGATCTCCGTGCCGAGTTTGTCAATGTCAAAGTCCGTTGACAGACGGAGTATTTCCAAGATAATCCTATGTCGAGGTGTGGACCTCTGACAAAGAGATGATACCATATTCCGTGAGACGTGCTGCAAAAAGCGAGATAGGGTAAATGTGTTAGAAGGTCTTGGCTGGATAATGCTACTGTCCATCAAGTCAAACTCTTTGCAGGACCTTGTCATCTTGTCACAACAGTGACAGATTTCAAGTCCAACATGTCGGGCAATAGACAGTACGAGGAATACGAGAAACACAGACACTCCGGTATAGTTATATTTTACCATCCGATTGACTTCAATGCAGATCAATACTGTAGGGTAATAACCTGATCCAATCCCGTCCTCCTATACATGATGATCAAGAATCGGCTCTGCCTAAACCAGGCCCAGCAAGAGGAAGGACAAAATTATGGGAATAGAAAAGAGATGAACACCAAGCCGCTCATGACAGAAGGAAAAGAAAAGGATCTGGACACCCACAAATCGGGAATGAAGGGGAAAATAGGAAATGCACATCGCACAGAGGCTCTATTATGTACGATACCTTTGCAGACTCCGCCAATTACACTTATCAGTCATCCTTAGTTCGTTCGCCATATGCATTGGATCCTGTCGCGCGAGACCTGCTCGTCGCGGACGCAGAGGCTCCTGCAGCCCGATATGAAGAGGACGTAGAAGAGCTCGTGCCTTGCGCTTCCCGTCGAGAAGATATTCCAAGGACACTAGGCGACCGCCGGCCTTCAGACGTATCGTCCAACTCGATCAGATCGCCTATTCCCCACAGCCCACGTCCACGGCCGGTGGCCTGTTGGTTTGGGGATCCTTGCTGAAGCTCGCTGATTCCGGCTTTCGTGCGGGTGGCGACCTTACGGATCCATCCCTCGACAGCTCCACCGATATTCTCCAGACCCGTTGACGCGTTGGACGTCGCTGTGGACTCGGATCCAAAGGACGATCGGCGAAGACTATCTGGTACAGGAGGAGGAACTAGATTGGGCATGTGCTGTGAGAAGAATTTGCTCAAGCCGTCTAGGGCAGGTCCGGGTGCAGTGGAAGTTCGATCAAGAGTGCCCACGCCAGTACCAGTCAGATGGAGACTGCTGCGCTGCCGGCGATGCTGGGGACGGGCGGACTTTGACTTGCCTACACGAGGCCGAGTCCGGGGAAGAACCCCATCTGTCGAAGTGATTTGCGGCGAACTGACCGGTGATGATGTCCTAGTTGGATCTCGAGAAGAGTCATCGTGAAGAGGCTCTGCATCGCTACAGGAAACAGATTTTCGGCGTGTGCGCGGGAAAAAGCCTAATGCCCTGCGCGGGACTCGGCCAATCTGGACTGCTGAGGGAAATCCGTCGATATTTACCCAAGATTCATGTTTCCAGATCTGATTGCTGTCGGCATCGGCAGTCCCAGATGTCTTTTTACTCGAGAGCGAGCCGTTTGTGGAGGGGGCAGCCGGTGTGATCGAACTGCCACTCGCATCTTCCGAGTCAAGCGCCAGAAGATCTACTTCTGCAGGTGGGATCGGCCTGCCTTTCACGCTGCATGCATCGACTGGCAGGAGCACCATCTTCCTGCTCTGGATATTATCATTGGGCCAGAAGCCGTTCGCCTTTCGGAATATCGCAGGTTGGCATCCATATTTAATCGTTACTCCCGTGATGCTGTCCGTTGCCTGGACAGGATGAATGTAGGCGAGAGCATCCTCGTCTGATTCCGGATCGAGCGGCTGATCAAGATAATCCCCAGAGTCGCGTCGCTTATGGCGAGAAGCACCGCTCATTATTGGATCAGACTCCGCAAGTAGGAGCGCCTCTCGTTTCTTCGCCTGAACCAGAGCTTGACGCTCTTCCTTGGTTCCAGTTCCAATTTCGGTAGTGTTCGGCGCCGATGGACCCCATGCTACCGGAGTGGACCGTGGAATACTTCGAATATATACGTCGGATCGCGACGGTTTCCTCCGCGTATGTCCCTTTGCAGCATTATTTGTTGTGTTACGCCCAGTGTCGCTACCAAGCACCGATGACGCCAAGCTCTGAAGAGAGGACCATGACGAGTCTAGAAATTCTGCAGCCCCCAATGAAGAAGAAGCCTTTGATGATCCGTTCCAAGTAAGGGAGGATGCTTCGCCGCGGCCGTGATTACTCGATTGCGTGAGGCGGGAGGGGTGTTTCATGGGTAGCGGCGAGGTTCCACGGGACGACAGCGGCGAGGGGGTGGCACCACGAGATCGAACAGTTCCTACATCGGCGGAGATGGTTGTAGAAAGACCCGACGTAAAGGGCTGGGCATCCTGGTAGGAATAATTGCTGTTTTTTGTGCAGGCATCGTCATCTTCGTCGTCGATAAAGGAGACGAGTCGGCGCGGGCGCGATCGGACCGCGGAGGTGGTGCCCGCGGTGACGGTGTTGGAGCTCAGAGAAGCATTGACGAAGCTATTTTGGGAACTCATTCCTGTCAGTACGGTCTTGTGGAAGTTCTCTTCCAAAGACACGAGTCAAATGCTCCCTTCGGAGTTGTGGGTGTTGCCAAGGCACCGATTGCCATCAGTAGTCTCCTAGGAGAGACCCATTCGTCATCCACCGGCCGAGTCGCATTCGTGGCCTCAGCGCTGAGACGAGACAAGGAGGCAGATCATGAAACTGAGTCCACGATTGCCTGGACTTGGTATAGAGTAGAATGGGGTTTCCGTAAATAAAGTGGGGGAATAAGATCGCGGAGTAAATGTGATTGCTCAACGATACGATAGGAGACAGTGGTGGAAAGCGTGGAGGTTGTCGGTGACGATAACGACCCACTAGGAAAGGCGGCGGCTGGCAACAACTCAACGAATATGGGGGAGACGGGGAAAGACCCAGGAGCCAGCAATCACAGCCTGAGGGAAGGTAAGGGAGTGAATTTCTGTACAAAAAGGAGAGAGAATGTAGAAATCGATGTCGGTAGGGAGTGGGTAGGTTTTCGGGAGGCGCTCTTGGATGATCGGCAGGTGACTTCGCCGCCCCGGCCAAGTAGCAGTACGTCACGTTGGCCGTGGCTAAAACTGAGCAAGGCTGTACCAGTACTTCGAAAGAAGAGTCGACGTAAAGATATATTAGATACGCTCGGCATCACATAAGAGTGGAAAGCGAAGATGTATATTATAGTGCACTTCGGATTCCAACCGATTGTACAAGAAACCCGTGGGACAATTCTATGAACATATCAAACCTGGCCCCAGCCAGAACCCGCATAATCCACTGCCATAACAAAGACGAGAGACCAAATAGCCTCGTAAATCTTTCGAAACAAATGATATCCAAATATTGAAAAGAGTCCACGAAGCGAGACACTCCAGCAGGGTACAATAAGACACGAGAAAGAAAGAACTAAGAAGCAAATGGGCATCTAGATCATCCGTTGAACAAAATAGTTCGCAATCACTCTGGGGGCTCAGCCATCTCAGAGGGGCGGGCATCGGTTTCCGAGGCTGCCTCATCCTCGGTGGTCCAATCTCCATCTTCTTTTTCAATGACCTTGCCAGTTGGAGTGGTGGGCATTTGAGAAGGCTGTGGCATAACCCGAACGCCACCAGCACGGGAAAAGAAGTCTTCCGTGCGCAGGCCGCGAACTTCTTGAGGGTCAACAGCAGTTATTTGCAGACCGTCGGCCTTCTTCTGTCGGATCAGCTCTCGTACGGGGGCCATCGCGGCATCTCGGCAGGCCTCCTTGATATCGCTACCGGACATGCCGGCCATAGATTTGACCAAAAAGTGGAGATCAAAGTTGTCCCGATCAACCTTGGTATCCTTGAGGATCAGGCTAAGGATTCGGAGTCGCTGCTGGGCAGGAGGCAGTGTGACGGGGAACTTTTTGGGCATACGCCGGAGAATGGCCTCGTCGATATCCTGCATTCGGTTGGTGGCTCCGAGGACGACGATGCGCTGAGGTTCACCCGTCGAATTGGCAGAGGTGAGACCATCCCAGTGGGTCATGAATTCTGCCTTCACCATGCCGCTTGCCTCATGTTCGCCGCTCCTCCGGGTTCCCAAGACTGCATCAATCTCATCAATGAACACAATCGCGGGTTGAAGCTTGCGGGCGAGAGAAAACACCGCATTGACCAACTTGTTCGAATCACCGTACCACTTCTCAGTTAATGTGGAGATGTGCAAGTTGATGAAACAAGCGCCACTCTCAGACGCCAATGCCTTTGCAAGCATGGTCTTTCCGCAACCAGGCGGGCCATACAGCAGAACACCAGATGGCGCAGTCAGGAGGGATGATGTCGACGAGTAAAGATGGGGCATGGTCAACGGATAGATCACGGATTCCTTCAACTCTTCGATGATATGATCGAGGCCTCCAATATCTTCAAACGATACATTGATATCCTCGGGCGCGACCACATCCATCGCGACGGCTTGTTCGTATTGGTTGAGCGTCAGCTCGCCTTTTCGTTGACGGCGACCCTTCTTTGTGCTGCCGCCTCGGCTTGTTCCATCATCTGAGTCGTCTCCACCATCAAGTCGGCGCAGAATAGCTGCCGACTTTTGTCGTTGTTCCTCCTTCTTCTGGCTCTCTGGGTCGAAGTCAAGGCGCGATAGGAGATAGCGAATGAGGAAATATGCGGACGCCGACTACCGAAAAGACATGTCAGGACCATGAAGACCCGAAATCAGACCGGATCTTTAACGACTTACCGTGCCAGCAACCATCACCAGCTCTTGCAGGAAGCTCTGCCACCGGCGGCCGCCTGCTGATGCCATGACGACAGCGACGTGGATACTAAAGGGGGTATAAGTGGCGAGATCTTGGAATGCCCAACCCTCTAGGAGAGACTATCGACAGGCAGTGAAATAAAGAAGAGGAATGCGATCCCGACTCCGAAAACGTGGAAACTAAGTCGCAGGCGAGCCCCGAGATCTGGCTCGGGCAATCGGGCAGTTGTGGCGCGGATGATCCCTGTGGCTCGGAATGTCACATGTCACATGTCTACCGCTGGGCGGAGAAGTTGTTGATTGTCGCGGCGCGTCTCGAGTTCGAACCCGTTCACATCGGATGAACCCCAAATCCGAATTACACTATGCCGAAACGCAAGGCTACTTCGAAGCTTTCCGGCCTTGTTGGCTCAGATGATGAGGACATACTGCAATTTACTGAAAACGAGAATGCCCCCTCCCACGAATCTCAAGAGGAGCCTCCCGCCAAGAAACGTAGAGGCCGACCGCGTACATCAGCGGAGGACGCAACTGCAACCAAAGCCTCCGCACCGGCAAGAGGGCGTCCACCAGCTCGAGCAGCGCATGAAGAAGAGGAATCAGCATCCAAAACAGCGTCTACCCGGCGTGGGCAACCTCGCGCAATCGATCGCACATCTGAGCCCGTGGACGAAGAATCGAATGACCAGGAGAATAAGGACCCTTTGGCGGCCAAGGAAGCAACAAGTTCAAAAACAACGAGAGCAGGCAGGACTGCAACGACGGCAACCCGTGGACGAGGCAGAGTTCGTGCAAGTATCGCCAGGCCAGTGCAAACAGACGGGGAGTTCGAATACACACCAACCCGCGCCATACCACAGCAAAGAATATCCGAAGTGAGCGAGACACAACCCACCGACGGACCCGCCGATGAAGTTGTAGACGAGCCCGTGCTCGATAATGACCACCAGACCGCTCCCTACGTACCATCATCGGTGGTGAAGACTGCTAGGGCGCGACTAGCCACATCGAAGAACAATCGCGACCTCTCCCCAAGTAAGCGCAAGTCTGGTGTGGCTGTTGAGCAAAGCGGAGATCCGGATTTGCGGCGTAAGATTGGTGAAATCACCAAGAAACACGATGCTTTAGAGTCCAAATATCGCAATCTTCGCGAGATCGGGGTCGTAGAGGCCAACACGAACATGGAGAAGCTACGTAAACAATGTGAAAGTATCACTACAGGTATGTTCTGGCCGTCGGCGGCGTACTCGAGAGATAAATTAATAATTACTAACCAATATCCTACAGCATCCAACGAACTTATCGCTTCGCTCAGATCAGAGCTCGAAGCGCAGCGAACCTTGGGCTCACAGAGTCGCAATCTGCAGAAACAATTAAAGGAACGGGACGCCGAAATGGCCAAGCTCAAGGCCCAAGCAGACGAGACACGCTCTCAGCTTGCCTCCTCGCAATCCGAGATCAAGGCCCTACAGACGAAGCTGGCTGCCGCACGCAATACCGCTGCTAGCCTCGAGGCAAACAAAATTCCCGGAAGTGCCATCAAGGGTGGCGCAGCTAACCGGGCAACTGCAGCTGCTACTGCCGAGGCAGCGCAGGTAGCCCATCTTGCGCAACTGAAGGAGGATCTCTATACTGATTTCACTGGGTTGATCATCCGTGATGTCAAGGACCGTGAGACGGATCATCTCTACGACTGTATCCAGACCGGTGTCAATGGAAGTAAGTACCTAACATTACTGAAAATCAAATACACAAGCTGTTCACGTCTAACCAATCTGCAGCTCTTCACTTTAAATTGGCCATTCCTAAGGTGGCTAGCTCGGAGTATGAGCAGGCTGAATTCCAGTATTTGCCCCTGTTGGATGCCAGCCGTGACCGAGAGCTTGTCAATATCTTGCCAGACTTCTTGACGGTTGATATTACGTTCAGGCGCGACCAGGCATCCAAGTTTCATACGCGGGTGATTGACGCCCTGACTAAACGGCGGACTAGCACATCCTAATGGATTTAAAATAATACTTGGAGGCTATATGGGCAATCTATACTTGATATATTGTGGAAGGGCACATGCTTTTCTTGTGTAGTTCTGATTCATTAAATAGTATAGCATAGACTGTGCTACATATTCCCATAGCAAGGGGATCACATACTTCAGGGTGTACAAAATAACTTTGATTCGCCTCAACTGGACGAGGCAGCCGACAACCAATTTTGAGGATCTTAATTACAGAGAATTTCCACGCTCCATTATTCCCATGTGTCAGAATGTCTACTGATTTATAGTTGATCAGATATATCTGGTACCAGAGCCATAAAAAATCCATGGAAAGGAGTATACAGTTAGCTGGCAAGTGGGTCATATTTATGGTTCTGCCGTGCACGATTCGAAGCCCGTGATTGGCCCCTCACCGCCCCCCGTCCGCAAGTCCCCCGATACGTTTCACCCAAAGCAGCGTTGTCTGTTGTCAAGTTGCTGGTGATGTCGACCTCCTATTAATTGTCTTCTTTACCTTCGTTTATTTTCTCAGCAGGGGTCCAGTGATACTCATTCCCTAGTTCCTATCCCTTTTCAAATTGGGCCTGCTGTGAGAAGATAGGATCATGGCGCGTCTCGGCCGCGTTGGGTTCCTCGCCCTCGCGGTGGTCTTCCACCTGATCTATACATATTCGATTTTCGATATCTACTTTGTGAGCCCAATTGTAAGTGGCATGCGCTCATATGGCGTCGACCGCCCAGTTGGAACCAATGCCCCCG